GAGTGCGTGACTCGCTTATCTACGTGACTTGCTTGTCTGCGTGACTCGCTTGTCTGCGTGACTTGCTTGTCTGCATGACTCGCTTATTAACCATGTTATCTAATCTAAGAGTTCTTAAATCAATCTAGTTTCTTTTATACTACAATCTCGTACTATCCTCTATAGGTAGCCTAGAGTCTCTCTCTATCCTCTAAACATATAATTTCTCTAGTAGCCGGCTTAATATTTCGTTTGGGGTTTTGGTACTACTCTCTAGTTCCAAGACTTCTTTGTTAATCTCCGTTTGCAGTTGCTGTAGAGCCTTTTGGGTGTACTCGAGGCTGTCCGACTGCCGTAAAAGGCGTAGAATAATGAGTTTGTGTTCCTTAGATGAATGCGAGTTTATGTGTCTCTGAGACAAGAGATTTTGTAAAAGGGTCCGTGGCTCGCCTGTTAGAGATCGTAGCGCGTGTATTAAAGGCATAGTATATTTCCCCTCGTCTAGATCTTCACAGAAGCCTTTTTGAATAGTATACTATTAATGCATAAGCGACAGAAAAGGTAAGGATCAAATAAGTTCAAACTCAAAATGCCTTTTTTCTCTTACCTCGTCTGACAACAGATTTTGGTAGTCGTCTCTGATGGCAAAATGGCGGCCGAATAAAAAGACAAGAGAGTGCATGCTAGGGACGCTTGCTCCATTGGCCGTAGTAGCCACCGTCATCAAATTAAGAAGCAGGTGAAACAGTCCGCCCGTTTCTATCATATACTTAGGTCGCATTCATAGTTGAGGCTGTCAATAGGTGGTAGCTTACTGTTATCTAACGCCCTTAGATAGTCTTCTTCGGATGGGCACTGGAGATTCGTTCTCCAATGGAGGTCGTAGCTCTGGCCGACGTATAATACTTTCAAGTGCTCTAGAATGATGTCGTGAGCAGAGGTTCCAGAAGTAGAATAGGAGATACATACCAAGAACCACTTGCGCGTATTCCCGTCCGAGCTTTAGTGCCTCTTCTACGGTTTCAATAATCGTGTAGCCGGCGGAGTTGATTGTCTGCGCCTTCCCATAAATGGTGTGCGTTGCTGGCAACCCTCTGCGCAAGATTGAGCCATCTTGGATATCATCCAATAGTAAAGATGCCTCGTGTAAAAGAGTGATTATCTTTTTAATCGCACAAATTGGCTCATCTGGGAGCTGAAGCCAGGTGTTAAGTGCATCAATGATTGCGTTCCTTGTATCCTTTGCTGGTAGAGAGTGGATATACCGGGCAGGACCTTTGATAACCTGACCAAGTAAACAAATGGTCTAAAATTTTGAGCAGCTGCGTGGAACTTACCTCACAATCGAGTGGAGAAAACTCGCTCAGAAATACCGAATTATTCTGGCCCATCTTCTCTGAAGCAGCGCTTTTGGGGACGGCCGGAGGTCGGTTCGACTGCTCATAGCTACCCACACTCGGCATATTGATGCTTGAATAATTTTCCTCGCGCGATTGAACTTTCTGAGCTGCAAGATTGAGAGTTTGTAATCTGTGATTGTGCATATCGGTTGATTCTTCATCCAGGCGCAAGTGGCTAAGCATGTTATAGATCTTGGCAATTCAAAGGACTGTTGTATCATGGAAGCTTTGCGTGGTCTGTTCCTTAGCTGACTGAATATAGAAAGCCCACAGTTCGTGAATAAGCCAATAACTTAGGAGAAGGGTGCAGTTAGCGAAGCCTATCCATAGAAGATCGGCTACAAGGTATATTAATACTCCGTGATGCATCCCGATAATAGAAGACGTATAAGGCCCTTGAATCCTTTTGCTGTTTATTTTGAGCAATGAAATAACATCTTTAAATACTGTATCTATAGGAGATATTACTTTATCTTCGTCATAAACTCCTGTACTATGACGCAGCAACCATTACGATAAATGATAGTTATAACACGTCATGTCGTTTTATCTTACGACATTCTATTGTATATTACTAATCTAAAGTATAATATTGCTACAAAACTTTTCAACTTGTTTTATATAGCAATAAGTGGTGTCGTGCTTTGATAGGTAGTATAGAGACTGATTATGTCGGGGTCGCTACCTTGAATTCTACTTTTGATAGGCTAAACATTAAGAAGAGACGGTCATATGTTGCTCTGACGTCAATTAAATGACCAGTCATCTAGTACGCTCATAGGTTTCCATCATAGATTATCAAGCAGAGACTGTCATGTGTCTATCTTACGGAAGGAGACAGACCAGTCAGCTAATGCACTAAGGGAAACCCACTATAGAGATAGTTATATATATATCTAATAGCAAGAAACAAAACGTTTATCTCATTTACTATAAGACACCGTCATAGAGTATCAAGTAGAGACATACAGGTGTATAATTTAATAGCAAGAAATAGACTAGCTATCCGATATACTAATATAACCCCATCAAATAGTATAAAGCGGAGACACATACGTGTATATTTAACACCAAAGAATAATGAAACTGGCTTCTAAGGCACTAATGTAACCCTATTATATAGTATCTAGCAGAGACACTTACGTGTACGTCTTTCGGAAACTATTTAGACTAGTCTCATTAGAGGCTAACGCGATGACATAGCGTAGCAGACGGCGGAGTTATTGTCCGGCAAATATACCGGGCTGACTTCGTTAGATGAGTTCGCATTGTTTTTTCTGCTTCACACATCATTACAGGGGGTTATGGTTGTATTGCTAAAAGAAGTACAGAGTGGGAACAACTACAGTATTTCGGTTCCACCTGTTGATATAACGCATTTTATAGTAATACGATGATTTCTTCTATCCTACGCAATTTCGAAATAGAGTCTAGCAATGTAGCGTGATGATGTCTTCATAGGCGTAGAATGTCAGACTCATCTATAGCAGTCAATCAACGTCTTGCTAAGGGTTAGCCCTCAGAGTCAGCGGTGACTAGGGCATACTGAGGCAACGCTATTTATCAAGCCTCTACCTTATTCAATATCACGGCTAGTTTCGACAAAGTATTTTCCATCAGGGGATCTTTCGAAAGTAGAATACCATCATCAATTATATCATAATACGCCCAACATCTGTCATCTAATGGAACCTGATACTGTCTTACATCGAACACGCAGTTTCTTACATTGAACACGTAGTTACTAGATGTCCCCCTCATCATGACGTGGTAGTCTCGGCCGCGACATCTCGGTCATTACAGTGTCGGAGTAACAGTACCGGACGTGACAGTGTCGGACGTGATGATCTTGGACGTGGCTTTCTTAGAAGTGGCAGTCTTGGACGTGATGATCTTAGACGTGGTTATGCTAGACCACAGTGGTCTAGTCTCTTTTGAATTATATATAGTATGCCTTGACCTTGAAAAGATGAGTCCGGACTCGTTACGCTTCTCGACAATTGTGTACTTCCATCTTCCATTAGTATAGTTTCCTTCATCCGGAACGAGGTACGGACCGCGCACAGTCATTATTTGGACTATAACAAGCAGGGAGGTCGGCCAATCGAGGTCTACAACACAGTCTGCCGGTTAGTTCCCCAACGCATACACAGAACCACCGGCTAAAAGTTTGACTGAGTAGCACATATTCGTTATACACACGATTATAGCGAAATGACCAACACCGCAGCCGTGATGAGTGAGGTCTCAAACCCTCGGATTCAGTTTGCCGCAACTGTCGGGGGTACAACGCCTAGAGAGAAACAAGGGGCTGCGCAACTGAAGGCAGAGGCGCATCTTATAGAGCACGAAATGGCAATAGCAGCAACCGCAGTAGGGAACCGAATCGGGGTACAAACTACATGGTCACGCGAGACAAGCGGTTGGCGAGCCCTGGGAGCGTTGGCAGCCGCGCGGTTAATGAGCGAGGCGGAGTCTACAGAGCACCACGATACCGAGGCTGCTTCTTATGAAGAGCAAATGCCAGGATATGGCGCAGTTAGCTTTGAAAGGTATGAGCAGTTGGCGTTGAGAGACTACTCGCCTACGGAGAGCGAGTATGCGAGGGCAATAGACGTTCTCGGAGGTTTTTGTGCTGGTCATGTCCCGGTGTATGATGATGTAGACCCGTCACATCACATTGTCGGCGATTTAGTTGATGCCGCGCATGACTGGGAAGCAGAAGCAAGCCGTCTTGTTACCATGGTGCGACCGCTGAAACTTGATAGCTTGAAAGACAACAGCATCAGGATTAGCTGCGATGAATGGAAAATGGTAGCAGAGATAGGGACACGGGGCCTATTTGTGGGCTACCTGGCGTGGACATGCCCTTCTGGTCAAGTGTCCTGCTGTGAGGTGCTTGGTCGAGCACTGATGAGCACGCTAATGGCCGACTATGTCGGAGCCGTGGATGGCGAAATTGCATACGCCTTTCAGCCCTGGATTGACGACATCGGGGCATCCTTGGCCAGAGTAGCGACGACGAAGCCTAATGAGTTGTACGCACTGGCTGTAGCGTTCGCTACAATTGCGGGAGCCAAACGCAGCGTCAACAAACGCAGCTTCAAAAACAAGCGTCAGGTACATGAGCCAAATAGCGAAAGGCACAAGGATGAGGATGGAGACCACATCATGTGGATGGTACGCTGGACGGATGGCGCGGGCAGCCCCTGTCTCGTACACTACAGGCGGGTATGGCGCTGTCGATGGGGCACTGAGAAGCTCGGTGCCTTCGACTGGGCATTTCCGAGTGTATTTGTTTACAATGATATATGCGACGTGTTTGCCGACGTTCAAGTGGGTGAGGCGATGAACTCGGTGCTGTGGACGGCAAGTGCCAGGAATAAGGGAGCAACTGGAGCGCTCAGTCGTGTGTATGGCGACTACGTCATGGCAACGACTGTCCCTGACAATGACGAACAATTTGCCTCGTGTGTGAGGATGTACTGCGCCGGTACCATAATGTACGAGGCACTTCCGCGGTACAGCGGTGCAGCGGACAAGACGCGAGTAGCCGATTGCAAAGCAGCAACAGACTTGGTCGTCACGGTTTACGGGACAGAGGGCATGGTGCGCTCCTGGAAAGGCGACCCGGTGAAAGAAGTGACATGGGCAGAGTTCACGACCATGGGTGAGCAGATCAGGCAGCGGCTAAGGCCATACGTCAAAGAAGACACAGCCCGGTACATTGAAGGCCTGTTATCGGTGCTGAGGTTGGCATACAATGGTATGGATGATGCCGCGGTACAACGTGCCATGTTTGAGCTGTACACTTCCGGGTGTGAGCGGCTTCTCACGGAAGGGGAGCACACTGTAGGGTGGATCTTAGCAGAGATCTTTCATTGCTGGCACATCGAATTACGTGCAGTGGTGAAATGGGCACATTATGCGGATTCGTTGCTGCCAATTGGTGCAGACAATTACGACGGTTCAGTCAGCCCGCATTGCTAGTCGCGAATTAGAATAGACAGTATCTTGGTTCGCTGAATCACACACATTCTATATCCAGAGATTGTCATTTTTTGACATGCTTCAAGTTGAACGTATCTCACACATAGCGTAGACGTGCATATATGTGTGTATAGTCTACAATTGATCAAAGGGCTAAGCTAGTAAATTATTGTCTATCTGTGGGAGAAGGTATCTCTGATAGGTGAACTTGGCTAATCCCTTGGGTATAGCTTAGCATTCTCCTTGATGAATACCATGATTGTGTCGCCCCAAAGAGGGGGGCAAGAGAAGCAACGTTATCCCGAGCCGAGCAAGACACAAGCAGTCAGCGAAAGAAGAATCTGGATAAATATGATGATGTTAATAGAAAGATAGGTACCTATCTGGACGTGGCTGACGAGGAGGAGAATTCTGGTCTGAGCCAGCCAGTACCAGGCCTATCTGACAACGATATTCCACTTCATTATGAACAACTGGTCCTGGAAGCAGCGCATACTCGTTATCATAAGCTGCCTCTGTCCAAGCACCAGCATCAAGGAGTAACCGCATAACAGCTGTACGCCCACCTTCGGCAGCAAAACTCAACGCTGTTCGGCCAAAGGTGGTTGGTCTATCGATGCTGGCTCCATTATTAACGAGCAGCGACACGATGGCCTCTTGGCCCTTTCTGGCGGAATGATGCAACGCTGCCATGCCGGTTCCATCAGTCTTATCAGGGCAGACACCTTTATCAAGACTCTTTCGCACTATGGCACCTTGTCCGTTTCTACAAGCATGGGTTAGCGCGGCTACACCTTTCATTCCTTTCTAGTCAACGTTGATAGTAATGCTATCAGAAGCGAGGGCAAACTCAACCACTTGTTCATCACCGGGACCTACGGGAAACCTGCCCCGATGGCGCTTGTCAAGCAGTAGCAGAGCAGCTCGCGCCTCAATCTGGAGCGGAGCGATCCATGCGATGGTGTATGCCTCTGGATCTAGCAGGTTTATGGCGCCAAATGATCAAGACTGGTGATGAGGAAGTGCGCATGAACATGACTATCCCAAAATGGGGGCAACAGAACTGAGAAAGAAACGTAGATGCACAAGTGCGATGAGTGCGGAATTAGAAGAAGGCTACGGGTTGCTTAGCCCAGCCCAGTGAGGCCGCAGTTTTGGCGTGTGCTTATCATTTGTGCATATTCGCTGCGGGCAGCTAGCTGAGCTTCACCACATACAGGGCTCAGACTTGGAGAGATGCTGTGTCTTAACTCACAATCGTTGAAAGCCAGTCCACCTTCTTGAAGCATTACTGTCCCGGCGACATGATGAGGTATAAAATAGCTGACGCCAGCAGATTAGCCGGTGTTGTTTCTGTGAAGTTCGAGGTACTTTCTATGGCGTGGACGAATGGAGTACAGCATCGCAATAAGCGTCTATCAAAATACATCACGGTGACATCCTCCCGTTGACGCTACCAGGATGGCAGGCGATTGCTTACTCGACATCGCTTGAAAGATCGGTATCGATGATGAAATTCTGTTTGACAGTGCGGGTTGAGGTTCCAGCTGGGAGAAGGCGGATAGTGGTGCAGACGATCTTTGAAGCGTCGATAATCATCAGTGAGTTACAGCACACAGTGGGAAAAAGACGCCCTGCTGGACATGGCCTAGTTGCTTATTCGACCTGACCCAGTATGGAGTTTTACCAGTGAGTTTCTAGAGTAGGATGCACCAAAACAATAACAACAATAACCACTGTAAAATAAAGACGTTCAAAGATTATTCAAGCCACAATATCTATGTAGAGTATTTTCAAGTTAACGCATATACTCATGTACACTGTCAACCGATGAACACTCATGAGGCCGCCAGTGTAATCCATCACAATGGTCAGGTCAACACGAAGCGGGCGGCCGGGGGACAAACCATAATGAGAATGCTCAAGTATCTTGTTTCACATCAGCAAAGTGGTGGATCTGCATTTCTCCGGCGTCACAATACACAGTCATGCTCATTGCCTCCATCCATACCGAGTTGCGAGTACAACCTTGAAGATCATGATGTATTCCGTCTTTGTCTCTGCGAGACCTGTTATAAGACATGACCCGAAAAAATGCTGCCTAATTCAAGTTTTATTCGTGCATCCTTAGTTTCTTTTTATTTTATTTTTGTATATTTTCTTTTCTGTATGTGCAACTAGCCAGTTGTTGTCTCAGAAGTCTCCTTTCCGACGCGGAGCATCGGCGACGACACCGACAGCATCCTGTGCGGAGTACACGTATTTGAGTCAGACCTTTTGGTCAAGCGCTACGGCTGAAAGGTAACGCGCACACTACGGAGTATATAGACCTTAGTTGGTTAATGCTCGTACTGAGATCAATGCGTAGTCTTTTGCCAGTTGGCGTGACAGTACAGAATTCCGTTATAATGAAATGGCTATGATTAGGATAAGACTGCTGCGATTTTGCAATCATCTCATACTTGATGCGCATCTCGTACGGCTGCATGCATGTTGACAGCTGCATCATCGGCAGAGCCGCCATGCACTGCTTCATCACCACCTCGCATCGCTTCAGCTACAAGAATGCATGCCCCTGCCATCCAAGTGTGTTCAGCTGAATCGCCGCGGTGAGCTAACCACTATTGGTACAGCACTGTGTTTCGGCGCCCAGTCCTGCCGCCATTCCCGCAATATCACAATCTGATGATACATGTTTCTCATGACGACCATGTACTCCGTAATCCGAGACACGATATATGTATTCAAGTAGCACCGTCGTCCAGCAGTATAAGAACCCTTGGTCAGTACCATCATCTGGGTTTTACTGGGCGCTTCATTCTCCATCCAACTTCCCCTCCTACATTCTCAATTACATCTACACAAGCTACACAGCCCAGACACCATGAAAATCACAACCATCTTCATGACCGCTCTCGCCGGTCTGGATCTTGCTACCGCGGCGGCGGTGGCGGCGCCTCCTGAGATACAGAGCCTGGAGCAGCGACAAACATGTGCGATCCCTAATGTCGGCTGTTACGGCCAACGGGACTGCTGCGGTGGTCTCAAATGCAATTTTAGGCAGAGCTGCTGCAATCGCGACGACGACGGTTCGCGTGGCAAAGCAAAGAGACAGAGGTGTGGCTGCTGTGTTAAATAGAGGGGGGAGCTGATTAGCATTTCGGAAAGAGGCAGTCGTTGTAAGGAGTTCTCGAGAGAGTTTAAGCTCGGCCGACTGTTGTCGGGTTACTACTGCCTTGGCAAGCATAACAAACTCAACAAAGATAGCATATTGAAGATTTTGTTGTTGCCGCATCATATACTATTTTCCTGCTGTTGTCTGTGACTCTCAAGTTTCCGCCGTTTAAGGTTCGAAAAAGGTCGAGTTTCCAAGACTCGAAACCCTCCACCGGATAAAGCACCCACCAATGTTACTCGCCGCCTCGTGAAAGTGGTAATTAGTAGTTAGCGCAGTGTGCAACGGGCATTATCCCGACAACAGTCAGGAAAAAAAAAGAAGAAACACCAGCCAATACGTCATCTTCACCTGCGGTCATCGAACTACGCCTTGAAAAATTCAGTACGAAAAGTTTCCTACCAGAAAAGTTTCCCTCGGTCCCGAAACCACACCACTATGCCCGGAGGGATCGGGGCCGGGGAACAAGGCACTGCCGCTATTCGCCCCCCGATTTATTCTTGGCTTGCGTAGGCCCGTAGGGCTGGCCGCGCGGCTTTGCCAACCTAGTGAGCACTCACCTGCGCCGCAAGCAGCAACTGGGACTTTTTGGGCATGTGGCGAATGTGCATTAAATTGTTCGTTTGACCAGCAACAGTCATTTTCTAGTCGGTTCGATTACGTGCGTAGACCGATCTTTTCAGCCGCTGAGGACCCCCGGCTGCCTAGAATTGCGTGTTTGACTTACACGGTTGAGCGGCTGCCTACCTGTTGCGTGGCAATTGCGTAATGCTCATTTGTATTTATATGTGGTCCATGACCAGTCGGACTCTCGATTCTCTTTGACCTTTTCTTCTTCAGAGTATCGCTCTATCTCTAATTCTTCAAACACCAATTCTCTTACACTGCACCAAATATATTCGACACAGGAAGTTGATACCGAAATCATGGCCCCCACGCAACAACCAAACTCGGACGCTGCCGCCTTCTTTGAACAGATGATGGGTTTGGACTCCAACCGTTTTGGCGCTACCAGCCGTGGTGTCGACCATAGCGGCTCCGACTACACCAGTCATCCTACCTTTTGGCCCGGCTTCCCCTTTGGCCGTCCTCCTCATCCTCCTCCTCCCCCTCCTGGACCACCAGGCTCTGACCATCCTCGCCCTTCCAGCCCTCCCGGCCCTGGCCGCCCCGGTCGCCATCGTCATCACCATCCTCCCGGAGCTTGGGGTTGGGGCGGCCGCGGAGGCGGTGGTTGGACTGTAGATGATGGCGACTTTTACTTTAGCGACGACCATCACCGGGGCGATTACTGGGGAGGCCGTGGCTACGGACGCCACGGCCGTCACGGACGTAGTCGTCGTCACCAGCATGATAGCGATGAAGAGGGCACCCGCGACAGACCCGTCAGCGTTGCCGACGAGGAAAAGAATACCAGGTCGTCTGACGAGAAGAAGACGAATGCTTCAGGAGATGAGAAGAACGGCTCTCCCGATACTGTGAGAGACGATGTTCCCGATCCCGATGAAATGGTTCCCGAGTACGAAGAGGCAAACAAACATCATCACAGCGAGCCCTTCACCGGCGGCTTCGGTGGCTTCGGTGGCTTCGGCCGCGGCTGCGGAGGTGGCCGTCGCGGCCGCGGCGGTCGCAGAGGCTCACACAGTCGCCGCAATCACAACGACCGCAGCGGCTGGCCCTTTGATACCACCGCTCCCGGCGCCGGTCCCAACAACGCCTTTAGCTTCCCCGACATGATGCGCGGCCTCATGAGTCACCCATTTGTGCAGCAGATGGGCGCCGCCGCCGCGCGCGGCTTCAACGTGGACAACAACACGACCGAAAACCACGACGACGACGACGTCGACTCCTTCTCGCCGCCCGTCGACCTCTTTAACACGCCCCGCGCCTACGTCCTGCACGTCGCCCTACCCGGCGCCAAGCGCGAGGACATTGGCGTTCACTGGAACGCGGAGCACGGCACGCTCTCCATCAAGGGCGTCGTGCACCGCCCCGGCGACGAGGCCTTTTTGCAGTCGCTGCACTCGGCGGAGCGCCGCGTCGGTGTCTTTTCGAAAAAGGTTGTGCTGCCACCGCGGGCCGTGGGCGCCGCGAGCGAGCAGCAGCTGAAGGAGGACGTTGACGCCGAGGGCATTGCGGCCAAGTTGGACGATGGCGTCCTGGTCATCATGGTGCCAAAGGTGGAAAAGGAGTGGACAGAGGTCCGCAAGGTGGACATTCTGTGAGTATACCTTGTGGTACGGATTTCCTTGATATGACAGCACAACCATGGAAAGATGGAAAAAAGAGAAAAAAATGAAAAAAAAAAAATGACATTAATGAAGCCACAAATGGGACAGATTATAGTAGCTTTATTTCGCTCAAGTTAGAAGACGTCGAGAACCTTAATGCGGAGGACAATAAATAAATAAACTTCGAATAAATTGGCAACGCTCAAGACTAGAAGCACACATGATGTGATGATGCGTGCTGCAATGCGCGTGAAAAGAGAAATTCAAAAGTAATCAGCAAATTGTACTTGGCCCATTTACAAGGATCTATAGAAAATAGCAACAGTACATTATAAACGCCGTGACAGAATATTAACCACAACTATCTCCATCTTGACCAGCCTGATGCCCCTCGTGATCCCAAACACGTATGAACCTCTCTCCGAAAAATGTTTCCAACTCAATTCCGCTTTCCTCATAACAGTCATTCATGGTATATCTTGCATGCATTTTACATACTTTCAGCTCATTCATCTCAGACCACAGCAGTGACTCGTCGGACACTTCTTCTAGCACCGTCACCAGTGATGGTGATGGCGTTCTCCGCCTCCAGTGCCCGCATGGCCTCAGTGAAATCAGCCTGCTCAACCGGGATACTCGAGTTCTCGCCCAAACGGCGCGCCACGTCGCTCCATCGAACGGCATTGCCCGCCGAGGTCATTTCATCGAGTAGTCGAAGAGTTGCGTCCTTGAGCTCGGCCTTGCGCTTGCGGTCGACGGCGCTGGTGCCCTCAGTTAGGAGGCTCATGTCGATGCGGCCCTGAGCATCAGTGGCGGCAGTCTTGAGCGCGCTCTGGATGAGACGGTTCGCTTCCTGGACGTCTTCGCGCGTGACGACCTCGGACAGGCGCATCTTGGCATGGGCCTCGGCGAGACGAATCATCGACTCGAGCTGTCGGGTGGTGGCAGTAATTCGCTTCTCGGCAGCGCGGACGTCTTGGCCGAGAGCACGCATGGCAATATAGCACTCAACGAGCTCCTTGCCTGCCTCCTCAGAGATCGTAGGCTGGATATTAGAGCGGGCATAGGAAATGTACATGGTGAGGAACTCGACGGGAAGAATATCCAGAGAGGATGGGGCAGACTGAGGCTTGTCTTCAATGTACAGAGACAGTAAGTGCTTGGCCAGACGTCTGTCCATCTTCTCATCGACTTGGTCCAGCATCAGATACACAAGATCGAAACGGGAAAGAAGCGTAGGCGGCAGGTCGATGTTCTGAGGCACCGACATGTCGGGGTTATATCTGCTACCAATGGGGTTGGCAGAAGCAAGAATACTAGTTCTGGCATTGAGAGTGGTAATGATACCAGCTTTGGCGACGGAAACAGTCTGCTGCTCCATCACTTCGTGAAGAACGGAACGAGTGGCGTCGGACATCTTGTCAAACTCGTCAATACAGCAGACACCACCATCAGATAGGACCAGAGCTCCAGATTCAAGGACGAGCTGCTTGGTTTCAGGGTCACGAGTAACGTAGGCAGTCAAGCCAACAGCCGAAGAACCTTTGCCACTGGTGTAGACACCGCGCGGAGCGATTCTGTGGACGTATGCAAGAATCTGAGACTTGGACGTCGAAGGATCACCACAAAGCAAGACGTTGATGTCGCCTCTGTATTTGGGGCTACCGCCTTTTTCAAAGGTCTTGTTTGTGCCACCAAAGAGCTGGAGCAGTATGCCCTTCTTGACATCGTCTAATTCGTAGACAGATGGGGCGAGAGATCTAGAGAGAAGGTCGTAGATGTCTTCTCGCGCGCCAGTTTCACGAATCTTTTGCTCATTCTCCGGAGAGATGGTACGAGTCTCTTGAATGTCATTTGCGCCTCTGTCAGCGTCTTCATCGCCCTCGACGCCGAGGGTTGATGCGTCGACGCCCATACGCTTCTTGTCTACCTTTTGCACGTGAAGAACGTCGACATAGGTCTTGTACACACTCTTGACAGCGCGTTGACGAGGGTTCACGCGAACAGGGCTGACGCGGAAAATGCCAGTAAGCTCGACGCGGTCGCCGGCCTTGCAAAAATCGACCAGCTCATTATAAACGCAGACAGACACCGAGTGGGGTGTCTGGCCTGCAGGCACAACATCGGGGGTCTCTTGTAGCTTGATTACCTGCTTATCCTCGAAAGAGCAGCGATTGTGAACAATTTGCATCGAGTTTTTAGAACTGCAGATACGGCGGGGACACTCGGTGGGTTCGCGAATTTTTCCACGGTCGAGGCCGACGTTGACAGAGTGGTTGCAAATGTTGCATCGGAAGAAGGCATCCTTCATATCAGGAATGACGGGAGTCGTACGAATGACGAGTCCCTTGACGCAGATAAGGCGGTCCATGTCTGAACAAATTAGCTTCAGTCAAAAGGGACGGAAGTTGAGCAACATACCGGATGGGTTGAGATCTCTCAAATTGGTCGTCTTATCCAGGCCAAAAGGACGAACAACGTAAATGGACGAAGCAACCTGGTCTTCGAGCGAGGGCTGGGGGTCTTGTGTTGGCCGGGGAGTAGCAGGCTCATCTGGTCTATCAGAGCTTGGAAATACTGGTTCCGAGCTCTGTCTGCTCTGCTGAGACTCGCCCTGCCCGTTGCTGCTCTGAGTTGGTCTGTTTCGATCCTCAGCACGGGCAATCTCAACCATGAGATCGTGCACAGACTGATCCATGACAGGAACGATTTCTTGGGGATAAGCCTGGATCTGGTGCCAGAGCTTTCTTGTGGGAGGGTAAAGATTGAGGTCGGAGATGTCAATGTAGAGTCGCGTAGTGCCAAGAAGAAGCATGTTTTCAAGAGCCTCCTGATAAGGCTTGACCTCGGCGTCTGGGTCGGCGCGCACTTCCGCATCTGAGAAACCGTCACGATACAGGCGGTACTTTTGGGTGAAATTGCGTAAAAACTCTTTGAAAGCCGCGAAAGTGTCATCAATAGAAACCGTCGTTCCCCAGATGAGACTCTGGCCTTGTCCACCAAGAATGTCGGCCTCGGAAGTGTTTGTGTCGCGATTAGCGTAAGAGGGAGCATCGGAACCGTCAACAGGGCCCTCGCGAACAACTCGCCCGCTCTCGTCAAGAATGACACGGCGTGGCACACGAGGGGTCCGAAGAGCATCGGAGTTGATGTCACCACGTCTGCGCGAGGCAGTACTGCCGGCGTCGGACCCGAGGAACAAGCCACTGCTCTCACTGCGCAGTTCGGATTGATGTCGTAGTGAGCGTCCAGGGCTCGAGCTCGGGTCAAATCTGAGGGGGGATGATTCTATACATCGAAATATTAGTTCTGAGGATGCGCAGCAGAAGACACAAAGCAATCATACCTCCGAGAAGGGTGTGTCTAGCTCGAGGAGTAGCCTGGTCGTCCACGACCGACTGTGTGTCGCTCATCTGGAGGAGCGGTGAGCTCGGAGGAGCATCATTGCGAGCGTGCGTGCTTTGGCTGTCCGTCATCTGGCGCAAAGGCGACGACACGTCGCCTATGGCATCGCGCTGGACATCACCACGGCCGGGCGACGAGGGCACATTGGCAGAGGACTGGCGCGCAGAGCGACGAGGTGTCGCAGACTGCGAGTTTCGTTGCCTACGTTGTGGCGGCGACGACATATTTGAGAGGACGATTTGGAAAAAAGCGAAAAGAGGAAAAGGGATTAAACCAGGTCTGATGGAAGAGATGCAATAATTTGTTTGCAGCACCCAACGAGGGGCAAGGGAGCAGCAAATCGGGGCGGGTCGCGTCAGGCACGTATAGATGGGGACGCGTAAAGTACTTACTCAAGACGCGTTTCCCATTAACAGGCCAGATGCTGTGGCCCGTGCGCACGCGACATCAAGACCGGGACGGCAAAAGGTTATGCCGCAGATTGCGGGCTGGAGGGGCTCGCAGGGACACCTGGTGAACTTGCTAGTGCGCCATCATGTGTGGCAGGCAATAGCTTCATTGACTGACCGATTGACCACGTCGAGCCCGCCCAAAATGTCTCCCGGAATGACCCTGTTCTCGGTCCAGGCCATCCTGGTCCTCAGTACCGAAGACGGCTCAAGAATATTCGCCAAATACTTCACACCTCCCCACGCCACTTCTACAGGTAACAATGTGCTTCCACTCGTGCCCCTTGTCCATCGAAGACCTTCGCCGCACAGTCGACTGACGTGAGCTTCCCTTGTCGCAGGTGCTTCTGTAAACCCCTACCCCGATACCAAGTCACAAAAGGCCTTTGAAAAGGGTCTTATTGAGAAGACGGCCAAGCAAACTGGCGATATTATTCTCTACGACAACCGCATCGTTCTCTACAAGCCCGAATCCGACGTCATGATCTACCTTGTCGGTGCTGCCGACGAGAACGAAGTTTTGTTATATAATACCCTGCTTGCTTTCAGAGACTCTCTGCATCTGCTGTTCAAGTACGAACTCGTTTTACCGCTAATTAGCTTCTGCGCGCCCACTCGAATGCGCGTGTCAGATAATGCTAACCACTGCTTTTTAGACAATCTGTCGATAAGCGCACCATTGTCGAAAATTACGATCTTGTTTCGCTCGCAATTGACGAGATTGTCGACGACGGCATCATCCTCGAGACGGACCCCACGATTGTCGTGCAGCGCGTCAGCCGCGCACCCACTCAGGACCTCCAAGTCGGCCGCATTGATCTTAGCGAACAGGGTGTCAACAACCTGGCGCAACTCGGCAAGTCTAAACTCGCCGACTGGCTGCGACAAGGCTTGTAGTTTCAGCTGTGAAAGTATACTAGACGTCAGTGGGCGAGCGACCTTTTGCCTTGGTGGCAGAACACAAGAAAAACGAATATTAAGGCATCACGATAAAGGGGCAGGGGCAGGGTAATCAACCGACGGCAAAGAAACTGTGTCCGTAAGGTGACGACGAATTTCGCAGGGCGTAATACGCTATCTTTTAGAGGGTATGAAAATTATATTTGTCTTCTATAATGGGTGCATCACGATCTAAGTTCCGATGCTGCTTTGCGCAAGCGATTCATGACCGCCGCCGCAATGTCTAATTCTCCGTCTATACCGTCGACAAATATCGTGTCGGCGCCTCGGCTATCGAGCTCACGTAGCGCCGCAAAGAGCCCTTGGGCAATTCTCTTTGCGTCCTTGCCCAGGTTCACATCAAACAGCTCGCCAATCACTTGGCCTCCCGGACCAGCAAGGTCACCTGTATAGACTTCATATGAAGGCTTGTCGATTTCCGGAGCCACAGGTGACGCCTCGCGCCAGTTTTTCACCTGTAAGCCGGCAGCCGCTTCCCACCGCTCCGTTCGAATGACGCCGATCCTTCTCGCCGGTCGCGCTCCGTCGTCTTGCGGGTGGCCATGTTGTGACGCACTCGCGGCCTTGATATCCGCAGGTGCGATGCCATTCTGGGCAGCGTCATACGACGCTTCATATAATACGACGTGCGCCTTGGGGCTATAGTGCTTATATTTCATGCCGGGCGCTCTCGGCGCCGCCTTGCCCTCTTCGCTGTGATCTTTGTATGCTTTGACAACGTGCTCCCAGCCGGGACAGCTGCGCAGCTCATCCATGCTGATCCCACCCGGACGCAACACAATCGGCGGGTCGCACAGCCCGTCGACGACGGTGCTCTCGACGCCGACCTGGCTTGGCCCGCCATCCAGGATGAGCTCGATGCGCCCGTCCAGGTCATGCCGGACGTGGTGCGCCGCCGTCGGGGACGGCTTCGTCGAGGCGTTTGCCGACGGCGCCGCCAAGGGCACTCCCGCCAGCTTGATGAGCGACAGCGCGAGCGGCGATGACGGCATGCGCACGCCAAACGTGGCCAGCCCGGCCGTCACCTCGGGCGCCAGCCGCGACGGCTGCGCGTTGGGCAGCAGTATCGTCAGCGGACCTGGCCAGAACCTGTCAATCAGCGCTCCGTATCTCTCCGGGAGCCCATCGCGCGCCGCGGCATCGGTGCCTGTCAGGCGCCGCAGCATCTGCAGGTCGCAGACGTGCACGATGAGAGGGTTATCCGACGGGCGCCCTTTGGCCGCGTAGATACCCTTGACTGCCGCGCTGCGCGTCGCGTCGGCTCCCAGTCCGTACACCGTTTCCGTCGGAAAGGCTACCGGCGTGTCCCGGTCTCGAAGGTGAACGCCGGCTTGGGCAAGCGCTTCGACAGAGCCGCGCGACGAGGCGGCGTCGCTCACGCACCACTCCTCCAACCGGCTGGGACCCTTGGAGTCGCGAAAGTGGCCCAGCTCTAATCCCCGCGCGGGAATTCTGACGACGTGCGTCTGCATGGTGAGCGGCGTCCAGGCCAGGCGCGATCGGAGAGCAGTCGATATAAGTCGACGGACCGCAGTGGTGATGGCCAGCGTGAAGTTTGCTGCTCTTGTGTTGCTTTGGGGCTGGACGCCTGCTGCCGCCACCTGCGCGAACAGCTTTTCAATAGTTTAGGTCTTGCTGAGTGCACTCTCAGAAAGTTTGATTCGATATTGAATTGTAGATGAGTTGTGAGTCGGTTTATGACTCAAAGCAAAAAAAATTCATGATGCGGCTTGATCCGCTTCACTTTTTAGTGGAGCATTCGAAGCCTTTGGTTGTGTGTATTTGCATTTTCACATCGGACTTCTTATCGGAGGAAACTTTCCTAGTTCATGGCTCGAGAATTTCCAGACGTCGTACAGCGCAACGTCGGGAGTCTGATTTTCTCTGATATTCTGGAAACCAGGCTGTTCAGTGTTGTCGAATCGCGGTATGCCCAAGTATACGGTAGAGCACAGTTGATCCCCAGATATCGTACTTTTATTTCTTCTATATTGAACCGATGCATTTTTCTCCGTCTAGAAACTCCGTCGCGTCCTTCTATGCACGACGCACAAGGGCCCTTGCCTTTTTCTTCTCATCCTCAGTCAGCGTCCACTCGATGCCGTCGTCGCCGTCGAGCGCAACCAGTTCCTCCCACTCTTCGTCTTCCATGTTGGCCACCATCATGAGCTGTGTCACCTTGCCAAACTCCTCCCGGATGCCGTAATGGCCCTTGGCGACGATACTGACAATGGCCGAAAAATCGCGCTCGATACGTATGGCGCCGTAGTCACTCGTCTTGCCCGAATAGCTCAGGATTCTCTTTTCCAGAACCCGGGATAGGTACTTGGCCGTCGTTTCCAACAAGATACTAAACGTGGCTGGCGTCATGATGCGGCCGATGGGTTTCATCAGCATGTCCCAACCGCGCTCAAATCGGCGTGCCACCATCTCGTTGGCCTGCTCCGGGTCTTCCTCGTTTTGCTCAGCGTACTCGGCGAGTTCCTCCTCCGTCAGCGTATAATCGGCATCACGGAAGGTCTCGGCAAGGACCGGCCGCAGGCGTAGCTTGACGACCCGCTCGAATAGGACATTGATTCCTTCACCGAGCAATTCGGTGGATTTTGCCAAGAACGTCCTTTGAAGCTTATGCAGCTGGTTCGCGACCATGATGGCGTCTTTCTCAAAGGGAAAAGGTCCCTTTAGCCCCTCACCCGGGACTGCAATGGGCGAGTTCTCCTCGGAGAGTGTTATGCGACCCTCAATTATCCTGTCAAGATAGCGATTCGCTGTGTCCAAACTGTTTATGAGGACAATGAATTGAACTATTTTGTCTTCTGGTGGAAAACCACCTTGTATTACCGGCTTTGGATAAGTTTCATCACGCATCTTGCGTTGTATCATACCAATGAAGTCCGCCGACAGAATTCGCTCAATCGAGGGAATCACGTTTGATGCCACGTCTCTCTGGGACGTTGAAATGGACTTTTGTATCGTAGAATTCATGATGTACATGACATCATCCACGGCCGAGATAATGTATGGCGCCTCACCTGATATAGGTTTGCTCATCTTCAACGACAGTCCTGGCGGATACTCGTCCAGCTGAAACGACTTTTCTACAGACCGTCGAAAGAAGAAGCCCGTCATGATATTGTATGGTGACACGAGCTTCCCCATAATCTTTTTGTACAGGTTGGATCTGATTATCACCTCCGCGGTCGGCAGCGTGGAATCATCAGAGTCGGGAACCTATCAGATTATTAGCCCAGTGTCTAGCTGGTATCTTTTGCACTTTGGTGAGATTTCGTGTACTTACAACACATTTACCAGAAATGAACCTCGTGTAAAGTGACCAACGGCCAAGCATGACTGCGATTTCGCTCAGCAAAGCGTCCACTTCTTTCATATTCACGCCTTCATCCTCACTGCCGCGGCCATCGGTCCCTGTACCCACTGCTGGCGAGCTCATGCGCGGAGTGTTGCTTCGTGATTGTGGTGGCAGAAAGCTTTGTACCAAGAATGAAAATGGATAGCTCTTCACATCAGTCATCTTCCTATCCAGGCTGCGCTCGTCAGCCCAAGTGTCGAGAATAATGCCGCCCTGCACATCTGCTTCCATCTGGAGCCTCTCGATAACGCGAACCATTTTCCCCGCGCCATAGTGTCTCTCCACCAAGCCTCCATGGCCTTCGACAATTTGCGCAATGTGCTCAAACAATTTTGTGAGAGCGTTGGCATAGAAGAAGCCGTCTTTGCGTGTCTGCCCACCGATACCGTCCTTGAGCGTCGTCCTAGCTGTCCCAGCGACACCCTGGCATACATATTTCCCATATACGTCTAGGCCGACTTCTGTGCGGTCGATGAGAGGAAATAGCTTGAAAAATCTAGTGACTTTGGTCCCGTCACCGTCAGCGGCGGCCTTTTCGAACTCGCGCAGAAACAATGTGCAGAGGCTCTCCTTGGCGTTTTCGAGCGTCGTCCACGGCGCATCCGGCACCTCGACGCTGGGCACAATCCCCGCGGCAAAAGAGCCCTTGATAATCTCCTCGGGAACATAGCCCGCCCTGGACAGATACCCGGCGGCCGCCTCCCAGTCTTGCGGAGCCCCCATGGAGCCCACGACGCCGTGCACGCAGGCCTTGAGCTCCGCCACCTGTTCCACCACGCGCAATGTATCCTCGACGCGGCTCTTTTCGAGATCCAGCTTCTTGACCTTGCTGCTCAAGTCGCCCGCCGTCTCGGCGGCCGTGGCCAGCATCTCGTTGCCAATGGAGCGTGTGGCAATGACCTGGGAGCCCAGCCCCGCGCGCAGCATGTCCAGCCGGCCGAGGTCCCGCGAGAGGTCCGTCTGCGAGGCAATCAGTTTATCGAGGCGTCGGGTGATGCCCGCTTCGCGGACATGCAGCGCATCGAGGGCGGCTCGCACGTCGGCCAGCGTGGCGGCATTCTCGAGCCCCGCAACGGCGGCGGCATGGTGGTTGTGGTGTTTCGCTGAGGCAGTCGTCGTGTCGTCGCTGTGGGCGCGATTGGCACCGCTGTGCATTAGAGCGGACATTGGCGCGGATACGTTTGGCTGGAACCGCGCATCGCTGCCGAGCTGGCCCGTTCTGTGTTGTGTTAGAGTGCTTATGAGTTTGGCGGAGAGAAGCTCTTGATGTTGGCCTCGCTGCCACTCCAGCAGCGGGCCGTCCAGGCTGGCTGGTGGGCTCACCCTACCCGGAGACGACCCATTCAACCGTCGACCCTCACAATGCTCGTAGCAACGCAAATAAACGGTCGACCATCCGTCAGTCGGAATTTAGCCTTTCCGATCTAATTGGCTTGATCCAAAATCACGCACACGAACACGAAATGTCGAAGGTGCGTGAGACAATAGGTGTAAGTCACGTTATGCATTATGGGGAGGTCATGGGCGCTCAAGTTTCAGCATCACAAACTAGACTCACCGGCCTTGACCGGTCAACACAGATACAAAGTCAATCAACGCACGTAAAGTGTGACTTTTAACATCCGAACAGATAAATTGATACCACAATTGCTTTGCGCCACCCGATTATGCAATAAAGCTCTAGTCGCCATCTAGTCTACCTATACGGCTTGGCTATAACCGCTCACTAAACGCCGTTGCCCGTACTTTAGATATTTCCTCAACTCGTCTGCCCAAAAGACTGTGCTACACAGGACCATCAGACGAAAGAGATCGCCCAAAGTCAACGGCACAGTCTGAAAGACTTCCTGTAGCGCTGGCAAATAGATGACAAGAATCTGGCCCACGATGCTGAGTGACACGGCCCAGTTGAAAAGGTTGTTGGAAAAGAGGCCGACTTCGCCGCGGAGAATCGATTTACTTTCAGACCGGCAGCTCAAAGCGTTGAACATGTCAAACAGGACGAAGCAGGTAAAGGTCATGGTTGTGTCACGACGCGTCACCTCGCCGTCGGCAAGCATTTCATGGCTGTAGATGAGCATGGTTCCAACCATGATAATAAAGGCAGATGTCAATACGCGCGTAATGACACCACGTGTGAGCACAGGGTCATTTCGTTTCCTTGGGGGCTTGTTCATAACGTCTGGATCAACGGCTTCCACGCCGAGAGACTGGGCCGGCGGACCGTCCATGATGATGTCTGAGAACAGTGTTAGCAAGGCAACCTCAAGGGTGGGCTAGAGTGCTTCGACTTACTGATCCAGAGAATCTGCATTGGGTTCAGCGGATTTTTGAAGCCAAGCAAGGTGCAGAGAAAAACGAGCGATAGACCAGCGGCACTGGTGGAGAGCTGAAATCTGAGGAAATTCTGAATGTTACTGAATATGCCCTTGCCCTCTTCGATGGCGCGCAGAATGGTCGAAAAGTCGTCGTCAGTAAGAATCATATCCGCAGCTTCCTTGGCGACGTCGGTGCCGTGACGGCCCATGGAGATACCAATATCGGCCTTTTTCAGTGCCGGCGCATCATTGACGCCGTCACCAGTCATGGCGACGATATCGCCTCGAGACTGAAGAGCGCGGATAATTTTGAGCTTATGATCGGGAGTCGTTCTAGCGAAAATAGTCGTGTGCTGCATAGCATCTGCGAGAGCCTCATCCGACATTTTGTCAATCTCGTCGCCTCGCAGCACTGGCCTGACAGTAGTCTGTCCAGCAGCATACGAGCTGGCAGTAGCGATATTCATGCCCAACTGCTTGCCGATAGCGAGAGCCGTCATTTCGGCATCTCCGGTAATCATAATGACTCGGACCCCGCCGCGCATGAGTCGTCGGATAGATTTGCCAACGCCGGGCCTAGGTGGATCACTCATGCCAACAAGTCCAGCGAATGTTAGGCCCTTGAAGGCCTCCTCTCCGGGAAGAGTAGGGGACGCTTCCATTACTGGCGTGCTGCTTCGTGCGCTAGATCGGCTGAAACGCGAGACAGGCCCACTGGCAAAGGCAAGGACGCGGAGGCCCTTTGAAGCCATTGATTCCGCGGCTTGGAGTGCTTCTTGTCTGCGAGCTGAGTCGAGAACGATTTCTCGACCATCCTTGTCAAGGTATGTGTCACAGGCTGCAAGAACCTTCTCAATGGATCCTTTCATGTAGGCGTATTCCTTCTCTTGACCAATGATGACGCCCATCCACTTTCTGTCTGAGCTGAATGGGATATCATTTGCACGGGGCCCGACAGATTCGCGAGCATCGTGCTCTTTGAACTTGTCTAGAAGGTCCATCATGGCAACATCGGTGGGCTGACCGGCCCATCGTGTAAAAGATGGAGTATCACCTCGACCTAAAGTCGACGACATCACAGCAAGAGATGGAACAGAGCCTTCTGTATGGCTATGCACAAGTCTTGCATTGTTGGCAATATTACCAATGCGTAGGATTCTAGAGGCGGCCTGAGAGAGGCTGGATTCAATAGCTTCAGCTTCCTCCTCAACATTGATCACCTCTCGGCCAAAATACCACATCTCAGCTGTAGTCATATGGTTGGTTGTGAGTGTACCCGTCTTGTCTGTGCAGACGACATTGACAGACCCAAGCGTCTCGACCTTGGGCATACGGCGTACAATGGCATTGTGTTTTGCCATGCGGTGTACGCCCAGAGCGAGAGTAACGGTAACGATGATGGGGAGACCTTCGGGGATGGCGGCGACAGCCAAGGAAATGGAAATGGTGAAAATTTCCAACAACCTCTTGCCCTGGAGTAGGCCAACAAGAGAAATGAGACCAATGACAACAAACGACGCCTTGCTGAGCTGCGAGCCTAGATCATCCATAGAGAGCTGCAAAGGTGAGCGAGGACTTTCGGTCCCAGACACACTTGTTGCAATCGCACCAAACTGTGTGGCCCCGCCAGTGGCGAAAACGATACCCTGACCGTGGCCAGACTTGACCAAAGTTCCCATGTAGGCAACGTTTTCCATGCTTGTGGTGGCATTGGGCGCGAGCGAAGAGTTGGAAATTTCATCGCCAAACTGGGGCATGACGTGGCGACGCTTCGCTTCGGCACCGACGCGAACAGGATCGGTTTCTCCAGTGAGGTTGGAAGCGTCAATTGTAAGATCGGCGGCCTTGATAACGCGAACATCAGCGGGGATGCGGTCGCCAGTGGTAAATAATACCAAGTCGCCCGGCACTAGCTGAGAAGCCATGACCTTGGAAGAAGTGGCATCTAGAACGCTGTCTTCGGGTGTCTTGGTGCCGGGAACGCCGATGTCTTGAGCATTCGTGATGTTGGAAGGCAGCGCGGGTCCTTTTGGGGATGAAGACTTGTGCGACGAGCTGCGCAGGAGGTGAGCGTGATTTGGAACCAAATGATTCAGTGCTTCAATTGATTTCTCTGATCTGTATTCTTGTATAAAGCCAACGCTGACAACAATAGTAACAGCGACTGTGATGCTGATTGCATCGTCGGTATTTCCCAGGAGCAGCGACGCGCCGGCAGACACCAACAACATCACAATCAAGGGCTCTTGGAATTGCTTAAGGAAGCGAAGCCAAAGAGGCTCCGGGTCGTCGTGGGGGATCTCGTTGGGGCCATAGCTGCCGAGTCTGATGAGACCTTCGTTTGGGGTAAGTCCGTGAGTGAGGGAGGTACGCAGGCGGGCGGCGGCTTCGCTCGGGGTCATGAACGAGAATTCATCTGCGACACTCTGCAAGAGGGTTAGCTAACTGAGTAAGAAGAGACATGGAGCGGCAGGAAACTAACACGGGCATGCGCCGATGTGGTTCTGGCGTGTCGCGGCCGAGACGTTGGCTGATCATAGTCGGCGAGCTCAGAGCCTGGGCCAGTGATGGTTGGCATTGACGAGGTTGGCAGCAGAGTGCTGTTGTCTGCACGGCCCCGTTCAGACCATGGCAGTGACATGGTTGCACTTGGCACGAATCGGCGCGAGGGGAGTTGCGGGAGCGTCAATCGCTGTGTTGCAGATCTCGCGATATCATGGGGGCTGATGAACGACGTGTCGTCTTTGACGTAAGTTGAAGCGCAGGGGGGAGGGTAGTAGCGCGCTGCAGAACCTGCTTTGCCTCTCTTGATTGAAACGGGTAACAAGATTACAGAGGGCGCAGACCAGACGGGGTCTGGATGAGAAGCAGACCGAGTCGCAGATGTTGGGAAACAGAATATCCGACACTTCGCAAAGGAGAGTCAGTCGCAAAGGTTGAATGCTGGGTCAGTATTTACCAAGGATACCTAGGATAGGCCGACTGGGCGGTCCCTTTTTGGTGGGGCGGCAAGGGGCCGGAGGCTGCAAGGCACCTAATACTAGCAGCCTAAGCCGAGCTGTGCGTGGACGACACAAGACGAGATGCTGAGGTACGGTATGCCCTTAATAAGCAGAAAGGGCAGAGGATGATGTGATGATACTGCTGAGCCTAGATTGTGATTTTCTGCAGCTGCAATTAAGCGTCATGACTGCACGACTTGGCCCCGGAAATAAAGTTCTGGTGCAAGCTGGGGCTTGATCCCTGGGGGTTTCTGAAGAGATGTGTAAAGTGCGATCTGACACGGTAAGCAGCTTCTGCTGGAATAGGAACTGAGTTTCGATTTGAAAAGATTTAAGAAACGATTTTTGAATTCATCTGCATTATACATAGCAAAGAGGCTCTGATAGATAAGATGTACAACATGCAGCACTGTCAGGTCTCGGACGAGGCAAGAGACGCTAGGCCTCTTTAGACCTCTTCCACGCTGTAATAAACATCACGATTCACCACACAGGGGCCGACCGGAGCTGTTCACCCGCAAACCTGGGATGTGGGGGACCAAACATGATGCCAACAGACGCAACAAGACTCGCTTGTATCTACTGATAGATAGGTAGCTATTTGCAGATATCTATCTAGATTCTTCATGCAGACCTGAATGATGTTCTCAACTAAACAATTGGTCCCTCCCCCCGATTCTTCCCATTTCAAAAAGCATCTTCCAGCACTATGTACCTAAGTCTGCTCGTCCACCTAACAATTACTGGCAGCCCACTTATCCCAGACGCCCTGAACTTGTCGGGCCGGACAAGAAGCTGGCACCCTCAACCGCAAACACTACCTCTCAGCCCCTTGCATCTTTTATCCAAACCATCACAGCCGCCAACCGCTTCCTCTCCTCTCTGCGTCTCCCCCGCTACTCTTCGACGCGGTATCATCGCGCTCTCGCCCTAGCCAGGTCCCCCAGCAAGTTTGCTTCGCTAGGTAGCAGTCTAGCACTGCCTTTCAGACTCGTTCCGAACGCAAACCCCGTGACAGGGCGACAATCATCTGCCCCTCCTTTGGGCAGCACCTGAGCACTGGCATCCCGCTCCACCACTTGTTTCTCCTGTTCATCATGTCCAATCTATTTTCTGGCATGTAAGTTCTTTGCCCTACCTCTGTCCGGCCTCTCTTGCCCGACCCTGATCTGCTTGCATTGATGTCGTCTGCCCCTGTCCGCCACTCTGGATGTCGAGCCGCCAAAGCCACCATCTCACCCTTAGCGGTGAGCGAGGGGCTGCAGCTATGTAGCTCTGGGGGCTATTTGATGCCATTGCGAATCAACTTTACCGAAAAATCTGGAATGCAGGCGATGCCAAGGTGTTCTGCTGTCAGTGTCCTGTTGTCAGTGTGATGCAGCCTGCGACAATGCACTGCGTTGGTGTTTCGCTGTCAAAGCTCTTGCGCAATTCGGTGCTTCGATGTCTCGCCAACACATCAAGTTTCCTCGTTTTCCACTGGTCTTTGCGACGTCCTGCAGCTTCTCGATGGCGCAAAAGCTTGTCGATTACATTGTCGCGCCGTGCCAAGTGGCAGCAGTATGATGCTTTGTTCTGGTCTCGTTGCGTATTCCGACCAGTCGACTGCTGCCGTGACCTGTCATACCAGAGGAGCTCAGCATGCTAATCAACCGTCTCTAGCAACGCCCGTTTTCGAGGCGGATCAAACAAGTCACCCGGTCCTCAAAAGAGCCCAACCCCCTCAAGCGGCCAGCTGCCAGTCTCCGACTCCCAGTTACAAGGAAGCCAGTCGTCAGCCAGCCTGGCCCCCAAGGTACCTCCGCTGCCGAACTCGCCCTCGCTCGCCCAGACAATCGGCATGGATGAGAAAAACGGTAGCATCCAAAGCGGTGATGATGTCATCAACTCCTATCACCTTCCGAGGCCGCTGCCGTTATGGCTGAACGCCAACTGCACCAAACATATTGTCAAAGGCAACTTCATGACCCTAAGTGCTAGACCCAAGACAGTCGAGCAAGGAGAATGGATCGCTCATCAGGGTCAGTTGTGTCACCTGCAGAGGCAACATGTAGGGCTAACTGATGTATAGTTGTCGAGCACTACCGAAACCTTTGGAACTTTGTCCGCGTCGTACACGAGAAAGAAGACAATGGATTTTCCATCTGTAACTCCACAACATGTCCCCGCACCTCGGCCGGAGCGTAAGAATTTCAACCCTTGTGTATGGCTCAGGATAGTTACTAACTTTGCAGTAATCACTCTTTTACCTGGCTCAACAGAGACCGGGAACCCGTCGAGCTTCCCGCATACGAATACATGACATTGATGCAGCGATGGATTTCCGGCAAGATTGACGACCCGGCCAATTTCCCTACCGACCCATCTGGTGTCTCGTACGCCCACAACCCCGCGATAACTACCACGCCACTGTCACAGCTGTCGAACCCTGGCGAAAAGGAGTGGCTTGGCAAGCGATCTGGATTCCCCGAAAAGTTTCTTGAGATCTCACAGATGATTTTCCGTCAAATGTTCCGCGTATACTCTCACCTATACTGGTCACACTTTACGGAACCATTCTACCACTTGAACCTGGAGAAGCAGCTCAACAGTTGCTTCTCCCACTTTATCCTTACCGCCACGGCTCTCGATCTGCTGGGCCCGCATGAGCTGGAGCCCATGCAGCCTCTTGTCGACCTTTGGGCAGCCAACGGCACATTCCCACCGGAGTCCAAAGCTTACGAGTACGCCAACCTCCGTGCCGGCGAGCGACTGTTGCAGCTGGCTGGCATGACGCAGTAGAATTTGCATGATAGAAATCATTCATGAGGCACTCATATCCATGCCGCACCATCTCTACGACTACATTTGTGCATTCACGTCGTGTTGGTTTTGTATGCATGTGTTTTGGCAGCCAGCAGCGATGAGTTATAGTAAGGAGTTTGAATTTACGGAATAAAACATGCCATTAGGGTTAGAAAAGGAACCAAGTTGGCGCCGGTGTCAATTAGAAGAAGATGAAAGCTTCAATATTTTTGGTGCATCCTTGGACAGCAAGCCATCTCGGATATCGTGTCGACAGCCACCATTGGCTCATTGATAGGCGAACATGTGCTTTTCCCTGCAGTGTTGTGGCGTCTGTCTTACACTGGCGATTTGTCTCGAGCTGTTGTAAAACTTGATGATGTCTTTTTTCGTTCTGGAACGTTTTTAATGCGCAAGAGAGTTGCTCGGCAGCAAGCTGCAGATGATTGCAGTTTCAGACGCTGCCACTGCCTTGCACAGCAGCGACAAGAAGAGCAGCAGAGCGAGGAACAGCTGCATGTCGAGCAGGCGACGGAATCGACGCATGCAGGGAATTGTCTCAGATGCAGTATAACACAGTACATCATTATCAAGACAGAGGGAGCTCGGGAAAGGAAAAAGGTTCTGGCATAACAATGGTTTTGCATCTATAATACTGGACAGAGAAGCACTTCGAAATGCGTGAATTGCCGAGACGTTTCGTTTGCTCTCTTTTCCCCGTCTCCTCTCACTCTCTTCTATTCGGATAGTGCATTCATATTGATCTGTGCGTCTCAGACATGTGCATCGGTCATTTGTATATGCCATCTGCATGTCTCTGCCCTTTGGCTGGGGCTGCCGTAGGGGGATGGCCGGGGGGGGGGGATCAAAGCAAGCACCGTTCGTTCGCGTTGGCCTTTGGGCACATCCAACCCATCAAGTAGAGAACGGGACTTGCACGGAAGGATCTGTCATGGATTGTGACAAATTTGTAACGTCTTGCATCCTGAAGAAGGCCGTGCAAGACTCTAATACGCGCCTCCTTGCTACCATTCTCGTTGTTGTCTTTTGTCCAGTTTGTCTAGTCTTGCGCTCCTCTGCGAGCTGCAACATGCATGCCGACCGCTCAAGAAAATATAGGAAAAAATCCCTAAGATTGTTATGTTTTCTGTATTTTTTTCTTCTTCCTCCTCTCCTCCTGAGCAAAGAATATTGCCTCGAGGGGAGGTGCTGGACTTGACCGCCAGTCCCGAGGTGGTTCACTAATAAGGTAATAAAAGCTACGCCAAAGTTGTACGGTTTGTGGACATTACCCTCGTGGGAAAGTGTGACGGGTACCCGTTCACGCCTGTCCGAGGAAGGCAGAAGAGGGACAGGAGTTTGAGCCGAGAATTTGCAGATGACCGTCTGACTCTTGTAAGACACGACGTAGATTGGTGCAAGACTTGCTTTTCTCCTTCGTTTTCTTGCTTCTCTTTTGAGAGGGAGGCCCATGATGCGGGCAGAGGCCCTTGTTGTTTCGATGGGCCACGGGAGCTGATCATTTTTCTTTCTTCTTCTTTCTATGATGAGGATCCAAAGCCATCATGGGCCGTGATATCATGAACTGACAAGGAAGGAAGAAAGAAAAAAGGCAGAGTGGCTGGCAGATTTTCGTCTTTTCATCCCAAATAAGGTGACATAGCGTCCCCTCCTCCCCTCGAGGTAGCTTCCAGGCGTTGCACCGCGAAATCAGTTCTACCAGACAAAAGAGGTTGCGTAGTGCTGAATTCCGAAGGTCTAGGTCTTCTTTTTCTTTTTTTTCTTCTTGAAAAAAAATTATCCTTACACTACACAGTCAAGCACAAGTGGTTAAATCTAGCGCAAGGAGAGGAAGTCGCCGCGTTCGGAGGAGGTGTGAGCAAAAGAAGAACCGCTGGTTGTGGTAGGTATTGAGGTCGACGACGGGCTGGTCTAAAATGTACCACATAGTACCTTGATACCAGCTAGGGAGGGGGGAGGTGAAAGTCATGGAGCGGTGCTTTCGTACCAGTAGACAAAAGAGCCTGCTGAGAAGGATCGGACCAAGACCAGAATAGCACTGCGGGCATGAGTAATAAGCTGCCGTAGCCGGAGGAAGAAAAGGAAAGATTGGGGCTGTTGGGCATCAACGAGAAGCCCGAGAAACGGGTTACCACAACAAGGTTCTAGCCGAAGTTTTTTTTTGTTCTCATGGAGTGGCTCTCTTTTTCTTAGTTATTTTCTCATCACCTTTTCTTGTGCTCAACCGGGGGGGGGGGGGGGGGGAGAGAAAAGGAGGGTGGCATTCAACCAAAGAGATGCCACAAAGACATGGCCGCATAACAGGCCGGGTGGAGATGTCGACCGCGTGTGGTGTGCGTGTGGTAGCAGCGGCGGCCGCCGGTGGGAAGAGGAGAGAGAGGAAGAGGGCTTGGCTATAGCGGCGGAAGGGGAGTTTAAAAGTTTCTATTCGGTAGCGTAAATTGGACTTTAGACTCATGATCAAAAATAAACCGGCTGCTGGTTGGAGGAACAGATCTGTTGAGATGGATGACTGGCGCCCATCGAGAGGCGGCGGAGGAGGCGTAGGATGCTTGGCGCCCAAAACAAAAACTGTTCGTCTTGATATCGCGGGGCGGACTGGAGATGTGGTAACATGTTCAACAGAGCGTACCTATGAAAATGAGCTGCCACGATGGAAAGCGAAGCGGCGTTATTGCTAGAACGGGGAAGGACAAAAGGTACGTAGCATGTAGGTAGTCAGGTGGCGGTGACGAAATGTGTTTGTCGTCGAACGGTGTGGTGGTGTTGGTTTGCAGTGTGGGTGGTGTTCACTATTTAAAGGTACCTAGCTATTAGGTACCTACCTACCTAGGTACCTTTGCTACCTACCTTAGGTATCCGTACCTTGGGTGGTGGTGCGCGGACAAAGTTGTTGCTGTTCAGGTACCTTTGGCCGCAAACACAGTGTGTGAGGTACTTATCCCTACGACTTCTTCATCGACTCTCTCCCCCCCTCCTTAAACCACCATTCATCAAAGTATCTACGCTTCACAAACAACGCGACAACAAGTAACCACAAGCGTAATCAAATTTATCACAGAACGACAAGAGATATTCTGTCTGTACACAACACATGAATCGGAACCACCATCCCATCCATCCATTATTCCCCCTCCCCCCATGTCTGACACGCCCGCAGAGCGGGAGATCCAACCCAATCAGGCAAGGGGTAAAGCTGCCGCCTGATGAGCGCCAAGCATCTACGACATTTCTTTCTGCCTCATGGCGTCTCGCGGACTTTGTGGTCTTGTGACGACTTTTTTGGCCTGGTTCCCCTCTCTGTGGAGAACGTAAATGGATACATACGACCGCATTGCTCTCTGATTTATTAAATACCTAGTGAGTACGGAGTGCTCCGTACGGGCACAGTTAGAGGCTGTCCTTTCAACATACACACACACCACTCCACGCGGCAAGCCTAGGCTCGGGCCCTGGTTTGACCATGTCTAGCTGCCACCTTTTTTATCTCTTTCCCTTTTTTTTATAGAATTCTTTCTTTCTTTCTTCCTGGTGACCGCGGGGACAAGGTTAGCCTTGTACGAATGGGAGGCTGCCCCGAGGAGTACAAAGTGTGGAGGTTTTGTTTTTTTGACATGTCCGGTGGCACTTATCCGCAAATTAAAACACATGTCGTTCTGGTTTTTTTTTTTTTAAACGTAAAAAAAAAAAAAAAACTAAACCCCCCCCCTACCCCCCCCCCCCCCCCCCCCCCCCGAGAAATCTTCGATATCGGTTTTCTTTGCCATTTTTTCTCAATCATGGTGTGATTCATCTTGACTGATCATTCGGCACTGTCGACCAGGGTTTTGGCCTGCAGTGCTAACTAGAGTGCCCCCCTCCTCGACTACATACATACTCGCCTACCTCATATTGGAGTCACAAGCCACTCTTAGCCTGTAAAACTCAATGCTCGCATATGGTCCGACGCCGTGCACCCTTTTTTCTCTCTTTTTTTTTTTTCGTTTTTTCGAGCATGCTCATTCGTCCATTTCCCAGCACGCACATCGGACTTTGCTTTCCTTCCAGGGCATCTGAACAGCTTTGGAGTATGATTATCAAGTAAACCGGCGGGCCACACGCCCCTCTCTCCCCTCCTCTCGGTCTCGGTCCTCGGGTACCTGCTTCGTCGCTATCTCCTTCTCAAGTATTCTTTTCATCTCTTGATGCCCAAGAAGCCAACCGAACGTATGAATGACGCTGCTGCCTGTTCCTCTCACACCGTTGTTGGAGGAGCGAAGACGAGCCGCGCCACCCCATGCCCACAACGCTGCTGATTCCGTACGTCATGTGTCCTTGTCTGCTGCGATCCGGTTCTAGCCCCAAATTCCCTTGTATACCAACGCAATAGCAAAAGGAAACGAGTGGTTGTAAAGGAGGGAAAAAAAAGGGTTAAAAAAAAAGAAAAGCTGCACATGGTCAGGCACGACGGAATGCCAAACTGCAGCAAAGTGCTACGGGGTTGAAGCGCTGCAACCTACATGGCCGAGTACAGCCTGCCCTGATTCACAAAGCCTGTGTGCGTGTAACTGTAGGTAGGGAAACGGTGCGATGCGTTTGGTGAGCCGTAAGCCACGAGGTTCACTGTTACGCTTGTGCTGCCATCGGGAGTTTGTAATTAGCCCCTCTCTCCCTTGGCGTTGAATGGTAAATAGAGCGCTGTGGCTGTGGGCGTGACCACGGGAATGGACGGGCCTTGCCGGCTGAGAGTGGGCTTGGCCTAGGACTTCAGCCAGAGAGCGAAGCGACAAAGCCCAAAGCTGTCCTCGTTACCTCGTTCCGCCGCACATGTTGGCAGAGCCTAGCGGTATACGGCCCGCGGTCTGAGGCCTTACCAATAGGTGGCCGAGCTGGATACATACGGTGATGGGAGGTGGTTGTTGTATGAATGGCGCAGAACGACACTGCCACCGCGCGTAGTAATGAAGGGGGGTACCTTTTGGTGGGCGTTGTATCAGCTCGTTTGTGCCTGATCGGTGATGCTAGAGTAAAGTTGAGGGTCAGCAGTCGTCTCCATGATGCGTCGGGGAAAATGCCCGCTTCTGACCGCATCTTTGGTTGTCAGTGGTCTGTTGCCCAGAAGGCCTGCTTTGGTGGCCCCCGGCGGGGGGGGGGGGGGGGGGGGGGCAAACGACGGCTCTTTTACAAAGACAGGGAAAAAAAAACCTCCAAGTTATTTAGACCCGAGTACTGGGATAGAGAGCTTGAAACACGCGTATAATCGAAAAGACAAGCCCAATGCTGAGTTTGAACGAGACCTGTTGGACATGGGTCCGCGATTGTAGAGGCCGTTCTCGTTCGTGAATGGATCGGATCGGGGTTCTGGAGAGATCAGAGTGTGACTTGAGAACCAAGGTAATTTGCATCCCGTGCCTCTTCAAACTTTGGTGAATGAGCCAGGCAGTCGAGCTGTTACGCGAGGACTGATTGTGCATGTGGGATGCAACAGTGTACCTGATGGTCACCCATGGGTTGCGGCGGCGCAGAGACCGGTAGACAGGCCATTGGAACCCCGTCGACTGTTTTCGGTTCACTTTTGGTGCCACCCACTTGTTGTGATGGATAAGATCTGTCAGCTAATAATAAAGACTTGTAATAAGCGCGGTGCAGGGAGCAAGAGGTAGGTAGCATCTGATGTATGATATTAATAGTCCAAGGCTCGCCCGTCCCGACTTGGCCTGGTCTTTTCTTCTGTATCATTCTTGAACAAGACAAATTTGTTACATTGAGAGTAGAGCCGTGGTATTTGTTTGCCAGATTCTGCTGTATATTATTGCTGCTTATTGATTTTCGATCAACAACTGTTGAGGTTGCCTGTTGTACTTTTTGGTGCTGGAACTGCCTGCGGACGAGCTGCACAGCTTCATTGCTGATATATACGACTTGCTTCGTCTCTCGATTCTTGAAAAAGATTTGCGGCCTTTTTTCTTTTCTTTTTTCTTTTCTTTCTCTTTTTTTTTTAGTCTCTCGTTTCTTCTTCATCTTTTCTCGACCACGAGATCTGGGTCTTGTTGCTGTTTGTCTCGACGACCAACGATTGCTGCCTCGACCGACGGCCTCGAAGGCACGACACGGACAAAAGCACGATTGTAGCGACGACGCTGGTGCAGCCCCCTGCACATCATCTGGATTGATCTGCGAGGGTGAGTGAGTTTTCCATGCTGCCTATTTGTGTCGAGAGGCGAGGAGAGGGAAACCCCCCCCCCAGTACCTCGATAGCTGCCCCACCCACAAAACACCCCGCCCCTCCCAGCACCAGCAACACCACCACTATCACTAGGTACCTACACTACCATCACCACCACCACCACCAGGCAAGGTAAACGGGCTCGCGCCATTTTCCTTGATCGCAGCAGCTTTCTTTGGGCACAGGGGATCACTGCAACCTGGAACCACAGCGCCGTGTGCTCTTCGGCTTGAGCGCCGTGACTGCTACAACAACTAGGTACCTACCTACACTTGCTACTAGTGGTACCTCATCCCCGAATTTCCGTGAAGAGGTACTTTGCTCATCAAAAAGTCGGCGCTGCCTCTGCTGCTTTTCCATTAAAGCTTTCCCTCCCCCGCCACAAGGCCTGCCTCGTCTACTTGCCTCTCCACTTTCTTGCCGCCCGTCCATATCCCATATTTATCTCCCTCATCCATCTTCCTGCATGCGCCTCTTGTCTCGCCGCCGTCCTATCCTTCTCTCATCGTTATCACTCTGCACAAAAGCATCTTTCCCTCTTCCTCTTCTTCTTTCACCATTCTTACCACCATTTAGCCCTTGTTCCCATCTTCTACCTCCTTGACACTGCACTCTTACGCAGCGAGACGGCCGCTGTCTTTGTTCATCCCCTCCCGCCCGCTACCAGCCTCTTCTGTCCCACCATCGGCACCGTCTTCACCTTGAGCCTCTGCGCACAATACGCCTCAGCTCCCTCGACTAGCTAACACTTTCGTCGCTGCGGCCAGACCCCCTTCTTTGTCTTTGCTTGCGCGTTCGCCTCCTCTGCCCAGCCTTTGCTGTCTCGGCACCGCGTCTTTTGCTCCCGTCTGATCCGCAGTCTGATTACTTGTCTGGATCGCCGCTCGCGCCGACAAGCCCTTCCCTAATATTTACGGAACAGGCATCGCCTCGCTCGCGACGCGACAAACTCGTCGTGCCATCCGCCTTGCTGGTCTGGCTCTCCTATGCAGCTCTTCGCACACTCTCAGGCCCCCGTGGTTTCTGCCGCAACTGCCTCCAACGTCGATGAGCAGCTTGTCAATTTCTTTAGCCCCAGTACCTTGGACAATTCCTCGCAGCATTCGCCAGACATGACAAACAGTCGCAGAGAATCCTTTGCTACGGGACCGCCGCTCTTCTCCCCCAAAGCCGAGGACTGGCACTCTGTCGATATGCAGTCTATTCCCTCGAATAATCCCTATGCCGACCACCACGAACCCGCGGCATACCTGCGAATGGACCACGACAGTAGCCATGGCTTCGCCGCGCCCTCGACTAGCTCATGGGGCATGGCAGCCCAAACTCCCCTACCACAATTTGACCCTGCCGTCGCCGCTGGTTTTGAAGTCCCGGCCACCATCTACCAAAATGCTGCTCATGCCCCCATGCCCTTCCCCAGCATCTTCGGCCCCATGCCCACCGAATCCAAGCACGAGCACGTCTCTCCAAAGAATGACTGGACCTCTACTTCTCAGCCCATGCATCAGACCACTGCAGCCGCCGCTTCTGCTCCTGATACCGATCAGCTTGCCTCCCACGGCGACCTGCGTCGCGATGGTGTCCGCAAGAGGAATGCGCGCTTTGAGATCCCTCCTGATCACAACCTGAACAACATTGACCAACTCATTGCCGAATCTACCAATGAGCTGGAAGTCAAGGAACTCAAGCAACAAAAACGTCTTTTGCGCAACCGTCAAGCCGCCCTGGATTCTCGGCAGCGCAAGAAGCAGCATACTGAGCGGCTAGAGGACGAAAAGAAGCAGTATACGGCAACTATCGGAGAGCTGGACATGGAAATGAACTCGGTACGACTGCAACTGGAGGAGTCTCGCCGCGAGTGTCAAATGTATATGCAATACTGCGAAACTCTTACCCTTCAAAAGGAAGAGATGATCCGCAATCACACCATCGAGTCGCGAGAGCTGCGCAAAAAGGTCAGTGTGCTCACCGAAAACATTGCTGCCCTCGAGAGCAACTCTGTGCCCACACCGGGTCCCAGTGGTACCACCATCAACGGACCCTTTGGTGAAGTTGACAGCATGTGTATGCCTGGCGGATGGGATAATTCCAACTTCCTTCCGCAGTATGGCATGATGCCCGAGCTCCCGAAGCAGAGCATGCAGCCATCTGTAGCCAAAAAGGCCCACTCGGGCTCCTCTGCCGAAGCCGAGAAGACGGCCACTCAAGGTGGCCTGCTATTCATGCTTTTCCTTGTTGGCGCCTTTGTCATGTCAAGTCCTTCCCCACCTGCCATCCCCCGCGTTTCTGAAGATGTCCGGTCCGCCTCACAAGCACTGCTCGACAATGTTCTCAAGGAAGCTGGCATGCCCTCATCTACTGCCGCCATCCAGCCCCTCCACTCTTCCGCCAGCTGGGGTGATATGTCCAATAGTGTTTCTATGGCCGGTGTTTCGACTGACGGAGTGGCTGCTCCGATGCTCGGCGAGCTAAATGACTTCATTCAGCCCAGTCGCGAGCAGACCAACGAGCAGGCCTTTTCCATGTCTGCGGCACAGTACAATGGTGTGAGCGACCAATCCTTCATGCAGAATGGGCACCCGGACAGAGTGTCTGAGCAGAGCCAGGGTCGCAAGAATCTGGCTGCCGCACTCGCCGAGATTCGCGCAACCAACAAGCAATCCGGATCTGCTGACGTATACACACGCACGCTTCTCTGGGATCAAATTCCACGAGATGTCGTGCGAGACTTTATAAAGATGTTTGCGGAAAACAATGCCGCACAGATTGACCCGCAGCAATGCAACGAAATTATGTCCTGATGACAAATTTTTACAAAATCCATTCTCAAATTTGGAGAACGACGATACTCTCACGATTACGACTACAATTCACGGCCATCTTGCTGTTTCTTTGCTTCTTCATTTCTCGTTCATAATGTTTTCTTTTTCCATAACCGTGGCCACCTTTGTGCCGAGCAACCACGGCGGTACATGCGAGCGCTCTTGCGCAACCCACACTCTCAGACTTGTTGCTCACGCAAGAGAAAAGCCTCCACGGGTCCCTTTTATCTGAATATTTGATAATCTTGGAGGCACATCTATTCTACTTACTGTTTTGTCCTGCTTTCTCTTTTTGAATCTCCTTTTTCTCTTGGTTTTGATCAGCGAGCGACTCGAGCGTGCATTTAGGGTTTCGAATCGGATTTCCTTCTGGTGGTTTTTTTTGACTGGTTCTATGGGCGTTGAAATCGCCATACCATTTTCGCGTTTCTCAGGTTCTGTTGCCCCTTTGAAAGTGTCTCGCGTGAATGGGCGGTATGATTTCTATTTGCAAGCAGTGATGTGCTTGTGATTGGGAAAGCATTACCTCGTTGCCTTTTTCTGATATTTGACCCAGCGATGGACGAGTGGACTGATATGACTATAATGACCTTGAAACTTTTCGAATGAACCCGTCACTCTCTCTACATTTCAGACTCTCGCGGAAGCCCTGCCAACGTTGAGAATATGTGTATGGGCTTTGCGGGAGTCTGAGAAACGATTTATGAATAATACAATTAGCATTCGAATCCGGCCGTGCACTTTTCCGCTGTACTTGATTTACCGTGAAGAGTCTGAAAGTAAAGAAATAATGAGTACTGCTCTAGCTGTCAAGCAAATATGGACAAGGTGTATAGCAGCGGTGATTGATTAGTTAACTTGAGAAGAAAACGAGTGCAGATGGCACAAAAACATCTAACCGGGCCCTGGACTAATAAAACACTCGATTCCGGCTTTCTGGTTGAGCTTACTCCGAACGGATACAGACGTGCAAAAAGGAAGAGTTTACCAGAAACATGGTGAGCCGTCGAGCATGTATGTCTCGGACAGTCTTGGCCAAAGTCTAAGACAATGGACAAGGCCGCCGCAGAGACTTTCTTTTCAGGCCTTCACTGCCTTGTCGATTTTATCATAATAGGAAGAGCAGTAGCAGCAGGACGAGGAGGACGAGGAGGCGGCATGGCGGCGTGATTCTAAACTTGGGGGGGGTGGGGCTGGTTGACTGGCTCCCGACGCGCTGCGCTGAACTAGTGCCTCCCTTGATGTCTTTTTTAAATGTCAGGTGGCGATTGCCCTTTTTTAGCCCTACTTTTTGTTCAAAACCTTTTTGCATTTGCAAGAAATGGGGGCTAAACCCGGTGCTCTCTATTTTCCCCCTTGCTGCGGTGGAAGAGCTCATCTCAACACGATGAGGCTACGAGGAATACACGAGGCTAGAAGTTTGCAAACGACATGTTTTGCCGTTGTTGCAGGAAGCACGGGACAGGTAACATAACGTAGGTGAAAGAGAACGACAGGAAGAAGAAAAACACATCCACCGGAAGTGGTTTACAAAAAGTAGTGCTGCTCTTAACATTGGGCTTTTGGGGGGGTGAGCTCGCGGCCTGCGGCGAGTCTAGGCAGCAAAAAACAACACAACGGACTAGTCACCTGGGTAGTGAGAAATGTAACAGTAAGTACGGAGTAGAAGAAAGCGTTCTCAGGAGAGTAATATAAAGGTAGAACAAAGTAAATATAGGATATTGATACCGCTTAGTGATGCTGGCCGAGACTAAGTCGCAAACAGAGGTATAATGGCAAAATAAAAAGGCGACAAAGAAAACGAGAAAGAATCGTGTGAGAGAATTCATCAAAGTCACCACCATCCTCCCTCCCACTCACCCGAAAGTGAAAATACATAGCTATTTCTCAACGGCTGGAGGCATCCAGTGCTCCCTGCATCCGCAAGGTGTCAGGTAAGCCCTCGTCGCCATCGGCGCACGAAAGGTATCAAAACAAAGGTCATACAGCAGCCACGATGGACACTCAGAGTGCTCTGTCTCCTGTCTAGCTATCCAAAGGACGGCTGGCTGGCATGGGTTTACTTTTTCTTCTTGCTGCCACCCTCTTCGATCGGGTCGTACTTTTCCTTCCAAATCCTATCAAGACAAGACCGACCTCGTTAGCCTTTCCCCGAATTCACGCAGTTTGGAATAGATTGAACAAAAAGCCACAACAAGGTGCAATGCTGGGGCTACTGTGAACCCTCGGCCAGGCCGCGCAGCCGGCCCGCATGGCCACATCATCAGCGGCCCGCCCTCGGAGGCACAGCAACGCGTGCGCTGACTGGTCTTGCCTAAGATGCAGGAGCGGATTGACAACCAGTACGGTGCGTCCACGACAGTCTACCATGTGGCAAGGTTGCATGAACAAAGGACGCGAAGGAGGGCTGGTCTTGCTTACCATGAGTTGCCTAGGGTCTTGTTGCCTGCCTTTTCTGCTAAGCGATAGTACTGAGCTGCTGTAAACTACACGACATATGACCGTCGCGTTAGCACCAGATACACAAGTGCTGGGTGTGTTGCGGCCAGTTCTGGCAGCGTTGGGCAACAAGGGGAGGAGGATCGTCGAAGGATGGGCATCAAAGCCCCGTCCTCGCGTGGCTCATGCAGTAAGATATAGCAGAGGCATGCGCAGCAGGGTGGGATTCGACAGGCAGCATACAGCTGCATAGCTGCAGCCTTCGATGTGGGCAGTTCGTTGCAATGACAAAAAAACGCACCTTGTCCTTTTTGCAGCCAAAGCCTTGGAGGTAGCACCGGCCCGCCTCGTTCATGGCATCTGCACCTCACGCATTAGCACCGCATGACAACTTGCACAATCTCCTCGTGCGAGGGAAACGCTGCTTTTCTGATAGCCCACAAGGTACTTGAGCACTCACCAGTATCGCCGAGGTTGGCCGCTGTTTCGTAATACTATACACAGACGCACGAAGAGAGCGCATCGTTAGCCATCGGGCGCACTAACTACTTCTTCTGCTTCACGCCACACCCTCTACTGCAGAGAATCAACGTACCTGCCTGGCGCCGACGGGATCCTTGGGTACGCCTAAGCCGTCGCGGAAGCAGTTGCCCAGCTCATAAATTGCGAGAACGAGCTCGCCCTTGGCCGCGCCGCCGCGCTTGATGCCCGCTTGGAGGGCCATGGCCTCGACGGTGGCCGCGTTGGACGCCGCGGCTGAGATGTACGTGACGGCCCGCTCCGTGTCTGGCTTGCATCCCCAACCGTGCCTGTTTTACTCTGTCAGTCAAGTTACATTATCCACATTGTGTTTGTCACATCACTCCCCGACACGCACCGTAAGGCCATCCCGAACATGACCTGGCTCAGCGGACTATTGGCGCCCTGAGGGTCAGCTAAAGTTTCGAAGATGGCCGTCGACTGCGCCACGTCGCCGGCCTCGTGCAGTCGAATCGCCTCTTGAATAGCATCGTCAATCTTTTTCGACGATACAGCTTTCGGCGGCGCCAACCCCGGCGAGTTGCTCCGCGATCTACTCCGGCCACCTTCCGCCGACGGAGTACCACTGCCCACCGCCGCCGTAGGCGCAATATTCAAGCTCGCCATACTGCCCTCCAGGCTGGGAGACCCCGGCGCGCTACGCGCAATCTTGTTTTGCTCGGCCAGCAGCGTGGCCCGCTGCTCCCACTGCGCCTCGTCGGCTGTGCCCACCGTGATCGCTGGCAGGTTGTCGGGCACGCTGTCCGACGACTCCGGCTGGCGGTGTCGCAGGTGCAGTCGCTCCGAGAGGCGCCGACGGCGGGTGCCGCTGCTCGACTGGGTACTGGCCTGCGACGACACTGAGGCGCTGCGCGAGCGGTTCGAGTGGAATATGGACAGGCTGCGGCGCAGACCGCTACCTGGTTCTTTGGAGGGAGAGAGGTGTTGCGCAGGGCTATCGTCGTCGTCGTTGTCGTGGGGCGCGGGGGCGTTATGCCGCGGAGGACTCCTGTTGCTGCTGAGTTTTTCGTCGCCAGGATGTATCACCTCCATGGAAGCTGTGTCGGACCGTACAAAGGTAAATTCGGGAACATAGCCGTTTTGACCGATGATGTTGTTGGTCTTTTCCGTGGCGGCGGCGGGGTTGTGCTCTGCGCTGCTATCGTCCCTCCTCATGAGCCTATCTCGCAGGCCCATTGTGTATAATCTGAATAAAATCTGCTGATAAGTATATCGTGGTTGAAAGAACAGAAGGAATGACAAGTCCGTTAGATGTGTCCCGGCTTCTCTTTTTCAAAGCGCATAAAGGTTGGCGCTTGTATGGCGGCTACCTGCTGTTTCAAGTAGAGTGTGACGACGTGTGCTTGACAGGTTGCCCCAGATCAGCGGCGCGCCGATTTCAAGTCAGCCTTGGAGGGGCTTTGCTGCACTGTTCTATATTTGGCCTCTTGACCAGCTATGCGAGCGTACCTAGCCACCCCTTTTGTCGCTCATCGGCCATCCATCACATCAAGGAAAGTGCCGTTTGATTCGTGTGGCGGAGCTGTTGGGATAAGCCCCAGGGTGGTGGTGGTGGGCGGTGCAAACTGATGAACAATGGTGAGAGAAGGCGGGGGGAACTGGACGTGTCAGTGTTTAGCCTGGATATTGGCCACACTTTAGAGGCGAGTTGGACTTTCAAGGTTACGCAGTGTTGCGTAATAAGAGACGCTTACAGTCCCAAGCTTTAAGTAAAATCCGATGCGAGGGGCAAAGGAGGGGTCCCTGATTCGGGGTCTCTTTGACGTCTCAACCGAGCCCGCCACTACTGTGATGGATGCCCCGCTTGGTCGAGAAGTCGCCTTGCGGCTTCCCTTTCAACATGGGACGATCTTCGGTAGCGCTAATGCAGTAGACGGCATGTATATGATGGTCATCTCAATTTGCATAATCTGAGAGGAGCTTGTATTTAGTTTTCGCTGTGAGGGCATCTCTTGAAATCTCGTAGTACGGTATCATGCCCACTCGTTCGGGTCAGTCGTTCTTCAAAATATAGCTGCTTCGTCGCCAGATACATCAACACAATTCCATGCAAAGCAATATATCAAATCATCATTATTTTCATTTGTTCCTCGAATGCATTATGTACTTCGCTCTTCTTCTATTTCCTCGATGTCTAACGTTATAACCCCGCGGCAGTGTAGGCGTCTTGGGTATAAGTCGAGTAATAAATCCCCCTCACGATGCCGGGTCATTTTGCTATACCAAAAAAAATACTCGCATGTCGGACAAGTCTTGTACGTTGGAGACGGGCTAACTTCACCCAAAGGGCAGAGCTGCCCTGGTCGGCTAGCACCTGCAGCACCGGTACATTCTGCAATGTCAGCTACAATGGGATAAAGTCTTTGCCGTTTTCAAAGTCAGAATCATCCTCATCGGCTTGGAGAAACTCTGCAACATCGTCCGAATCAACGTCGTCCGAGTTGTCAGGCTCTTCTTCGCTCGAAACGTCCTGCATGGTAGCGTCTTGCTCTTGTCGCACTTGGTTCCGAAGCAAGCTAGCCCGTTCACGATGAGGAAGTTTACAACCTTTGGTCTTACATGTGCCTGTGTTGCTAAAGGCGGGGCATTCGTATACGTGTCGTTCGGTGCACTCGCCGCCTTTGCCGCAGTAACCACGATAACCAAAGTCTTCGCAGACAGGTGCAGTTGGCAAAGCCGCAGAATGCGAATACTGGCAGTTGAGGTTGGAGCAATTTCCCTTGGCAAAATGTAAACAGTTTGGAACCCGCTCCATAGTGAGTTCGTGAGAGAGATCGCAGTGTTCACCGTTGATACATCGACCTTCTTTCAGAAAGTCTTTGCAGACGGCAACCTTGTTTGGGTCGTGCTGATATCGACATGACGGCCCTTTCGAGCATGATCCTGCGACAAAAGTTAGTTCATCCCGGACGTATCCTCCACATTTGAATCGTAGCGTTTGCGCCGACTGTGACGCTCAATGAGAAATTACCGGTCGTGGAGAATATGTTGCATGGCTCGTCAACTTTCTTGACGGCCCCGGGGCGTCTAATATTCCAAGTTAGATGCTTGTCGAGACACAGAGCGTCTACATACCGGTGGTCCTTGACGACTCTGTGGGCGACAAGATTGCCAGTCTTTGTGCGGTGAAATCGCACGCCAGCAACAGCTGTAGTTTTCGGGGTCGAAGGGGCATCGCTAGAATTGTCTTGCACGGGCATCAGATGACAGCATGTTTCAATAGGCCTGGTTGACTTACCGGCTGCGCGTACGAGCTTCTTGCCCCCATCTCTGACGAGGAACCGGATGCTATCGATCATGATTTCCGGCTGCTCGTGATTTTGAATAGAGCTCCCTTGGCTCTGCTGTATAAAGTTGTTGAAACGCGCTCTTTCACTATTGTGCTGCCTTGTTAGTTTGCGCTTGCGAGTTTCCTCTATCGCTTGAGCGCGTGATTGCGCTTGTTGTTGATAGATGTTGGCGTTGATAAGCTGCTTGTGGCGGTCTGTCCTGGAAACCCACTGCGCGTTGTCGCTAGTGCTCACAGGCGTCGAAGGTGACGATTCAGATGAGCTTGCATGCGCATTCAGATTCAACGTGCGGTGCCGATGGACAGGCGGGTGGCCTATACGATATCCTCGGCCGCGGTACGAAGTGCCACGATAGCGAGGGGTTTGTTCTGTTAAAACCGATGAGAACCAGGAGCCTGTGAGATATGGAGCTGTAGACGTACGACGAAGGCTGCGCGAGCTTTGCGACGGCTGAAAGCCAGCTTGCTGGTTCTTGTGGCGATTGATTTGCCCTGCTCAGTTAGTACTATCTGATGGGCTTTTTTCTTTCTCCTTTTTCTAAGGTGCATAACGGCTTACCAGCAAGGGCGCTGATGCGATCTAACAGCTCTCTTTCTTCCTCTGACATTATGAATGAATGTGCGACTTGCAAGGTGCCGGCTTTTGCGGTATTGTGTGATGTAGAAGGGAAGGGAAAATGATGGAGTGGCGATGGAGTAGGGCAGCCATGAATCACTGTAAATGAGCTTAGTCATGCGCTGTTGGTGCTGTGCCAGGACGCGACCATGGGAAACAACAACTCTGCGTTACTTTCACATAGTCGCACACACTGAAACTTAATTTGGAAGCAATATTCTCTTGCATTTCGCCGAGCAAACTTCCCTGGTCGATTAAGTTATTATCCTTACTGTGCGCTCGCCTCGAATCGGGCCGAGCAGAAACAGCAGAAGAAATGGCCAGTTGGGATCTGCTTGACGAGCGAAGCGAGACGGAACTTCACAAGGCGCGTCTCCTTAATGTGGAAGAGAAGCCATTCAAGAGAATTACAAAGCGACTGAGCACGGTATCATCAATAGTATCAAAAATTACAAACGAGGAGGAGCAATCCGCGACGACAGCACCCAATACAGAACAGCTCCGGGAAGACTTGACGCTCGACTTTGCCGCCTTTGACAGCAGCATCGCGCGACTACAATTTCTCCACGACGCCAATGAGCGCGAAAGAACGCGATACGACAACGACAAACAAAGAATATTGGACGAGTGTCAAGCCGTTCGCGCGAAGAATGCCGAGCTCCGCGAGCAGCTGGATGGCGCCCGGGCGAAGCTCGCACAGCGCAAAAAGTTTGATGAGCTGGCGGACAAGATTACCAGTAACAGACTGCTACGCCCGCGTGAGGATCAGCTGGCCAACCTCGCCAAGTTGGAGGAGGAGTGCCGCGAGCTGGAGCGCGAAAGTGAGACGTACACGGGGACTTGGAAGGAGCGTCGCGACCAGTTTAACAGAATCATGGATGAGGGAATGCTGCTCAGACGGCAGATTCGAGACGAAAAGGAAGAGGTGGACAGGAGAGAGGGCATGAACGAGGGCACAGAGGATGACGGCGCACCGACGCCCAGACCTGATCTGAACGGGAGTGCCACGCCACGGCCGGAAGGCGATGGGCAACACAAGGACGACGACGAAGGCGTCAAGGGCGAGAATGGCTCTGCGGCTACGCCGGCAGGGGAGCACTTGCAAGTTCCACGTCTGGGAAGCGGCCGGGGGTCCAAGAATGCCAGTGCTGCTGCTAGTACTACTGCGACACCAAAGCCAGAGCAAGAAGAAATTGACCGCGAAGATGATGATGGGGATGACGGAGAGGTGTCTGGCGAAGATGTGGATATGGATGGGCATGATTCGGATGGTGCAACTGAAGCAGGAAATGAAAGAATGGAAGTTGACGAGTAGAATAGAGCGAAGACGTCGTTTGTATTATGGTGCTTTCTGCCAGCGATACCTTTGGGACAAGCGAATGCAGAGGTGTATATTCGAGATACCCCTAGACTAGTAAAATTATGTATGATCATGTATCGCTTTCTCTGCCGTCCTCAAGCTCTTCCTTTAATCTGGTATCACTAATTCAGGGTCGTTCGTTGTCGTTCATTGTCGTTCGTTTAGACAGCAGCAGCCTTGGCCTGGGCAAGCACCGTCTTGGCCTGAGCAATCTCGGCCCCGGGGGCGGCCGCCTGTTCTGCGATCGCCAGCTGGTCCTCGAGCTTGGCCACCGCGTCGGCGATGCGCTGCTTCAGGGGCCCAAAGACGGCCTTTGTTTGCTCGATGGCGGTTTTCTAACACGCGACGCTGTTAGCCGTTTGGGGCGCTTACAACAAGGTTGCGAGTGCCGCGTTCGCGTCCGCAGCTTTTTTTTTTCTTTTTGCTTTTTCCTTTTGCCTTACCTGCTGTTTCAACATAAACGCGCCGTTGCCGTCCTCATCGGCGGCTCCGGTCTTTGACTTGGCTTCGAGGTCCTGAACCGTCTTCTCTTGGTCGGCGAGCTCCTTGTGGTACGAAGTTTCCTCTTTGAGCAGGCGCTGCACAGAGCTGGTGGTGATGGCGAGGGCTGAGGGGGCGGGCATGGTGGCGAGTTGCTGGGGTATTAAGTTTGTGTATTATATCTGGTATGAGCTTGCCTGACAAGCTTGAGTAAAGCTTCCTCTTTTCAACGAGGAAAATAGCGAAGAAGTCGGTTGCGCAAGGAAGTGGGAGCAACGTGGGGTTTCTCGAAATGGCGGGACACTTGGTGGGCTGCTGCACCCCCACTCTTCCAGTTCATCAGGCGCATGTCTTTGCAATACAATTTTTGCGCGTATGCTGAGTCTAAAGAGATTGGAAAGACAAAGGCTAGATGTCTAGACGTATATATCGTGATGCGATACGTATAAATGTTATGATAGCCGGCTATTGCATTTGCTTCCAGCATAAGCTGGTGCAGCTGATTGTATGAGCGCAGCGCCGGACGGCGACACGCAACTCACGTTGAGTCACTTCGCCTCATGCACCAAAGTTTGTCGAAAACGATGTTCAAAGAAACTTGCTTCTAATCAGCCAAAGCTCGCATGAACGCAATGGAGGCGCTCGGATTCTGACACAAAGTGTCTGCTGAACCAACCAACAACCTACCAACTCTCATCCTCGCTCCGATGGCTACGCTTACCAGTCCACTATCGTCAATACATTTACAACCCTTTAGAGATTCCCAAAACCTACAAGTTGCTTGAGATACTATTTAGGTGTCAGATCAGCGTTTTCTCGTACATAAATTTCACAGTGCATCATTCAACCACTCACCTGGTCAATATCAAGCCGAACGTTCTCTACCGCAAGATGATGCAGGACCCGAGCCGAGGCAGAGGCGGCTACTGCATGGAGTTGAGCATCTTCTTCCACCACATGCTTCGCGGTCTAGGGTTTCGGGTCACCATGACTGGAGTACGGAACCGAACGCGAACAGACGGCATCCCCAGCAGAGAATATCAAGGATGGTGGTGCCCTGGCCCTTGCCCAATACCACCAGACTTACAAGACCGCCGTGACACAGGACGCACATCAACGACATATTATACCTACCAGACGGGACAAAATACAGCGCCGATGTCGCCTTTGGCGGCGATGGATCGACTACGCCGCTGTGCATGAACGAGGCAGCCACGGTTCACGACAACCTCGGCAGCCAATAAGTGCATCTCGTCCACGGCCCCATCGACAAGCAGCAGCGCAGCGAGCCGCGTCGTGGATTTACCAGTATCGCAACGGCCCGGAAATGGAATGGAACTCGTTTTTAAAGCTTCCCGGAGCTCGAGTTCTTCCAGGAGGATTTCGAGGTGCAGAACTGGTGGGCGTGCGCTCACGCGCTGCACTGGTGGACGGTGCTCGTGGTGCGTTTTCTGCGACGAGGGGGGCCGGTGAATTCACCAAAGGGACGGTTACGGAGGAAGATTCCGGCGACGATTGCATTGCTGGAAAGGCTATGCTTGTGAATGACTTGGTCAAGGTCAACTTGGGTGGCAAGACACAGGCTGTCTGTCAACTGCTCAGCGAAAGTGAAAGACTGGCGGCGCTACGGACTTACTTCATTCAACCTTAGCTTGGTACAGGAGGAAGTTAATGCCATTCACGGCTGGGACATGGAGCTCACATAATTATCATCAGGCGGGAGCCCCAAGAATAGACCTCTTCACCAAACGGACAAGAAATCTACTTGAGAAAGTTATCATTCAAAACCTAATTATACCAAGCCGTACCAGGCAAGTCATCTAACATGAATGTCTCTACATACTGGTTCTCAATGAATCCATTCATCCCAAGCTCCAGCCTGGCATGTACCTCCAAGCGCAAATGGTATCCAACCACCAAAAAGTCAACTCCACCAACGCCATTGGATCTGGTATCCCGTTTGCTTTTTCGTGCGTGCGTGCCCAAGCCCAAAACAAAGATCAAATCCAACAAGAAGCAAGAAAATGCACAATATACCAGAGCCTTACACGAGTAGACAAGTGAACAAGACAAGCTGGCCGTAAATAGGAGAGCCAGCCCTCGCAATGATGAGTTGAACGCCAAGTAAAAACGAAGAAAATTGCCCAAATCAAACAGCTTCCTTGTTCACCGTCTAAGCGCCGACGGCCACGGTATGCGCAGCTAGGGGCGCCGATTCATTGTCGTTGTGGGCAATCTCGCCGCCGGCCTCTCTCTCTGCCCACTCGCCCCAAAGCCCGCGCTTGCCGCGCACGCGGATATTATCCCCGAGCTCCGGACCTTGTTCAACCTTGATGGCGTCCTTGGTGGCCAACACAAGGCACTCGAAGAACATTTTCGTGGCTTCGGCTTTGGTTGTGCGCTTCTCGGGGAGGAGGTCTTGGAAGACAACGGTTGATTGCGTTCGCTTCTCGGCGCTAGTAGCGGCTTCTGATCCAAATAGATCCCGCAGGATGTGAACGGCGTGCTTGGTGCCGATAGAAACGGGTCCGCTCTCTTCAGGGTGCACAATGGGCACAGTGGTGTCGTTGAAGTCTGGGAAGCCGCTATCATCGCCTCCAATGTCGAAGCCACCGTCATCGCCGAGCTGAATGATGGTGCCATCAGGGCCAATGCTGCGGTCAGCAAAGTTGTTGTCCAGTCCGATGTTGGTGTCTTCGTCAAATTCCAGACGAGGCGATTTGGCGGCACCGCGCTCACTTTCGACGTCCGCAATGCCACTGTCACGTTTTCTCTTGAGGTCGTCGCGTAGCATATCCAGAGTGAGCATGCCGCGCAACTCGGGTGCCCAAGCAGTGCTTCGGCCGTCCATCATGATTGACGATACGAAGCCACCGTTCCTGTGCATGTCCATGAGAGCAAGCATCACAGGATCGCGGGGAACATAACGGGCTGGCTTGATAATATTTTCACGGTTGGCTTGCTGTTGCTTGATGAGACTGCTGGAGAGAGAAATTTCCTCGTCGGGCATCAAAATCTTCTGCTTTCTGGAGCGTTGTGCAGGGCGACGAACAGTCGTGGTCTCTGTTTCGTCGGCAGGCTCGTACATGTCTGTGATGGTAGCGTATTGTTCCTCCACTTCCCGGGCAAAGTGTTCGTCGATGTCTGACAGAGGCGATTCCGAGATTCTCGCGCGAGACTGCGGTAGCGCAGAGAGATCGCGTACATTGGACATGTCCTCTAGGTTGAAACCAAAATCGTCGCCATCAGGCATAGGTAAGTCGCCATCACCGTCGATTATCTGGATGTTATCGGAACCTAAATCGAATGTAGAAGGGCCATCAGCAGGTTTGCCAAGGCCAATTTCCATTTCGCTGGAGATGTCGTCTTCTACATCTCGAGGCGCGGGTGCATCTCGACCAATTTCCATATTGCTGACACCACCCTCGAGATCACCAAAATCTAGATCCAGGTCAAGGTCATCCATGGTGGGCATCAGGTCGTCGTCAAGGGCTCCTGGGCCTCTCAAAAACTGGCTGTTGTCGAAGTCTTCCTGGAGATTGATATCGCGGTTGTTTGTTCGACCCTTACGGCCAACAGGAGTTGCAGTGACGTCGTCAACTTGCGAAAGAAGCCATGAGGCATCTGGGGGGGGAGGCAGGTCGAGATTGTCATATGGCGTGATGCGATCGGGCAAAAGCAGCGACTCGCGGTTGGAAACCTGGAGATTAGAAGCAAGGTCGTTGTTTCCACTAGAACGAAAGGCCTATAATGTATGTTAGCAAACTGTCTGGTGTTCGAGTTAGGCATGCATCAACGCACCATTTTTATCTTCATCATGGCCTCGTTGCAATCATCGAGCAAGTAACGCGTCTTGCGCTGATAAATTCTGACAACACCAAGCAAAAGCTGACCAGAAAGACGGAGAGCCATTGGCGCCTGATTCGGCGTGATGATAGCTTCGACGCTGTCTGTGACATTGGATTGCAAGATGTGATTCTTGGAGAGTTTGCGCTCAAGGTTGGCTGAAAGCCAGACCCGGGCCAAGGGCCCGGATTTCTGCAAAAGGGTTTCTGAGTAGAACATGGTGCCTAGAGCAGAAAAATGGGCGTGTTATAAGCGAGTCAATGAAGTTGTGAAGCAAAGAAGTGATGATGGCGAGTGTCGAGAATGAAAAAATGCGGTTCGGGGCCAAACACGAAGCGTGGCGGTCCGCGTCGGTCAGTAGGTAAACAAGCGGCGCGAGCGTGTCGGCGGGTATAAAACGCGCAAAAAATAAGTCTGGGTCGCGCAAAGTCTAGAAGCAATGAAATGCGGTCGCCAGAGGCGATTATTTCAGACCGCGACGAAAGCGAAGGACGCGCAGAGAAAAAGCGCGAGGCGTGAGTACAAGGTAACGATGGTGATAGCAGAAAGTTGGAAGTCGGGCGTCGAGGGGCGGCCAGGTACCAAGGTACTCTGACGAAAAAGACGTGGCTGGGGAAGCTGCTAGTGGCTGACCGGCCGACCGGGGCTGCGAACGGCGGCGTGGCAGAAGCGGGAAATAATTATTCCGCCACAGTGGAAATTGCCAGGTTCCATGCGTTGGTGCCAATCGCTGGGGTTCTCAGAAGTGTGTCGGTATGCGCCACAATGACCATAGTATTATGTATAGTGAATTCTACAGAGAATGAACCTGAATAGTCTCATTGGTAAGATTGAGCTAGTCTTTTCAAGAATGAAGTTTCAGCCGGCATCTCTTCTCCGTGCAACAACACCTTTCACACGTCACAACGCCCTGGCGATCTTCTGAGTACATCGTGCACCAGGTAACAGACCCACCCAACTGTGGCTGGTGCTCACTCCCCTAGCCATCCCGATGCGCGCGTTGCGAAACCAGCTTTAACTAGTTTCCTGCTCGGCAGCTTGAGGCAGCGCAAACATCAGCGCTGTCGCATCGCTTCGAAAATCATAACTTGACGATCGCGACTTCTCTTTTGCAATGTCTGACTCCGAGGATCCTCTCGAGCATATTGACGAAGGCGGCGACGACCTCTTTGGCGATGAAGATGATGCCGTTTCGCCGGCGCCTCGCGTTGTCGACGACGACGACGATTTAGCTTCAGATCCCGACGATTCGGGTGAACGTCGGCGCTATGACGATGAGGATAACCAAGTTCAACATGAAACTAAAGAGAAAGTTGTCATGGCTGTACAAGCGTACCGTCATCGCATTCCCAAGCCCAAGGACAATATGGTAAGCAAGCTGCGATTTACAAAATCGCGACATCCAAAGCTAATACGACAACTAGCTACGCGTCATGCGCGTCCCCAAATTCATCAAAATTATGCCCGAGGAATACGTATCCGAAAAGTTTGAGCCTACCGAATTCGATACCGCCAACGCCAAACAAGAACATCCTGCCCACGTTGCAAGGGTACGCCGAAACGATAGTACGGGCCTACTTCACAGCAATGCCAATGTCTACCGCTGGAGTGATGGATCTATAACTATCGGTATCGGAGGCGAGCATTTTGAAATTCAAAAGAAGGCTCTGGCACCAGCGCCCGGTCAGCCATACGACGAACTCAAAGATGGCCATTATTACGCTGCCGCTGCAGAATTGAGCAGCAATTTGCTAATGACGGTCGGACACGTTGCTGAGCAGTTCAACGTGCGGCCAAACAAGGGAGGTGGCGACGATGCACTGGCTCTTCTTGCTACGCGTATGCAGCAGGCTAGCAAAACCGTCAACGAGGACGACATGATTATCCGTACAACTCGGGATCCGGAACTACAGAAAAAAGAGGCCGAACTGGCAGAGAAGGAACGCATGAAGGCACAAAGACGGCGAGAAAATGCGGCTGCCAAGATGGACGGCCTGGGACGGTACAACAGAGGAGGCCTCTCCATTGGTGACCTGGAGGGTGGTCGAAGAGGAGCCGGATTTGGCCGGAAGAGAGGGCCCCCCGGGTCCAAACCCAAGCGCAGAAACCCCGAATACGATTCTGATGATGATTTGCCGCAGGGCGTTCGCAGGCAGGAAGACTACGACATGGACGATGGCTTCCTTGTCGGTAGCGACGACGAAGAGATGGAGAGTGACGCTGAGGAGGAGGAGGAGGAGTTGTTGGATGATGACGAGGATTATGATAGACGTCGCAAGTCCAAGAAGCGCAGAACCCGTCATTCTGAGGACGAGGATGCCTCGGGCGATGAAGTGGTTGAGACGTCTGGGCGCGCCAGACGGCGCAATGTCGTAGACGAAGACGACGATTGAGCGTGAATACGGTGGATGCATTCCATTTAGTGACAGAAGATGCGGCTGTATAAAATCAAGATTGGAGTCTTTCTGGAGTTTATTGAATATTTCACCAATACATCAGTCATTTCGAAATCTAGGCATTTGTGAAAGTTGTAGCTTGTCGCGTGCATTCGTCAGGTCGTAGACAATTGCTGTTCGTCTACGGATAGCTGGCCTGTGGAGTCCTCTGACCTCACCCCAAGTTGGTCACTGTCACATGCTTGACGTACTCACCAAGGCGGCCTGGCGACCCGTCATGCGCCTCCATTTCACCTGCACTACTCACACTCTCTAAAGACGATCTTGGCCACGAGGAGCACGCTCTCTTTTTAGTTTCCTCCGACGTGGTCCAATGGCCCGATGCACCCGCACCCTAGAGTGATCGCCTAGTTAGCTACAGTTCTCGCGCTCTCTCGATCTCGACTCTGACAGACCCACAGTCTGCTTGTGTCCGGTCCTGCTTGTGATACCGTTCCCTCGGCATGTTTGGCGCTTTGCTCGCCATTTGGCGAGTAATTATTGAGGTGATATCTTTCTGGCGCAAGGTAGGCAGGCAGTCTTTTCCGTCTTCCTTCCCCGACCGACCCCCCTCTTCACTCTTCCACACCGCCACTTGCACGTCCATCATGGCGGTCGCTCTAACGCCGGCACAGAAACTGTTTGGATGGTATACTCGCAAGAACCCGATCGACTTGTGGCTTGAGCTTCTCCGCCAGGCGGAAGCTTTTGAAGACTGGGAGGAAGCCGCTTTACACCTTGATAACTTGTTAGGTCTAGACCTCTGGTGCGTTCGTCGATTGCTTCCTTGATCGACGTCTCGAAACCTACTTACCCTCCATCTCCAGGCGGAACAATCCAACTTCGAAATACTACGACTGGAGACTTATTACCGAACGGCTCAACTCGCTCGCCATAGCCAGAGAAGAAAATGACTTTCAGCAGCTCGTCAACCTTCTGCGATCCGGTCTCGTGCGAAATCTCGGCAACCTGACCGTGCCAAAGCTCTATAACCGCTCCTTCTCTGGGACGAAATATCTTATTGAAGAGTACATTACACAGGTTGCCGAAACAGTCGAAGACATAAGCAGCCTACCTACCAATGCGTCCGCGGGTGTGCAGTCCATCGGAGGCTCGTTGACAAACCAAATGAAGCTTGATTTTATCCACGATACGCGGCAGGCCTTTGGGAGAAGCTCTCTAGTTTTGCAAGGTGGCGCCATATTTGGCATGTGCCATCTCGGTGTCGTGAAAGCATTGTTTCTTCGTGGCCTACTGCCACGCATAATAACTGGGACTGGAACGGGGGCCTTGATTGCTTCACTTGTCGCCATACATACGGAAGAAGAGCTGCCTGGTGTATTGAATGGGGATGGTATCGACTTGACTGCCTTTACTTCGCGAAGCAAACTACTCAATACAGCCGCCGAATCTCCACAGACATTTGGATCAAGATGGAACACCCTCATGCGACGTATTCGCCGGTTTTCTCGGGAAGGCTACTTTCTCGACGTGTCGGTGCTTGAGGATTGCGTCCAGGCCAATGTCGGAGACTTGACGTTTGAGGAAGCCTATAATTACAGCAAGCGAATTCTGAATATTACCGTCGCAACGGAAGGCCAGGGCGGCGTTCCCACGCTACTTAACTATATCACCGCTCCTAACGTGGTAAGTACACTAAACAGAGGCAGGTCCTTGTACACTACTCTAATATTTGCGTCTTACAGCTTATCTGGACTGCTGCTGTTGCATCCAATGCCTCATCTGCAGCTCTGTATGGACGAAGAAAGGCGACAATCCTCTGCAAGGACGCACGTGGTAACGTCGGACCTTGGGCTCCTGCGAATACCACCGACTTTCACCATTGGTCAGACATGTCGTACTCGGATCGCGACTCACCCCTACAACGCATCTCTGAACTATTCAACGTCAATCATTTTATTGTTAGCCAAGCTCGGCCGTATTTGATTCCGTTTCTGCAATCCGACATGCACGGCCCATCCCTCGTCGAAACCCGAAGCAAAACAACCCAGCTCTCCGCCTCATTAGTGCGCATGGTTGGTTTAGAACTTCGTCATCGCCTTCGCCAGCTCGACACGCTCCGCTTGTTGCCTGGGAGCATCAGACGCTTCCTCGTCGACGAACAGATCCCCGCGGCGGCAATGACGCTGGTGCCAGAGGTGACGGCCGGCGACTTTGTGCGGCTATTGGAAACGCCGACGAGAGAGGCGCTTAATTACTGGATACTACGCGGCGAGAGGAGTGTCTGGCCGGCGGTGGCTGCTCTGCGTATCCGCTGCGCCGTGGAGAATGAGCTGGATAGATCCTACCAGGTCGTGCGGCAGCTGAAAGCAGGCGATTTACGGAGGAAAGGAAGCATATCAGCCGCTGAAGTCGGCCGACCATGTAACTAAGTGATACCCGCATTACATATAGAATACCAAAATTTTTGTTATCACGCCCATCGTGTATAATTGAGGAAAGGTTGCTCTTTTATACAAAAGTTCCAACGACAGAAGATTGGCACTCTTTCAGGCCTACAACTAGTCACTCTCGGACTTGTTGGGCAACGCTCTGTGCAACTCATCTAAATTTGAGAGACAATTATTTGCCTGACTATACTTTGGGGTAACGCCGACTTGGATGATGTCATAGTAGTGAACGAGCGACCAAATGTTGGTTGGAAACAGGAACTTGCCTCTGCGGTTCCAGAATTGACACGCTCGAGCAGCGCATCTGAAAACCTATCGCAAGAATGCGCAAAGTTGCGACCACTAAACTCTCATATCGAAAGATCTGAGGGGTTTATAGAAGCTCGAATATGACATAGATGGGCTCTTGCGCATGTATCAAGCTCCTGCCCAGAGAAGAAAGCATACCGCACTCCGAGTGTCGATCTTGACTACCAGTCATAAGAGGATGAGTCGTTCAACTTTGATCATTACCGGCTCGCTGCAAGTTAAGCCACCCATGACCTTTTGACGTCAACCTGCCAGCTGCCCTGTATCGACTTGCGGCAAGCCATGATGTTTCTCCGGAACCACGGCCGCTATAGCCATCTCCGCCAGCACATGACCTGCAGTGTGACATCAAGCTGACGCGAGAGACATCTCAAAGAGTAGCTGCGGTGCCTTGATCAGCGCCAGCGAAAACACGGAGAAGCCTATCGTGAGGAACAGGGCAGTCCGCGGCGCGGTTGAACTGAAGACTGACTTGGTAGGTCAAGATAACCTCTCAAGCTACTCTTTTCCATGGAGACAATTGCAGGTAAAGGCCACCATCGGGAGCAATGGCAAGGAAGACGCGGGCTTTGTTCAAACCGGGCAGCATTTTAGACCTTGGCCGCTGTTCAGAAGGTCAAGGTGGCCACTGGTAGTAGTAAGCATTCGCTCTCCATTTGTAAAGACCAACGTCCTTCTGAACACAACGAGAGTATATGTGTGGACCAAGGAATTTTCGTATTGATGGCCTCCAATGTGCGCATCTCATTTACATGCCTGCCTTGGCCAGTGCAGCGCTGTATGTAAAGGTGAGAATCGGCAAAGCCGCGAGCGTAGTCACAATGCAAGACGTCTGCAGTACCGGGAAGGCGATCCAACAACTCTTGCATGTAGATAGTTATTGGCAAGACGATGCTGCACTCTCATCGGAGACCCTTTGCTCCCCAACCTAGCCAGCGTGTCAGCTTATTAGTCACGAGTTGATACTCTTTTGGTCAGCCGCTAAGAGAAGGCCTAGAGATCGATCGGCTAGCTTTCCGCCGGGAAAGAAGTTAAGCAAAACCACGCGGGGTTTTAGTGATGGGCGCCAACAAAAAGCCCAGACAAGAGCGACATGGCATGTGTTGCAGCAGCAAGGAGTGGAAACTTCTCGTAGATTCAAAAGGGTACACAACGTCACCCTGCGTCGGCATACGCCGCTGCAAGGCTGTCAATATTGACGCACAAGCTCTCCGGCGGGATGCGACGGGGCAACCTGCAGACGAGAGCCAATGATGATGATAAAAGATGATGAATCCACCTGTGAGAAAGAGGACTTGAAAATGTGACGGGCGAAAAAATGGCCAAAGACATTGGGCGTCTTGGGCTGCCAGCGCCCAACTCCAAGACAGGCAGAGAGCAGAGAGCAGAGAGAGAGGCGGGGGGGGAGGGGGGAGGAGGAGAGGGCGGCCAGCCGGCCAGCCAGCGCCACACAACCTCTTCTACCATACAACCACACCACATACACCGGTTATCGACCATGATGATGGAAATTTCATTGAAGGAAGGCCTCTGACGGCACAGCCTTGTTTTTTTTTTTTTTTTTTCTCCTTCACAACACATGCAGAACATCACAGCTAGCTGCACGGCTCGCTTCTTCGCGCTCTCCTCTGACGTTCTCCCGGATGTCGTGCGTCGGAAAGATGCAGAAAGCTGCGTCCCTCTTTTAATTGAGGCGCCGTCCATGGCCTTTTCGAGGACGGACAATGGTCAGAATTCAAGCATGAATCGGCACAGGTATAGATGAAGCGGTGACCCTCGGAGGGGGGGTAGCTGGCGTGTTCGAGTGTAACCCTTCTTGGCTCAGGTCCCGTCCCTTGTTCCGTCCCGTCTTTAGCTACATAGGTCTCTGTCGATAAGACGGACCACATCGAGGCTAACGAGCGAGCCCGCCGGTTCATCTCGGAACCGCAATTACATCAGGTTTACAGCTGGTGCTGACCTTGACTGCATCTCTCTGCTCCATACATATCCCGCACCCCGTCCTTCCGTCATGCTCACTCAGACTACGCAGGCAAAAACAGGCAAAAACCATGCACCTTCTCCACCTTAAAAGCCAGTGCTGTCCATAATTCACCTGGGGCTCTTGCTGTTCATGTACATAACTACGGGCTCCTTCACTCGCTTCTCGGCCAATCCTGTTGAGTAATCGTAGGCTGGCGCTCGTGCCCGTCTCTTGCGGCCTTCTTAACGCCCTGTGTGCCCTCGTGGCTTTTGATGCCTGACCCTTCATCTCTCATCCGTACGACGGGAGAGGGAGCGCATACGCGACGCAGCAGCGACGCACCACGGGCACACACCACGCACACACACACACACACTCACACACGCACACACACATACGCACACATACGCATTTTTCTCTCTTTTGCTCTCACACACATGAGCCGGCCGGCTTGGTGCAGGTAAAAGGGTCATACAATGTGGATGGCGAATCGAATAGCCACACACTATTAGACGTAGCCTATGTGTGGTCTTTTCCCTTCTCTTGCCAAGCAGGAGAAGACCCTTCTGTCCCAACTTTCCCCCATTAACCAAGCGGTTTGAACCTTGCAACATCTTTCCAAGATATTCCCCCAGAGGGCCAACAGAATCTGGCTGGGAACCCTACACTTTTCCGTCATGGACACTCCGGTAACGGCGCCGACGTCTACGGCATTTCCATCATCGCAACAGATGTTTCCGTTGGCACGGCTAGGTCAGGTCATGTACATGAACGCCGTGTATTATCACAATGGCCACATTATTCGAGACGAGACGCCTGCCAAGCTCGATTACGGCTGCATCAACTTGGTCTATTATGCATACGCGAGCGTCGCGCCAGACGGCATCGTAAATGTATGTACGAAGCTGCCCTGTTTCTGGTCAAGATGTTGCATTCATTTTCAACGTACTAATATCTGCTGGCATAGCTTGGGGACGAATGGGCTGATATTAGAGCTCCCGTGGACGGCGTCGATGGAGGGCTGGGCTCGCTGATGCAGCTCAAGCAGCAACATCGCCACCTGAAGGTACTCCTCTCGATAGGCGGGCCTGCTGCCTCTGGCGTGTTTGTTTCCATTGCGTCGACTCCCGCGACACGCCACAACTTTGCGCACACGGCAGCGGGACTCGTCATGGCGTCGGGGCTCGACGGTGTGGATAGTAAGTTTTGGCGGCGACAATGTAACCCAGCTTGCCCAAACCTTGGCTAACTTGGAGGCAAAAGTTTCATGGAATGTGCCAGCCGATCCGGCGCAAGGCGACAATTTCCTGCTGCTCCTGCAGGCGGTGCGGAACAGGCTACTAGGAGACAAGCGACTGATGCTGACGGCGGCGCTACCGGCAAACCCGGCAGTGCTGCAATACATCGACATGCCCGGTGCGGCGCGGGCGCTCGACTTTATGAACCTGCAGACGTACAATCTGCACCACGCGCAGCCGGGCCGCAGCCTGTGCCCCTCTCAGCTGTATGCACTGGCCAAGGAGGAGCCGTCCGTGTCGACGGCGGCCGGCTTCGTCGTGTCGCGCAACTTTCCCGCGCAAAAGATTCTCCTCGGCATTCCCACCTTTGGCGTCACCTTTCCGGGCTGCGACGGCCCCGCTCAGGAGTATGACGCGGTCCGTTCGCAGACTGTGGACTATCTCGGGCTGCCGGTCCAAGGGAGGCAAGAGGGCATTGACCGGCGCCGCATCTCGGCCTACTGCGCGGGCGGTGAGGAGGGATTCATTGCCTACGACAACCCAGAGACGGTCAAGGAAAAGGCCGAATATTGCAAACAAAAAGGATATGGGGTACGTTTTGCTGCCAGGGGGCGCAACACAAAAGCATGACGAGATTTGTCGGGAGAAAAAATGCTAACGTATAGTGCCAGGGTCTTTTTTACTCCAATGTTTGCATTGATGTAAAAGAACGGTCGAGGAGTCTTGTCACGGCTGGATTCGTGACATTGCACAGCTCGTGAGGAGGAACTGGAGCTAGCGGCGGCTTATGCGGATGGCAGCCCGAGCGAAGCCCAAACAGGAAGGACCTTGCGCGAGAATGATTTCTTTCGACGAAGCAGCCACGGGCTGATATATATACCCAAGCGATATAAACGGGACGCAGAGATAGAATTTGGGCTAGAAGAGGGAAAAAAAAAAAAGAAAAAAGGGCTGCGAATGACGGGACATTATGTGTGAATTTGCCGTGTGTGTGGAAACGCTAAGTAGTGAACCAACTGTCCGCAAGGCACGACAAGTTTCGTATATGCACGTTGCTCTGCCCAAAGAAAAAAAAAAGGGCCACAGATCCTGACGATGAATGTGAAAAATGCGGAAAGAATAGGCGAAAAAGAAAAAAGAGAACGGCGTCATATTTCTTATCCATATCAAAACTAAATTCTTTTTTTACTTTTTTTTTTTTCTTACTATAAGGTAGTGGATCACCGACGGCAACTTGGCCGCTTTGGAGCGCGTCGCTGGCGCCATACCTAGCCGGGTAAATGGGCAGCCTGGGGGGGCCGTAGCTCTCCACGTGCCGATAAGATAGCATGTCCCGACCCTGAACAAACGTCACGCCCCGACAAGACGTTGACATCTACATGTCCGTTTCTTTTCTTTTTCTCTTTTCTTTTTCTTTTCCGTTTTCAACGTATTCTTCTCTCTTGTCGTGCAATTTGACGAAAAAGGGACTCAAGCTTGCCGCCACCTACGATGCACCCAGACCGTGGCTCCTGAAGCTGCGCACGCTCTACCTCTCACAACACGCATATTCGTACACGCGCGCAACACACACTCACACATACACCATGGCCAGCCCCTCGCCGTCGTCCTCTTCCGCCCAGCAGCAGCGCCGTCCCCCGGATCCTTCTATCCAGCTCTCGGCCGCCGACTGCAGCGTCGGCGATGACAGCGGCGCCATAGCCTCGTCGTCTACTGCTGCTGCTGCCATTGACGCTCCCGTCTCCGCCTCTGCCTCGCCACATCACCAACCATCTCCTTCTCCACCACCACCGCCGCCGCCGCCGCCGTTTGAGCCACTCTTTGCGCTCGTCACCAACGCCACGACCGGCGCAACATCCCATCCCCGCGTGCACTACCTCTTCTCCGACGACGACGCCTCCATTATTCCCACCGGTGCCGAGGAGTCGTCGGAGCAAGAGGATAACCGGCCTCGCCGCCGCATCGTCGTAGATCTGCAGCCACCACCACCGACGACGACAACGACGACAACGACGACATCCGCTGCCGAAAACAACAACAATAATAACAACAAGACGTGGGCTGTGGCGTGTGCATCGAGCCTCGGGTCGGATTTCGCCGTCACCGCGGCCGCGCTGTCCAGGCAGCAATCCGAAAGCACTAGTGCGGCAGAGGCCAGTGCGGCAGCCACAACAATAGCATCATCATCATCGTCGTCGTCGTCGTCGTCGCCATCCATGATGCTGCACGTCGAGGGCGTGTCGCGCGATCCGGTCGACCTGCGCAGCTCGGTCGAGGTGGCGGCGGCGGCGGCGACGACGGGCAGCGCGGCGGGTTCGCTTGCGGGTAGCAGCAGCGGCGGCGCGCCCGGCGGCGGGGGTGCTGATGTTGAGGCGCTGGCTGAGGATTTCCGGAGACGCATGGGCGTATTGAAAAAGGTGGTTGGCGAGGGCGAGAAGCGTCGCGCAGTGGTCACGTCCCAGCAGCAGCAGCAGCAGCAGAAACATCATGACGAGGTAAGGGAGGAGGAGCAGCAGCAGCAGCAGGCGGGGAGTAATGAGATTCATGACCCGGGCGCGCTGCGCTTGGCAACGGCGAGCCAGTCCCACGATGCTGCCGAGACGACGACATCACCATAACGGAACGAATATACCGGTACTTTGACGACTACATGATACCCATACATGTGTGTGTATGTGTGTGTTTGTGTGTGTGTGTGTCTGTACTCAACGACAGCAATCCGCACCAACAACGCATCTCACAATGACTGATTGTATGCAGCCCGTGTATTCTTTCTGGAATTTCTTCAGCTTTTCTCTTCTTTTTCTTTTTCATATCACATCTCACGCCTGCATGGCACAGATTGGTCATTTCCTCCTATTTCTTTTTGTATGCCAGCCTTTGAACACCGCGCTCACAGTTCCTCTTCTTGTATTTCGAAAAGCGTTCTAGTCTCGGCGTTATACAGCATTACTCTAGTTGGACAAATGCGGATGATTTTCTCTCCTCTTCCTCTTTGCTTGCCTCAAACTCCGATTCACCGTGTGTCAAATGTCTACTGGATAAAAGAAGTATTTTAAAATATTTTCCTGGTATTGCTCCCTGCGAAAATAAATAACTATCCCGACGAGAAAAAGATTTTAAAAGACTGCTAATTACAATTTGATACGCCAACACCATTGTTTTTCTTTTCGAAACAACAGAATAAGACAGAGACAGAGACAGAGAGGTAGAGAGTGTGAGATGGGGCGAGAATTAAAACAGTGAAGAGAGAAGAAAAAAAGATTGACCAAGACGGAGATGAAAACGGCGAACCATATCAAAGAAGCGACGCAGCCGGCCCCCCAAAAAGCATGAGAGATGTGGAACAGGAACATGTAGAATGGCAAGCCAAAATTGTGCGAGGCTGCCCTTCCCATATTGATAACGGGAATGTGAGCGTGTCTCCTGGGTTCAATGGCGCATAGCTTGCCATGATCGAAGAGTACGGCAGCCAACAACCCTCGCGTTGTACTTTGTCGTCCTTGAATGCCGTCTTCCTTTTTCCATCGTATCGCGGGAGATAGGCAGCCGTGTGCTAAAACGATGCCCGTATGAAAAAGAGATAGGAGTTGCCAAATCTCGCGAGCGGGAAAACAAATGCATCCGTACAATGCCCTTTCAATGCAAAATTGTCGCAACATATTTACTGGCGGGCATAGTGAGGTAGATGCACGCGGTCCTGTGCCAGCCGCGACAGCTCTGACAGCACGTCTTGCTCCTCAGCGGCACGAACCTCAACGTCAGGTAGCAGAGCGCGGGTCGCCAACTCAATGGCACGCTTCGGGTTGCTGTTGTTGTTATTGTTGTTCTGGCCGCGAATGACAAAAACGTAAATCAAGACAATAATGACAATGACCACGATAATGGCAACGCAGATACCGAGGCAAATCCACTTCTTCTTTCTCGTCTTACGCGCTGTGTTGACGGCGGTGCCCATCTCCTCGTTGCCCTTGTCGAGATTCTCGACAACCTCCTCGCCCTTTTGCTCAATCTGCGTGACGGCCGCTTCCTGCTGGACGACGAGAGTGTCCATGTCTTGGAAGAGTTGGGAGAGTTCCACCATCTGCTGCTCAATCTTGACGAGGGCCTTGTGGCGGTCCTGCACGGCCGAGAGGGCGGCGCGGGCGCGTCCCTGGCGGTTGCTCTGCATAAGAGCCTGGCTAAAGACTTGGCTGTTGCTGGTGTCTTCGACGGCGGCGCGGACCTCGTCCTCGGAGGCGTCGGGGCGTACGATGCGGTACTGGCGGGCCATCTGGTCCTGGGTGCGCTTGCGGAAGCCTGATTCGACCTGCTGGTACTGCTGAATGGCCTGCTTCAGGCGCCGGTCGACGCGGCCCACCTGCGGCTTGTTCTTGGGCGTGTTGGCATCAGGATGAGACTTGATCGTGCGTACGCGCTCCGTTAGCTCGCGGTACTGAGCCATGGTCTCAGAGGAGAGAGCGTCGAGCTGGCGGTTGGCGGCGCTCGACGAGGAGCTGTCGGCGTCGTCGAGGGTTCTCTGCTGCAGCATGCGCAGCTGCTCGAGGTTGCGCTCAATCTGGGCAACACCCGTGTCAATGTCGCGGCACTCGTTGAGAATGGCGTTGCCATCGTTGCCGGCCATGGAGCTAGCATTCTGGGCGAGGGGAGCCATCTCCACGTTGGAGCCTGGAAGCCGTCAGTCATGTCATCTCCGACGTTACTATAGCACAGCCTCATCAATCGTACGTACCGGCGTAGCCGCCGTCTATTGACGAGTTGTTGTTACCATAACGTCTGTTGCCACCGCCGGGGGCGTAGGGGTTCTGCTGCGGCGGCGGCTGCTGCTGCTGTCCATAGCCTCCTTGACCTGCATAAGGATTATGTTGTTGTTGGCCGCCGTAGCCGCCCTGTTGGTCGCCGTAGCCCTGACCGCGCTGGTCATAGGGGTTCGGCTGGTTACCGTATCTACCAATTCAGAGAAAAAGAGTCAGCCCAAGTTCGCGAGGGTGCAATTGTGGCATGCTGTCGTCGTCATCATCGGGCGGGCGGGCGGGCGGGAGATTGAAAGTGATTCTTTGCACTGCGAGGAGAGGACCGAATACTAACCCATACTGTCCAGCCATTGTCAGTAAAATTCAAATATTGATGATTGTAGCGAAAAACAGAAGCAGTGCATTAAGGGAAAAGGACGAGACGAAAAAAGGCCAGCATGGTAAGGCCGCTGCAGCTAGGTGTGACGTGCGGCGAGAGGGCAGTGGAGGGCCAACGGTTTGAAACGCTGCAGAATGGGGCAAAACTGACACTCATTTTGATCGAGGATTCAAGTGCTTCAAGCCTAGAGCGGGCCGTTCGTCCAGGACCAAGGGCCTGCTGAGAGGTTGCGATGCAGACGTTCGAGTCAAGACACTGATTAGTCGTGCTGCGTCGGAAAACTGCGGAATGAAACGATTGCCGTGTGCGAGTGAAGAACAGGCGGCTGGGAAAGAATAAAACGGTAGTAAATTAAAAAGAAAAAAAAAGAAAAAGAGATGGAAAGAAAAGAGGCGAAAGTGAAGGAGTAACAAAGTTGGCCGTGGGCAAGAGACAGGCGGTTGATGATGTTCAAAACCGGGCTAATTGAGCGATGCAGTGGGGAGTGGCAATCAAAAGGGGCTGCGCAACACCAACCAAGTTTAACAAGTGTGCCTGCCCTTGAGTGAGTAGAGGTACTCTTGAAGCCGGCAAGCCTACACGCTAATTCAATGTACCACTACATACGCCGGGAGTGTTGCGGCGGCTACCTACCTAGGTAGGCCCACCAAGCCTGGTCCCTCAGGTACTGTACTGGTAGCGACAACGCTAAAAAAAGCATCCGGCGCCTGGTTCGGGTCTGGATGTCTTCCGTGTTGCGTGTGTGCCTCAGCGGCTACAACACCTTGTCGTTGTATGTAGAGTTCGTCCATTCCTCGGACAATTCTTGCCATGAACAAGTCATGAATGGCTCGACATGCATATGCATCATGCTCTGCCCATCGCCAAGCCCATCCCATGTCCTCGTCTTCTCCTCCTCAACCGAACCTCCCTCCTCCTCCCAAACTCGCCGACTCTGCACAGCAGCCATCCCAATCATCCAGCCCTGACACCGCGAATCGCAATAGCCCTTGACAATAAGAAACCCTGACGAGGTCCTGGCTCAGAAACAAGGGCCTCGTTAAACCAACTGCGCCATAATTGGTGCAGTCCCTCCCCCGCCGGCCGACACGTAACTCTCTGAGTCTCTGACGCCGCCACTTGCACTGGAGAAACGCCTCGTGTTACCGAGCCAGAACTTGATATAGTCATCTGTTTCTGCTCCTCATGCAAGCGCTGCGAGGAAAAGGTCGATAGTTCAGGTTTCCCTCCTCATGAGTTGCGGTTCGGATGGGGAACCCACACACACAAGGGGGAGCTGCACCTGTAACAAGGGCGAATGCCGCAGCGCCAATAGTGTTTTCTTCATTCAAACATTATCCCTCCCCCTCCTGTGAGCTTGTTACAGGCTCATCCAAGTTTGGATGAAAAAGTGGCGCCCGTTTCAAATGTAGAGATTGGAATCGGCATCCCTGGAATATTGCCCTTTACTCGAATGTACGCTCATTCCCAACATCATTGGCAACAGAAAAAGCAGCTTCAAAAAGGTAACAGAAAACATCCCACATATGTAGGCACAGCAATGGTCCACCAAGTCAATGTAGCAGAAAAAGCAACACATTGACGCCACCATCTGCGACCCTGACCCCTCGCAGAGCTAGCCCCAACCCACTTTCAACAGGCGCCCGTCAGCAAGGCTTCAAAGCCGTCAAGCCTCGCCGTCTGCGAGGCTTTGATCTATTCATAGAAGCCGATTCGGAATGTGACGGACACTTTTTTTTCGCTTGATTTAAGTAACGAGCAACGTTGACATGAGCTCGTGAGTATATGCACAATCACTTTAGTCTCGGTGCCGGAGCAACGTCAGACACGAGTGTAGAAAACTATTAAGAGAGCAAAAGCAACAGGTCGTGAACTAAAAAAGAATGGCTACTCTACAATAAATCATGCATCATTATACTCGTGCATCTGCCTCCCGCATGCTCTCAAAACGTCGCATACGCAGACACGTAGCTCACGCTCGACTTTGTCGGGTCCGTCAGCAGCGCGCTCCGATCGTAGCGGACATGCTTGAACTTTGGCTTTTTCTCCAGCGGTGCGTTCTCACCCAACATCTCCAGGGCTGCCATCATGGCCCCGATCGGATGGCGCCCGCACACTGAGTTGTCCGTCTCCTCCAGGTTTGCCACAAAGGCATCGTGCACGCCCGTCTCCATGGCCTCGATGGCCTCGTCGTCTAGCATCTTGATGCTCTCGTGGATTGGCGGGCTCGTCGGCGGCGCGTCCCCGTCCCGCAGGTTGACGCGACGCTTGCGATCACCGCCCGGAAAGTATGGTCGGTAGTCGCCAAACTGACGCCCCCAGTGGCAAAAGTCGGAGCTCACCACAAACGCGTTGGTCGGGTCACGCAGATACGGCAGCAGTAGCCTGCCAATCGCCTTTTCGTCGTCGGCATTTCCCGACACGAGCATCGGCACAATCGTGGGGAAGTCTTCGGGCCGACTGAACGTGGCCTCGCAGCGCTGGTAGAGAAAGGCGATTTCCATCTCGAGGCTGTGCTCGTCGAGCTCGCGCCGTCGGGGAATGTTGCGCACCTCGGGGGCACCGGCCGACGCGGCCGCGGCGGCAATGTCTCGCAGCGTCTGCTGGTCGACGGAGAAGGCGCCGAGGGGCGTGCTGTACTGCGAAAACGTGGACAGGGCGAGGCCGGAAAAGTAAAAGTAGTGCGTAGGGCCCAGCACAAAGACACGCTTGGCCTGGGAGAGATCCAGGCAGCGAAAGGCCCATGCGGAGCACCTTCCCGAGTATGCGTATCCGGCGTGGCTATCGCAAGTTGATCGTCAGCTCTTGCGCAAGCTATTGTACAGCAGCACTACCAAGCAGGAATAACATGCAGCCAAAGAACTTGTTGCAACAGTTACCAGAGGTGGTACTCACGGTGCGATGACGGCGCGAGCCCCGGGTATTGGTAGCGGAGAGCCGTCAACTGTCTGGGGCACGTCCTCGAGATACTCGTCAAACTCCCAGCGCAGCTGAAACGGCGCCAGCTCGTACCAGCCGTCAAACGCCTTTGTGGGTGGCCTGTTGTCGTCAGGCAGCCTGCCAAAAGCCACCGTCATCTTGTTGCGCTCCGCGCGGAGCAGCGAGCGCATCTCCTTGTCCGAGAAGTCGTCCCATCCGCGGCTCAGGACCTCGTCGCACGTAAGCGGCGCTTCAGGCATGGCAAAGGGCGCAGTTCGAATGTGTTATTGCGAGAATGTAGAGCTTTTGCCTCTACCTAGTTGAAATGAATCAGACCGTGTGCTGTGAATCCCTTTGTTTATAAATACAAGTAGTCGATGAGCACTGGTTGATCGTGAGGAGTAAACGCGCCATCTGAGGCGGGGCAATTGTTGGCGCCTTTGATAGCCTTGATGGTATGGCTGGTGTCTGTGGCGGCGGACCACTTAGGCGGGTGCACAAGCAACAAATCGGTAGGAGATTTGACTATTGTCGACCTTACAGAGAAAAGTTTCTTTTATGTATTTATCAATGAGGTCAAGTTTTCTTCGCAAATACAGAAATAAAGCAGCAAAAAAAAAAATTCGGGCTGTTGATATCCAGTCCGCGCTGCGCACTTCGATATCGTCGCGTATACCCAACTTGCAAATAGCCTCTCCCTAGGCGGCAACTTTTGATTTCCATTTTGAAGCAAGTAATGGAGTGGAAATAAAGGTTTTATGGGAAAGCAGCGTTGTCAGGAGATTTCTCTTGTTAGGTAATTAAGTAGAGTTGAAATTAGATGCCAACCAGTTCTCTGGCAATTGTTGAGCCCAACTTGGCAGCCAAGGACGCAGACATGATTCTGCGGCAAACATGCTTTGGGGTGGACGCTTCACAGACTGGTTCTTCATGGAAGCTCAGAGTATAATGTGCTTTCGTCGGATTAACAGGCGGCCTCAATCCCCTCATCAAAAAAAAAAAAAAAAAGAAAGAAAAAAGCCAGTATTCCCTACGAAAAGCTCCTATATAAAGACGATATTCTCGGTATGTAGCTTTTGCACGCACAAACGCCAAATCCGGTCTCATATCCAATAATGGGCTCAATGAAATTGAGAGAGGTCTCTGGGAGGTTTAGAAAGAGTGTGAGGCATATATCTCTGTGATCATGCCTTATGTTGAAGATGTCCATACGACCAATGGACGACGACTCGTCAAGCAGAAAGGCCACTTTGCTCAAGGCCACTTTCAGACAACCAGCCTCCAATGCCTGTTTGGTTTCCATGTCGAGACATTTTCCCGTATAAATTTCCAGCGCCATAAACTCGGCATCTTTATCCCATTTCAGCGCGAGATGCCACACCCTTTCCCGCCCTGCGCCATGCAAGTTCCGCCACTCTTCAGAAAAGCACGCGCGCAACCTTTGCAGAGGACGGGCAAAATTTCTTGATTCCGGCTCCTGTTGTCAATTTCCAAAATTGCGCCGCGACTCCGATGCCTGCACGATTTAGATGGTGGTTGGATGGGCGCAACCTGCGCAGAGCGGCATTTGGCCCACCTGCGGCCCAGCGAAGCCGTCATGTAAAACATCGAGTTCGCTGAGTGGCGCGCTCGTATGGACTAGCCGATGCTTTGCTTGCCACTCGGGGAGGCGCCCTCGGCAGGCGTTTGCCCACATGTAATAGCATTCTAACAATATTTGTTTTTTAATGATTGAAGAATAAAATCCCGACAATTTTTTTTTAATCATCATTAGTGAAACAGGAGCTCTCGTATGACTTTTGGCCACAATCGCTTACTGGCCCCAAACGAAGTTTCGGAGCCGGGGCCCCGGAGCCACTCTCAGGCACCGGCTTCCCCAGATTTTCCACTCCGGGGTCCAACAGGCCTTTTCCGAATCCTCGCCGGCGTTTTCCCCCCTCACGAGATCTAGCTATAAATTCCCCCCCAGTCTAACCCCCCTCCCCCTCTCCGTTCATCTCTACCTCTCGCCGCGACGAGACGTTTCTCAAATTCCCCCTAGCAAAACTTCTTCCTTTTCTTTTCTTCTCTTTTCTCCCTTCTTCTCTTGCGCCTCCCCTCATCATGTCGAGCACGGCGATTCACACCGGCACAGGCAGTACCGTCTCGGCGCGGACCAAGCCCGCTCCTCCGTCCTCCTCCTCCTCCCCCGATACCATCCTGACGCCCGCCTCGCGCCGCTTCGTGCCCACCGACCTGCACGGCAAACCGATCCCGCACCGCCAGCGCTGGGCTTACTCGACGGCGGCCGTGTCGCGCGGTCGCCTTGGCTCGCAGGCCATCAACGTCGTCGTCGTGCTGCTCTTTGCCGCCTGGCAGCGGTCTGCCGCCGCGCACCGGCTCTACGCCCACCTGGACGCGACGTACGGCGCGACCGCCGTCAACGTCTGGGGCACCTTCATCGTCACCTCGGTCTTCTTCTGGGCCTGGGGCGGCATCTTTGCGCTGGCCGACCTGACCGCCCGGCCGCGGTGGCTATTCCGGTACAAGACGCAGCCGTTTGTGCGCGTGCCCGCCAGAGAGTACGCCTGGATCTGTCTCATCTCCCTCCGGAACCAGGTGCTCGTCGCGCTGCCGCTCATCTACGCCATATCACACCTCGCACGCCCGCGTCCCGTGCACCCGGACGCCCTCCCGGGCTCGCTGCAGACCGTTGCCACCGTCGTCTTTGACACGCTGTGCACAGAGGTCGGCTTCTACTACATCCACCGCTTCTTCCACGCCAAGCCCCTGTACGCGCGCTTCCACAAGCAGCACCACGAGTTCACCGCGCCCGTCGGCCTCGCTGCCACGTACTGCACCGTCACCGAGCACGTCTTCTCCAACCTCATCCCCAACGCCCTCGGCACGCTCATCGTCCCGCACCACTGGTCCCAGCAGTGCTTCACTTTCCTCTTCCTCGAGTTTGGCACCATCTGCGCGCACTCGGGCTACAACCTGCCCGGCCTGCCGTCGAACCTGCAGCACGACTTTCACCACTTTGCCTTTGACGAAAACTTTGGGCCGACGGGGCTGCTGGACTGGGCGCACAGCACCAATGGCAAGTACGTCGAGACGCTGGGCGAGGCGCTGGCCCGCACAGACGGCGACGAGGAGCGCGCGAGGGAAATGGTGCTGAAGCGCCTGGCTCAGATTGAGGTCGAGGCGGACGAGGCCAAGGCGAAGAAGAGCTCTTAGAAAAGAAGAGATACTTCGGCGCGTTTTATTTCTTAACGGACTGTTTTAGCGGCGCTTGGATCATTTGGTGGAGTTGTGGAAATTCTTTTAACATCGGTGTGCCATGTTATACCTCCAGGATGTGTGCGGCCATGTAACCATCCAGTCGCGGCTCACTTGTCAGAAGAGTGAGAATGAATGCTACAGAATGGACATGTCCATATAATCATCTATTTCATAAAGATTACAGCATATATGAAGAGACTGTATTGTTTTCAAATTGCTACATCATGCGACGGTCCAAAATCCCACGTTGACCATTCTATTCGCAGACCCTCACCGCGATATACACTACAATGGACTTACTTGGCTCTTTTAAATGATTCGAGGCAAGGTCATCTTCCCCTGCTATGCGCTCAGTGAGGTGTTTATGCCTCTCACGCCTGTATTATGCTGATTGCAGACACTGAGCACGGTCGACGCCCGAGATGGAGAAGTAGCTGGAAGCAGCACACCATCCCCAGGCAAACAATACGATGCAGAAAAATCCAAATCAAAGGGCAAGCTGGCAGGGTTGATTTGACCATCGGCCCGTTTACCCCTCTTCTTGTCTTCTTCAGTCTAATTAATCGAGTGGGAGAAATTCGAACACGAGGGCGTATGCAATTGAGTTCACCAGTCCTCGCTCGGTGCACAGCGCGGTTCAGAACTCTCAGCCATCGTTTTTGTGTTTTCACACAATGAGACGTTTCAAAGAGGCCAGCAAAGAATAAGTACAGAGTAAAAAAGGACAATGGAAACCGACTGCTCATCTGCGTCTGATCTTATCGATACCCTACACTACATCCTGAACCAGAACCTTGCTATATCAGCAACTTGATAGCAGGCTGTTGCAGTCCAATCAATTGAATACGGGAGAATATCTCGAAAATGAACATCTTTCGCTTCGTAAAGATCTAGCCCAGTGTCGCCCAGTGTTTTGTCAGCAACCGGCCTTGTCTGCGCCCGCCCTACAGTGTCAGCTTTCACTTGCTGTAGGCTGTCCGAGTACGACCGCCTTCTCATTTCAAAGCACTCTTGACATCTCTGACGGAGAAAGAAATGGCAGAGGTTAACGATGATGAAGATCCGAAAGCACTTAAACCCGACGCGGAAGGCCGCGACAGCGATCAGCCTCGCCATGGCCGCCATGCACAGTGCTATGTCGGTCGCACTGTACTTTGTACAGCTCATGGAATTGACCAAGGCAAACAAACCATCCCCTTGCATAAAGCAAGTGCCCCGCATGATACATTCTGTGCATTCAACTCATGCTTCACCTAACTTTACTCTTTCGTCGCCATGACTTCTGTGAAAGATATTAAATCGAAATTGGCTGAGATTACCGGAAAGCTGACAGCGGGGGGTACGAATGCACAAATGAAGGAATGGTATCAAGAGTATAAGAAGCTCAACGAGGAACTCAAGGCGGCCGAGGCTGCCGAGGCTGCTAAAACAACCTCTTCAACGGCTTGTAGATGGCGTAGGAGAGCCTTGTTGATATAACTGAATGTAGGCCTAGTTTTGAGATGGTTGGCATAGCAATTTGACTAAAATTTGACATAGATCCCGACGAACGGTTAATAGGACCGCAATCAACCTTCAAGTTCAGGCTTATAAGAATGACTTTTTATCGCACGAGAGCAGTTCTCGGCTGATCAGAGAAGAAGATTACTGGCTGACAACTCAGCTTAAAAAGACTCCCGAACACCCGCCGCAGAACCAACAAGTTTCTTCTTCATTCTGCCAGGCTTACATAGCATCAAATACAGAATTTGACATGCCACGAGAACATGAGCACCAGCCAACAGCGTAACGTAGCTTTGCCCAACCTGATTGTGATTAAAATTACCTCAAGTAGTAGACTAGTAGTACTCCATTCCTGGCCATCGCAGGGTACTTTTTACAGTCTCCGCTTGCACACTTGGACCTGATCCCGTGGACAGCAAGCAACGTAACACGGCCCCTAAATTTGCTTTCCCCGGATGAAGTCATGGCCTGACTCGGGATTCACATCAGTCGGCAACACAACTCACTGTAGTATGGCACCAACACCACAGTCTCGGAAGGTGGATGTGCCGAGACGTGGTGGGCAGCGCACCGTGGAGAAAACGTTCATCCCTTCGCACGCCTGCAAATTGCCACAAGGCTAATGACTAGCTATAGTGAATGGAGTTATTTTACGAGGTCAATCTTGGCATGTTTACGCGCTTTCCACCAAGTTACGTCCACACGTAATCATGAAAAGGTTCTCTGGGGGAGCAAAATGACCCGCATCTCAGTGTACTAATATCTTATAAAGGTATAATAAGTACCTCCTGAAGAGTTTGTCCCTTGACTTGTGTAAATGGCCTTGTAAGGGGATAAGAATGAGCCCCTCTAAATACACGCGATAGACATGTTGATAGATGAGTCGGTCCGCTTAGCAAGACTCACATATATGGCCTTGTAAGTGGATAAGCAGGAAATCCCCCAAAATACATGCGATAGACAAATTAATAGATGGATCGGCCCGCTTAACAGGACTTACATATATGGCCTTGTAAGTGGATAAGAAGGGGCCTGCTGGGGCATATCGGCGTTAACACAGACTACCACATCAAGTCTTTATTGGCCAGAGGCCTGCAAGTAAGCTTAGCCGTCAACACCAAGCCCCCAATGTCGCGATAATACCTCGACGCATGCATTAACAGCCGGCACTGACACAGCCAGTCTTAACGCCGAAAGGAGTAAGGCAGACATTATAACAATCCCCCTCTCCAACCGCTATGGCAGCCTGCAAATAGAAGTACCACTGAACCGTCCCGCCTGGTAGTGTAAATTTGGTAAATTTCGTATTGAACCATACCATGTATTAATTGGTATACTTGACATGCTATTGACTGTTCCAGAAGTCTTGTTGATCGAGCAGCTTATTCTATAGAGCCATCTTCTCTCTCTGATAGCTGTGCGTTATGTTTTCTGGCAAGGAAGCTGACCCTCCATCTCCGCGGTGGCGCAAAGTAAAGATGAAAGCAGATTTCCACAATAACTAGTTCTGTGGAGTTTTTCGGCATTCGCCGTCTTCAAGAAGCCTCATTTTCGGCTTTTGCGGCAGTAATACTCTGAACGCCTCGTTCATTCCTTTAGTAAGATTGGCCATCCGCTGTCTTATAGCAGTCTCAATCCGAGCTCTTCAACAACACAGGAACATTCAGCATCAGCATGTGACTGTATGATTAGGTACGAAAAGCACTTCTAGCACTCTTCTCGATTCTCTTGTCGGCTCTCTGTTCAGAAAAGCCACTCCTATGCCTCCTCCGCCTTCTCAAAACCCTTCACAGCTTTATGGTGCCACGCAAACAATATCAGAATATCCTACCCTCGCTCCAGAGGCCCCAGTGTCTCTACCTTGCTGTATAATAGGCTATATCACGTTAGTTAGATGCATAAGGTGGTAATGAGGCGAATCCGCCTGATATAGATCCACCAAGCTATGCCATTCGCTTGCGTTGTCAATCAACTATGTAGGGCAATCATTATGAGCTGACAGAGTTCGTCAGGCGCCAAGTCTCCTCAAGTAGCTCCATCAGCCAGACATATTCTTTTCACAAGAGTATAAAAGATGGCCGCATCCGCCTTACAACTGTCCTTGCCATCACCAATCATCCATCCCGTCTTCTTTTCACGGGTCAAGCATACAACCACCCTTCAACACACAACCTACTCTTCTCTTCTTCTGCTCCCATCATGCGCCAGTTCAGCACCGCCGCCCTCCTGCTAGGCGCCCTGCAGCCGGCTCTCGCCGCTCCTTCGCCCGGCGAGCCTGAGCTCCCACGTGTTCTGTTAGACGGGACTCAAAACGCAATCATGTCCCAGTGGCTCACCTCCACCGAGGTTATCATCAACTTCTACGCCCCGGACCCTGGATGCGGCTCTACAAAGGCCTGGGTCGGCGTCTGGCCTGTCGACGCCTGCAACCCTTACCACGCCGACTACAAGGCATGGTCTCACGTGGAGCCTACCAGCGGTAGGGACTTGGCCAAAGTCACGTTCAAGGCCGCCGAGATTGGTGTCGGCGAGTTCAAAGCTGCCTTTGTCTGCGAGGACGGCAGAAGACAGCCCTGGTTGGTCTCCGAAACCTTCAACATTGACGCTGCACCTCCAGCCCGGACTGGCCAATGTCTACACAGAAAGAATACATTCGAGCCGGAATGGACGTTTACACCCTGCGAGAAGCTCTCCGAAACCGTTTGTTCTTTCTGCCATTCCCAGAATAGCTGCGAAATATGCAATCATTGCGAGAAGCAGTGCAAGTGAGACCGAGGACAAGTACGCTGGCAACAAGCTTAACATTCACGCGTTACCTAGGTGATGGGATATGGGGGTGGCTCTACTTTAGACTTAGACAGCTCCAGTCATTCGGAGGTTCTGACTTTTCTCACACCCTTTTAAAGATCCGCTTAATCAAGTCACACTGGGCCTTGTTTGTGCCATTGTACCGTCATGCGTACCAAAGAACCTGCTGAGTCCCAAGTGAACTAATTATTACACATGGCCAGTCTTTGCAGAATAGGCGCGCTGCAACAAGAGTAGACGGCACCGCCGGACGGTACTGTTGATAGTGATTGCCATAATAGAGAGAGCAAGCAAGCACCCAAATGTAAGCATGAGCAAGTTTCAGCCAAAGCTAATGCGCCTGGCGATTTAGAATTTTATGAGTCTAACTAGATGTATCGCCACGGTCGGTAGCAGTTTATGCTTCCTGTCTCATTTTATTTTCCCTGTCCCCAATGGACACGAACGGCATTATCATGCTCAATATACCTCATGTTCTGGACATTCTCCCATCCTGTATCGTAAAGTGTTCATTTCGCCCGTCAACGCGTCTCACAGAGGACAACTGAGCTTCCATGCCCCTGCGGCACACGTCGAAATTGGCCCATAATACGGCTCGCCGTCATATCGAGTCGTTTACAGATCGTCATCGGAGCCCTCATCAGGCAGGGCAGTGGTGGCGGCCTGATTCATCTCTTCCTCGTACTTGGCGAGGAGGTCCTTGTCGACCTGGGCAGTGGGAGGAGCCAGGGCAGGAGCGGCAACGAACTCCTACATACATAGTCAGCTTCATCACGCTTCATCAATAGCGATATGGACGGGGTTACGAACAAGCTGGGGGTTGCCAACAAGCTTGCGAGCGAGCCACAGGAAGGGCTTTTCGAAGTTGTAGTTGGACTTGGCGGAGATATCGTAGTACTGAAGGTTCTTCTTGCGGTGAAAAGTGATCGTCTTGGCCTTGACCTTGCGCTCCTTCACGTCGACCTTGTTACCGCAGAGAACAATGGGAATGTTCTCACAAACACGGACGAGATCACCTGCGACGAGTCAGCATGCTTTGAGCTCTTGATTTTGGAGACTGATGGGCGCTTACGGTGCCAGTTGGGAACGTTCTTGTAGGTAATGCGGGAGGTGACATCAAACATGATGATACCGCACTGGCCGTTGATGTAGTAACCGTCACGGAGACCACCAAACTTCTCCTGGCCGGCAGTATCCCAGACATCAAACTGGATCTGACCAAAGTTCTGCTATTTGTCAGCTGCCGCGCTTCGTGTTTGTTCGGTAGGCGGCTGGCGACTTACGGTAGAGAAACCGAGGGGGTGGACCTCGACACCGAGGGTAGCAAGGTACTTCTTCTCAAATTCACCAGTCAAGTGGCGCTTGACAAAGGTGGTCTGATGAAAGCCTTTCGTTAGTAAAGGCGATACATGAAGCAGGCAATGCGATCCAAACGAGCTGGGGGCAGAGTGCAGCACGAAGCGGTGACATCATGCTGGCATCCATCTTCGCGGGGCAGCTTTCGTTTGCGACCAAAAAGGGTTGCTGTTGGAAAGAGAACGCACCTTGCCTGTACCGCCGTCACCAACAAGCACGAGCTTGAAGGTAGGAGTCTGTTGCTCAGCCATTTTGAGATGTAAAAGCCGGTGGTTCAAGACCAGTTGTGAAGGAAGTAAACAAGGCGGGGTTCTGGAGGGGCGGTTAATATCTCGGGGACAGAAGAATTCAGGACCCTTGGCGCTTCGTTCGGTTCGAGTCGAAATCCGAGGAGCGTGGTGGAGCCGGCAGGAGAGCAAAATTTACCTGGGGGTATCGTAGAGAGGTGGTTTTGCCGTGGAGGGTTGAAAATGCACAAATCGAACAACCTTGGTGTTTTTGCTGGCGGCGGGGAGGGACGGGCAAGGGAGTTGTTATCAAACGAAAAAATTCAGTCGCCCGGGGGCGGGCTCGTGCACGTGACATCATTGAGTTGGTACCAAGGTAATACCAGGCACCTAAAGGCTGGCGCTTGGCACAGCACAGAGCTCATGCCCACTGTCAATTGCGAATAATCCACTAAAGTGCTTGCAGGGCATTCTTTCATCATGAGAGTTGGGCTGTGTGTCTACTTAGCCAAGCGATCTCCTATACAGGGACAAAACGCCTGATATTTTCGTTGTCCGAGTCAGGCGCTGCTTAATCACTAGTCAAACAGCCCTGCGCTTCAAGAACTGCCAGCGACGAGGAGCCTCAGCCGCCTATTACGAGCCACCTAGGTAGCTACCTAGGTAGGTAGGTGGTTTGCCTGGGTAATTAGGTAGGTACCTAGGGAGACATCGGCCTGCAGACCGCCTACGTGCTTGGAGCCCATTGCATCACCCGCCGGCTACCTGCTTGATTAAAGCAAACAACACTGCCTGAAACATTCGACTTGGGTTGCGTTGCGAATATCATGAGCCTCAAAGACCTTACCTCAGCCAGCTATAGGCAGCTAGTTATCTATCCCGCCTAACCTAAGCCTGATTACCAATCATCGTTGGGCATCCTCTCCTCGGGCTCCAAGTAGTCACTCTCATTCATTACCACGTCAGTCCATTATTCTATCGCAGCCTCAAGTTATCATACATAAACTACGGTGTTTCTTCATATCGGAATAATGTGGCAGCCTAACATGCCTCGCCCGCCCCAGTTTCGTCGTGGTGTGAGTGTTAACCGCAGTTCCTCCCGCGACGCAGCACCAGAGGGTCGTGATATTCGAATGAATACGTTGCTCTACGTGTGGCGTTAGAGAAATCGGCATCAGTGGTTGGCGGAACACATACCCCTTCGTTGCCTTGAACACACTCTGCAACCTTCTTGAGACCGTCGTGGTTTGCTCGGGTGACATAGCCAAAGTTGCGAATCTCATCGCCCACCTTGAGGCCCGCGAGCTCTGCCGGGCTACCGGAAGAAACATTATCAATTTTGGCGAACGGCGGTTCAAGGGACCGCGTATCGCTGTCGGGTAAAATTTCAGATGTACCGGCTGCCGTAGCTGGTGTGCTAGATTCTGCGCTTTCCGCTGCGTTTGCAAAATGCTCGTGCAGGAATTTTTCGGCATTCGCCATGATCTCCTTGTAGTCATTCTTTAGACGTATGATTTGCGCTCTTGTGGTTCGAACTAGCCGCACTGGTCAGAAGAGAACGCGGTTCAGTGAGATGTTGCTTACTCTGAGCAACGTCGAGGTCTGAGCGTGGAAATCCATCCCTTGTAAGAAGAGGCGTGTTCATGTCGACGCCGTGCTGAATTCATCAGTAATGGCATTTCGCAATATTAGTGACCGACGGAGTGAGTAGACCTACGGACTCGAGAACGCCGCTGAGGGCTCTCAACTCAGCCTCAACATTGTCCTTCTTTTGCTGTAGCTCAGCAAAGCTAAGATGGCTGCTGGTCCCATTGGTAGACGATATGCTTGTAGGTCCGGCGGGGACAGTTGGAGCATGTAAGTTATTCATGGTGAAGGCAAGCTCACGCTACACGCAAGTAGAGCTGGCAGTGGTAGAAGATGACGATCGCAAGTTTTCCCGCCGCCAAAGTTGCATGGTGTGGTGGAAGCTGCGGGGTGCTGAATTACGTCGCCAAACTTGCCTGAGCAAGCGTTTGCCACTGTGGCATGACACAACCTAGAAGCCGGGGTAGAGAGAAAGAAAAAAAAAAAAATGGCAACTACATTTTTCTTCTATTTTCCGTATTGATGGCTTTTTCAGATGTTCTTTCTCTGCCGCCTGCCACTACCAGTCTGTTAACTGGACCGCTGATAGCTGCTCCGGCCTCAGTACTGCAGAGAGGCTCCCTCTCCACTTTTCGGAGCTGCAGCTAGGTGCCCAAGCCATCTTCCATACTATTTACAAACCAATCACTAAACTCCTCATCTTTGCATCATCTCCCTTACGAAAGCCCCAGCAATCATGGCGTCGAGAACTGATGCGCGGCTGTTGAAGTCCACCAAATTTCCGCCAGAGTTCAGTAAGAAGGTGGACATGCAGAAAGTGAACCTCGGCGTCATGAAAAAGTCGGTGCATCCGCGAATGATCTACCAGCTCGTCGCGTGAGCTAACATTTCACCAGATGGATTGCCAGCCGCATTTCCGAAATCCTGGGCAACGAGGATGACGTCGTCATCGAACTGTGCTTTAATCTTATCGATGGACCTAGATACGTACGTACTTTGGCAAGAATTCCCTCCATCTGCTGACCTCGTATCTTGATGCAGCCCGACATCAAAAACATTCAGATTCAGCTTACCGGATTTCTCGACAAAGATACTGCTCCATTTTGCAAGGAATTGTGGAAGCTGTTTCTAAGCGCACAAGACAGCCCGCAAGGTGTCCCCAAGGAATTGTTAGAAGCAAAGAAGCTGGAGCTCATTCAAGAAAAGGTGGGTGAGAAACTGCAGCCAATCTGCTAAATACTAACACTCTGAAGCTTGAGCAAGGCAAAGCGGCCGACGATGCTAGAAACCGCCGCGATGAACCCGAACGGCGCGTCCGCAATATGCCCCCTTCCTACGATCAAGATAGAAGAGACAGACCACGAGATCGAGGCGATAATCGCCAAGGCCGCTGGAACGACCGCGCGTTCGACAATCGCGGGGATGCTAGACCCAAGCAGAGATTGCGATCTCCTGATGTGCGAAATCGGTTGCCCAGGGGTTCATTTAATGGCGATAGCTACGTACCACGCGGACAAGATGCACCACAACGTGGACGTGGACGAGATCGCCGATCTGCGCGGCCTCGCTCAACATCATCATCCAGAAGATCAAGTTCCCCATCACGCAGTCGCTCTCGTTCCCCTCCGCGCCGACGAAGAGATTCACCGCGACGCGGAAATACGCAACGAAAGCGATCGAGGTCCAGATCACGCTCGCTTCGGCGACGCCCAGATCGATCAGGCCGACATGAAGATAAAGATAGGTTACCTGTTGCAAAGAGAGCGCGCCGACAAGATTCAAGAAGCAGATCTCGTAGCAGAGGTCGATCTTCATCCGTATCATCTGCGTCTAGTCGCTCTAGAAGCTATTCATCGTCAAACAGCCGAAGCCGGAGCCGGAGCAACAGCAAAAGCAGGAGCAGAAGCAGGATTGAAGGCAATAGCAAGAGCAAGAGCAAGAGCCGGAGCAGGAGCCCATCGTCCGGGTCGCCCGAGAGACGAGACAATGCGAGATCAACAGCTCGAAGACGCAACAGCTCCTCAGCATCTGTTTCTCCACGCCGCGCTTGATAATCGTGCTGTCTCAATATGGCAAACTGGAAAAGAAATCGAAATACCAATTATGGGATAAGACCATGGATTTGGGATTGGCCAACTCCGGAACTAAAACCATCGCTAACGCGCATTTTATCGCAGTATCCTTTCAGCAAGAAGAATTATGAGCCATCCCTCTCAGTAAGCCATCATTCGGACAGATTGCAGGATACGAAGTAAGCACAATTCTACCGCGGTCAAGTTATAATAGTTGCATAGACATATTTGATCTGTAGCTGCTTGACTGAACGATGCTGGATAGTCAGGCGTCGGAGTGTTCTTGCTAGCTATTGTTGCGTAGAGCCATTACTTTGAGTCAATATTAGCATAAAGAATGCTGTGTCCTTAGTCTGCCGATTTGATTTTGCTTTCATCTTTAGTCAAGCTGTGCTGTTAGTCGTCTGTGCCGGCTTCGTCTCTAGGCACCCGCCCCACATTGAGGTTCGATTGTCGATTGTACAGCCCGCCACTCTAACCTCCTCTTCATCATACAGCGAACCAAGCCCATCGAATACACCAAATATTCGAGAGCCCTCAACGCTAGCTATACAGGAATACTCCCTCATCCACCGAAAACTCCGCGATACGACGGCGCGCGAGACGGAAATGGCAGACAACAAGCGCGCCGGCGCCAGCGAAGGCCCGCAGCCGACCATGACGGAATACAAAAAGTCGCAAGCGCGCGTGCGGGAACTGGTTGAGAAACGCCGTTTATTGGAGAGACGCCTGGTACGAGGACCCCTATCTGCGGCGCTCGAGCTTCATTGGGAGGTTGCTGACTCGGCGACAAAAACAACAGAACCAGGTTGAGGAGGGCATCATCCAGAAGGAGTCTGCTTACCTAGAGAATACGCCGAGCGGGAACATCATCACCGGTTTCGACAACTACATGAAGGGCATCAGCGGTGCCGCGGCGCAGCGCCGCAAGACGGGCCCCATGGACCAGAATCGCGTGTTTTCGCGGTCCTCCATTTCCTACCGGCCCAATGTCAGTGTACGGCGCGCTTCACACTCGCAATTCTTCTGCATGTGCGTTTTTTGACGGCAATTGCTGATACTGATCTATTGAACGTAGGAATCGACAACGCCGGGATCAACGCCGGGATCCCTCGCCCCGACGCCGGTGTCGGCATCCTTTTCCGGCTCGACGCCCAGCGCTGTCGGTGGTGGTGGTGGTGGTGGTGGCGGCGGCAACAGCAAGGTCTCCAAGAAGAAGAAGCAGCTGCAGCAGCAGCAGCAAGAGACGGAGGACAGCGAAAACGATGGTCAGACGGCAAAAAAGCGTACCGCGTTCGGCGCTTCGAGAAAGTAACGTTGTGTTTTTTTCAACGAATTTATTGTACTCTACAGCATGGACATGGGTTATGAAGGCGTTTGCGGATATACCAATATATTTCGGAGGTTTTTGCGGCAACACCTCATTTACTGTGTTGGATGATCAATTGTTCAGCTGCCACAGTGACAGGCATTATTTCAAGTATTGAGAGGCTGTCAGTCAACACGCAACTCACCAAAGCGACCTTCATCAGCGCCGCGGGTCTACAGCTGAGCTCTCTCTTTGGCTCGAAATGCACACATTGAGTGCTCTTTGACGTGTATTCGCACCTGGATCCACACGGGATCTCTGGATCCAGTTCAGCATTTGTGGTGGCATGCGTGCCCGTTGTTGAAGTCTCCGAGATGACGCTTGAAGGTCCATCGTGGATGGCGTGCTGTCTTTGCCACCTCAAATGACTGACACACCCCGCAAGGCGGCCGAATTCAAGCTCGCCCATGGATACGTCGAATAAGCTGTACGACCTGTAGCAAGTAAGTGCGAACTTCTGTTTATGAGATGCGTATGCTGCTAGAACTCTGATTAAGTTGTTTTCATTGGCAATACCTTTCTTTAGTTTTTTTTCCTGGATAAGTCACAGATGTGGTGCCTCGCCGACTTAGAACCTGTGAGGTCTTGAGAACAACATGACGTTGAGGAATTGCCGTGGCGTGCCCATGGAATACCATTTGTCGCAAATGGAGCCAGAAGGGTAGATTACAAGGGCACTCGTGTCTTAGCACGTACCCCGACTAAAATCCAGAACGCGCGGAGTAATGCATGAACATCAAGGGTTAGGGTTAAGGGTTCGGAACGCCCATGACAATTCGTGTACTGCTCAGCATTCCCTCCTCGAACCATGATTTCTCTCGGTGACGCAATCCAAATCCACATCTTCCGATTTCGAATTTTACCCATATCGCACGCATTGACTAAAGTAAGGTGTAGATGAGGGGAATGGTGAGGGGCGCTCTACTGTGTCTCACGGTTTGATGCGGGGTCATCACCTTCCTAGGCAAGCAAGTACCTTGCTGGATTCCGCTTCAAAGCTAACTAGGCCACCTCGACTATTTCTTTACCTTATGAGATCCGCTCCAGTCCAAATCTGTCCTGAGACTTCTTGTTCCCTGTTCTTTCCCTCTACCGACTCTCTCTGTATGACATTGACGAGCATTGCTTCGTCCAGCTAATCGCTCTCCGGGTCCGCTTACACACCACTTTCAGTCAACATGACCGTCCAAGCTTCCAAGTTCACCCCCGAGGTGCTCATCTCAGCACCGCGCCGCTCTGCTGGTGTGCCCAATGCTAGAGGCGATATCGTTCTTTACACGGTAGGTTCGCCATATTGACTTCATTGACCGCTGGAACGCACCAGGGCCGCTAGAAACATCATCCAATAACTGATGCTTGCAACAGGTGTCGACATACTCCTTTGAAACTCACTCCAAGTCTTCTCAAATTCGCATTCTCAGCCTCAAAGATGGAGCTTCACACCTCGTCTCCGAGGACACTGGAGCCAGCGATCCCGTCTGGATCAGCGACACCGAAGTTGCCTTTTTCAAGGGCAGTGACAAGGGCACCGATCTCTTTTACCAGAATGTTGAGGCTCCTACAGATGAGTATGTCATCAGAGATAATACAAATCGTTTTCATGGACCTACTGACGCCTGTACCAGACCCAACCTGATTCACAGCTTTCACGGCTCCCTGTCCAGCGCCAAAACCAAGACTTTGTCTAGCGGCAAGGTTGCACTGGTCACTGCCGCCGTCACCACGCCCGACGGCAACCTCTTCCTCGCCGCTGACGAAGAGAAGCCGCTATCCAGTGGCAGAACTTACGATTCGCTTTTTGTCCGCCATTGGGATACTTGGAAGACGAAAAACGAGAATGCGCTCTGGTACGGCCAGCTGGCGAAGGAGGATGGCAGGTGGACGCTCGAGAACGACAGTTTCAACCTGCTCGTCGGCATCAAGCTCGCGTCCCCCATCGGACCCTTTGGTGGCGCTTCCGATTTTGACATTCACGAGAAAGGCATCGCTTTTGTCGCCAAGGACCCCACGCTCAATCTGGCGCGCTACACCAAGACTGACTTGTACCTGGTGCCGCTCAAGTCCTTTACTGACCAGCCCGGCGCACCAGAAATTGTCAAGACCGGAAACCTGATTGGCTATACCCACAACCCGACCTTCTCGCGCGATGGTAAGTCTATTGCGTTCTTTCGAATGAAAGACAAGCAGAACGAGGCCGACAAGCACCAGCTTCTCGTCATTCCTGACATCAGCAATCTCCAAAAGGTTGAGACCTTCTACGCAACAAGCGATGACAGAGGCAGTTGGGACCGCAACCCCTCGTCCATTCTATGGACCGCCGACAATAAGCACCTGATTCTTTCCGCCGAGCAGCATGGCAGAGTTCTGCTGTATAAGGTTCCTTCGTCTGCTTCCGAGGCCACGAATCTGCCAGCTCCCATTTTTGAGGATGGAGCTGTCTCTGACGCCCACCTCTTGGGTGATAGCGATACACTTCTCGTCACCACACGATCCCGTATCGAGAGTTCAAGATATTTGACCCTGAACCACGAGAACCAAAATATCACAGAGGTTTCTTCAAGCGCTAAGAACGGTAAGGCCTTTGGTTTGACCCAGGACCAGTGCTTCGACATTTGGTACCCTGGTTCTGCTGGCTATGATAACCACGCCCTTTGCATGACCCCCTCAAATTTTGACAAGGATAAGAAATATCCCCTTGCTTTTCTTGTCCACGGTGGACCGCAAAGTGCTTGGACCGATGACTGGAGCACCCGCTGGAACCCGGCTATTTTTGCTGAGCAGGGTTACATAGTCGTCTGTCCCAACCCTACCGGCAGTACTGGTTATGGCCAGGCTCACACTGATGCCATTGCTTGTAACTGGGGGGGCGCGCCTTACCAAGATCTCGTCAAGGCTTTTGAATACATTGAGAAGGAGATGCCATATGTCGACATTGATCGTTCTGTTGCCCTCGGCGCATCCTATGGTGGCTACATGATGAGTTAGTCTCTCTGCCAGCTTTCACGGCTTGTAACTCTAACGTATATATATAGACTGGATTCAGGGCCACCCTCTTGGACGACGATTCAAGGCCATTGTTTGCCATGACGGTGTCTTTTCTACTCTTAGTCAGTGGTCCACCGAAGAATTATTCTTTCCCGAGCACGACTTTGGCGGCACTCTCTGGGAAAAGCGTGAGAATTACGAGAAGTGGGATCCTGCTAGATATACTGGCAATTGGAAGACGCCCATGTTGGTTATCCACAACGAGCTGGACTACCGCCTCAGTATCGCCGAGGGCTTAGCCATGTTCAATGTGCTGCAAGCGCGCAACATCCCCAGCAAGCTTCTAGTGTTTCCCGACGAGAACCATGTAAGTTTTTGAAATGGTGAAGTCCCATCACTTCTTTCTTACTGATGTGAATACAGTGGGTTCTGAAGCCGGAAAACTCTCTTGTCTGGCACAAAGAGGTGCTGAACTGGATTAATAAGTTCAGCGGTGTTTCATCGTGATTGAGGGCAGAGTCAAATTTTGATGAGGTTCAAGAACATTTTGGAATAAAAACGTCTTATAGACCCAGATTGCCTGTTATTGTAATGCTTCCGGAGCAATTTGAACAGTTGTCGACTGGTTGCTCCTAGTGAGCGCACAGTGCGGAGTACGATACTATAATATTTACACAGTGCCACTTGGCAGCGGCTCTGTGCAGCTCTCTGCGCGTGCGACCAAACAGAGCTCCAGTGAGCCTTGTGCACAACTTCGAGCACAAGCATCGCCGACACAACCGACGCCCTCCTACACGCTTGGTTGCAGGGAGCTTCAGAACATGATTTATAGCGACCCCCTTTCATTTTAACCAATTAGAATCTTCTCCTCTCAGCGTCATCAGCAACAAATCAGCGAGCAACCCGCGAGCACCGAACTCCATTCTTTCAATACCTTTTTAAACGCTTCTCGAACACCTTTCTTCGCATTCCTGGGCTCTCTCGGTCATGGCGACACCACCCGCCTTCTTCCACGCGCTGCTGCGGCCGGCCATTCTTCAAATCCTGCGTGCGACGGGCTACCACGCGACGCGGCCCGCGGTGCTCGACTCTCTGACGGACCTGGCCGCGCGGTACATGCTGCTGCTGTGCCAAAACACGGCCCATCACGCGGCCATTAACCACGCGGGTCGCGGCGGCCACGACGACAGCGACGACGACGACGATGACGACAGCGAGGGCGAGGGCAACGGTGGTAGCGCGGCGGCGCCGGCGCAAGCCGACGACTTTACGTTGACGGACGTGCGGCTCGCGCTGCAGGATGCGGGCGCGTTTGGCGCGGAGCGGACAGTGACGGAGGAGATGTGGCGCGGCGAGGAGGATACGCGCGGTGTGGAGGAGTTTATCGAGTGGTTTGCGGGACCCCGCATGAAGGAGCTCATGGAGTTTGGCAATGCGGACGGCGAGTCGGAGGCGACGGATTACCTATCTGGTGAGTACTTCTTTTCTGCTTTTTCTTTCGGCGACTACGTGTCGGAAAGAAGCAGAAGAAGAAGAAGATGATGATGATGAAGAAGAAAGGGGACAAGGCTAACTCGAGGAAACTCACGCAGCGCTCAAGAAGAAACACAACCAGGCGGCGGGCGACGCCAAGTTTCAGGGCACGATACTCGGCCGCCCCGGCGAGGGCTCGCAGGTGCTCGTCGAGGGCGGGCCCGTGACGACGATTGAGGAGTGGATCGCGCAGCGCAGTCCGGACCTGCTGCGCAGCCGCGGAGACGGCGACGAGAAGCGGCCCGCGTCTTCGGCGGGAAGTAGCAGCTCCGGCCTGAGCTCGGTCGATAGCGAGAGGCGCGATGTGAGGCCGGATGGCGACATGATGGACTTGTCCTAGAGGCGAGGAGGCTAGCCCTTATTATTTCTCTTTTCATGATTTTTGGCTGCATAGCGTTGGAGTTTTTTACGTTGTTGTTTATCAAAAAAAGGAAACGCTCTATATACTGTAATTGGTTTGGCTTTGCGTTGGGGTAAAGGTAGAGAAAGTTTGGAGTCGACGGAGATGGCGGCGGGTAAGGTACGAAATAATACACATGCAAAAGTATTGCTATAGTTTACAATCAAATCTCGACAAATGATTAAGAACCGGTGCTCGTTTAGATATAGTTTCAGTTTGGATGAGTATTTGTGGTGTATTATACATGATGCCGCCGTGGATTATGAATACAGGATGCAAGCTATATGCCAAAAAAAGAACTAGTAAGACAGTATTGATACACGGAAAGGTCTACGCAGCTCCAGCCGTTGCTGGCCTCAATAACTCATACACGCCCATGTCCTTGGACGCTGTCTCAAGCGCCTTCCGCGCCTCGTCCTCGCCACCGCCCAGCTGCGCCATGCCTGTTCGCTGGAGATACTCGTACAGTGCGACGCCACGCTTCTCGCCTTGAAGCTTGTCGACATCGCCCGCGCACCAGGCCACAAGATCGTGCTCTATGTTGCGCTTAGCCTGCAGCAGCTTGCGGCGCTGCGCGGGCGCGTCCCACGAGAGCTTGGTGGTGCCGAGCACGAGCTCGAGCACGAGCATCTCGGTCGGTGCAAACGCAAAGACGTCGCGCAGCGCTGTCAGCGCGACGAGGAAGCCGGCGGGGTCCCGCACGCGTCGAAACGAGTGCAAAATCTTGCGCGCGAGCTGGCCGTCCATGCCGGCACCAAACACGGCGCGGTGAGCGGCCGTCTGCGCAAACAGCCGCCGCGTTTCCGCGATGGCGGCGGTCGACATGTCGGACGCAATAATATGCAGTCGGTTCACGGCGAGTGTCTTCCATAGCGCGCTAAACGTGTAGGGGTCGGGCTGGACGCCGCGCTCCGTGACGAGGAACCCGTACAGCTCGAGCGCCTTGTCGTGCTGGCCCGCCTGGATGTGCGATTCCAGCAGCTGGTTCATCATGAAGGCGTCGGGGCTGATTTCCGACTCGCGAAACGCGTCCCACAGCGCCGCGAGCCGGTCGGGCATCGCGCGCAGGCGGTAATTCTCCGCGAGGATGCAAAACGTCTCGAGTGTGGCGCGGGGCAGCGGCGCCGGCGCCGACTTGCTCGTCTTTTTGAGGTCCTTGTTCGACTGCACCTTGCGCGCCTGCACAAACTGGATGCGGTTCTGAATCATCTCCCATGCGACCTGCTCCGACTTGGCCAAGTGCTGGGCGCCGCCGGAGCGCTGCCACGCGCCGACCAAGCCGTTGAGGTGGATGGGCGACGCCTCGACGCCCTTTGCGCGCATGAATTCCACCACGCTGTGCGCGCCATCCACGTCGCCGGCGCCAATCAGGCGCTTCAGCCACTTGCCGACGAAGAACTTGTTGGCCACGACGGACGGCATGTACTTTTGCACAGTCAGATCGATCTGGCCGTCGCTCATCATGTCGACAAACGCGTACAGCGCATTCTCGGTTTGACCCGCCGTCAGAAAGTAGGCCACCACCTGGTCGTAATCGGCGAGTTTCATTGATTTTCCGAGCAAATCTCGCATTTGTCGGTAAGTATCCCACGCCTGCTGCCGGCTCTCCTCTGTATTTTGTTCCGACAGCGAGCGAATGATGGGCATGAGGATGCGAGCATCCATGCGCTTCTCGACGAGTTTACTGGCAGCTCGTTGGGCCTGCTCCAAGTTTCCAGCCCGGCAGTGCATACCCACGCCAAGCTCCCAGAAGTCCTTGTACGTCTCGGCGCTCTCCTGCCCTAGCGTGCCCATGCTTCGCTTCCAGCTTTCCAGCGCCCTGTCCTCCCAGCCTTCATTGAACATCGCCTCAATCGCCAGAAGTTGCTGGGGTGGGCTAAATGGCACCTTGGCCTCGCTCATGTCTCTAGCCAGCATGGAAATGTGCGCCAGCCGGTGCATATTAATGCTCTCATCGACAGAAAACACTTTCCAGAGAAAGTCCCACACATCTAGGGGCACATGACTCCAGCTATGAGCCAGAGTGAGCCTTGCCGCATGATATGCCTTGTATATGGACACAATTTCCTTCTTTGTCGGCCCAGGCACATCCTGCATGCCCTTGTAAACTCGTGAAATAGCGTCGTTGAGCCGAACAATCTTGCGCCGCTGGTTGAGCGTCCAAGGGCCTTCAACAACTTGAGGGCTTGAGCTCTTCATGCCGCGAAGTGGAAGTGGGAGGTCCTCGGATAGCTCCGGTAGATCCAAGTTTATGGACTCTTGCATTTCTTGTGGCAAATCTCTCGTCACTTGTTCAATCTCACGGTCGATCGATCTTGTATATTCGTCCATGTGCTCCGTGAACTTATCCAGGTCCTGGCTGCCCTGAATTTGGCCAAACACCTTTTCGAGCTGGCCCATGACTTCACTAAACGCCTTTCTGTCCTCTTCGCCCTTTATTGTGTTCTTCATATCCTCGAGAGCTCCTTTAAGCTGACTCGTATCGAATGCGTCTATCGATTTTTGAAAAGCCGTCTCATCTGGGAGCTGCTGCCGCGTCTGCCCGCTTTGCTCAAAGAAGCGAACTCCTCCATCAGATCCTGAAAAGTTGGCGCCGACCGTTGTCGCGTTCCTCGCCGCTGACATGTATTCCTCCATCGCGGCGTCTTCTATCTCGCGCTCCGCCGCTTGCTTGCGTGCCTCGCGCAAAGGAAAAGGTCTCCTTGGCGAGGCGCGCGGCGCTCTTCTGCGATTCGCGGCGGTGCTGTAGGCTGTCGTCCATATCTGCGGTGTTCGCTTTGGTAGAGCTAGCAAACAGGCCCTACATATTGTTTTCTTCGAACCGCGCAAGTCGAAAAGCAGCGGTCTGCCGGACATTCTGCAGGTTTGTCGTGTCCAGCTTCCCCTGTTGAAGGCGTTCTGCCGACTGACTATGGGCGAGGCGCCACTACAAAACTGTTATCGATAGGTTTCCTGAGGCAGCACTTCTGCATCCACGACGTACCCTGTTACGTGTTCAAGAATCGGATGAACCTTGGTCAAGTTTGAACTGTGAAATTTATCTATAGATTAGGTATTTTTTAACATAACTTTACGCATAATGCCATGCCATGACTGCGATTGTCAAATGCTGTAAGTGTTACCGCCTGCCTCTTTGGTGGAGACGGCGGGATCAACCCGGCAGAATCTATTTTTTTTTTCGTGAACCAATACAGCAGCCCGTTTCCAAGCACGTCTATGCTACAAGTAGTATCCCAAACTTGCAGGCAAAATGACAGACTCTGCGCCGGATTTTCTGCGTTTCACAGGACACCGCTCCTTTACGCGGCGATTAGTCCTGTCGACACTGACCGGTCGCCCTGTTCACATTTCCAAGATCCGAAGCTCGTCACCTACGAATCCTGGCCTGGCGCACCACGAGATTTCCTTTCTACGATTGCTTGAAGCGGTGACCAATGGCAGCTCCATGCAAATCTCATACACCGGTACCACAATAACCTATCATCCCGGCCTTATCACTGGCACGATCGCTGGGCAGGGTGCTTCCGAAGGCGACATTATCGAACACAGCCTGCCGCCGACAATTACACGCGGCATCACCTACTTCCTACTCCCTCTTTGCCTTTTGGCTCCCTTCTCCAAGGCGCACATGAACGTGCGCTTCTCAGGCGCCGGTGTAATTACCTCTGCAACGGAGACGGGCGACGTGTCTGTCGATACCTTTCGAACCGCCATCCTGCCTCTCTTTGGCCTGTTTGGCATCCCACCCGCCCGAATCGAATTGAGAGTTTTGCAAAGATCCTGCGCTGGGCCTGGAGGTAAGGGTGGTGGTGGCGTTGTTGAGCTACGATTCGCAAGCCAAGTTCGTCTGCCAAAAACGCTACACTTGAACAGAAACCCTGGCCGAGTCAAGAGAATTCGCGGTGTTGCGTACAGCACCGGTGTTTCGGCCTCAAATAACAGCCGCATGATTCATTCAGCGAGAGAGGTTCTAAATCCTCTCGTCAGTGATATTCACATTGCCGCGCAGTACGACCAAGCGCCGCTGGTCCCGACCGGCGACAAGTCTGGCAGCAAACGTCGTCTAGGCATTGGCTACGGATTGAGCCTGGTGGCAGAGTCCAACTCGGTTGGCGTGATTTACTCTGCCGATGTTGTTGTGCCACCTTCCGGTGGTCAGGTCCCCGAGGAAATTGGCAAGCAGTGCGCATATCAGTTGCTCGAGACAATCTCACAGGGTGGCTGCGTGACGCAGAGTGCAGCAAGTAGCATGATGATACTCATGGCCATGGGCTCTGAAGATGTCGGACGTATAAGAATCGGCAGGAGAGTGCTCGGGACGGAAGATATGATTACGTTGGCGAGAGATCTCAAAACGTGTGGCGCCAGCAGCTGGGGTCTGCGTGATGTGACAGAGGATGAGACGGGTGACATTATTGTATCTGTAAAGGGAAGTGGAGTGGGCAATGTCGGCAGGAAGATAGCATAGATGTCATGTTGCATGTGAATTCAATTAGCGATTCTTTCATTGTGTGTTCCACTATGCCCGAAAAAGATCGCTTGCGCAATATATTCTATACATTTACAGGTGTAGTCGTAAGCTCCGATACTGCTCGCCGCTGAGCATTTGCTCGTATCGCTGCAAAGGTTGCATCATAACCCATGCTCGTCAACGAGTGCGCGGCTGTTCTGCGCACATCCATGACTGTATGGCGAATTGTGTGAAGCACATGGTATGGTCCCAAAACCCCATTGCCCGAGTTCATGACATTGAACAAGTGTGTCGTGTTGTCGCCATCATTATTTGTGTTGCTGTTGCTGGGGCCAGCCTCATTCCCAACTTCTGCGCCAGCGCCTTGATTCAGGAGCCTCATTTCGACCTCGACTGCCTCATCTCCAGCCTCCTCGTCCATCATGGCGGAAACGCCCCGTTCCTCCTCATCCAGCTCTCGTATCGTTCGGCCGGCGGCGGCTTGCTGAGCCAAATCTGCGGCCAAGGGACGGAATGTTTTGAGCGTAACGCGCATTTGTTCGCGTTCAGTATGTATCGTCAGCATGATGCACTGCAAGACCAATAGGAAGATGTCGGCAAGCACATAGTAAATTCGGGAACTGGATGGTGTTTGCCCGATAAAGTCAATCACGAGACCACCATGTTGGTATCCTCGCTGGTCGGCTCGTCCGACTGGGAGAGAAGTGAATAGATGTAGGAGCATGCATATAAGATTGGGTGCGACGACGAGAAGGACGTGCACGCGGGTTGCGGTCAAGGCGACTGGAAATGATTCATCCTTGGGACTCAGGTAGAGGTATTGGCCAAAGGCTCGCAGAAGAAACCGAAACATGGAGCATCTAAAAGACAGTATCGTCAGCGTTGAAAAGCGATAATAAAGAATGTGAGAGCATACTCCATGTAATATAGGGCGCTCAATTCGGCAAAAACGACGAGATCGAGCGACTTAAGCAGGTGGGTGAGGAAGACGAGCTTCTTCTGGAGGCCGGGACAGTGTTTCTTGAGATCCTTCTTTGAAGGCACACGTAGCTGCTGCGATGCAGGTCGCGGACGAGCGTCGTATTGTTGCGCAGGGCCAGCGCTGACAGCCTCTTGCGATCGCGCCGGACCTGCGGCGGCGTCATCGTCGTCCCAGAGCTCATCTCGCGCCGAGGAGCTGGGCGAAGCATCATCGTTCATAGTCGCAAGTATTCATTTGGGCAGGGGTTCGAGCGACGAGCTGTGTAGGAAAGGGAATCGATATTAGCGAGTCGCTTCCATGGGTGGCTGGCGATAGCCGATGGGCGTCGTTGGAGTTGGGAGTTGGGGTTGTAGGCTGCGGTGGTAATTAGTTGCTCATCGGAGTAATTAGGTAGTGGCCAGGGAGCAAGCGGCGAAGCTGTCAGGCGGCGGATCAAAGCTGGCGGATGACGTGAACCAACAGCGAAATCACTTTGGAAGAAATTAGCTTGATACGAAAGCTCAAGTCTTGAAACTTCAATCGATTCATGACTAAGATAATTATTTCTCGAAACATCTCGTCATGCTGCCGCATTTTGACATGTGCCTCCTGCCTGTTAAAGAGACCCCAACGTGCCGCTTCTGGACGTTTTATAGCGGGCGTTACAGTGGCCATTATACGGCCATCAGGTACCTTACACACCGCCGCACTGGAATGCCTGGATCAACATTAATTCCGGCCTCGCTCCTGTTGCCCAAACAGCCCCGCCAATTGCTTGGTGGGAGCCTGCCTGGTGGGCTGCGAGGTGGCATACAATTTGGTAGTTAGCCCACCACTTTGCTAGGGTGACTCAGAACATTTTTGACAAGACGGCCAGCATCACCACCTCCCCTCCAAACGGGCCTCTCAACGAGGACACCAAGATAGACCGCACTCGGTCCCGATTGCCCGAGTAAAAAGAATATGGCCACCTCTGGCGACCTCGCCACGCAGGTCCTGCTGGCCTTGGACAAGCAGAGCCCCATTTTGACCGCCGAAGCGTTCCCCGCGCTCGCCTCCCAGGATGTCAAGGCCGCGCTCGACAGGCTGGGCTCCCGCTCCATGATTACCTACAGCACCATTGAGCGCGAGGAGGCCGTTCTCGAGCCCGAAGCGGAGCAGATTGCCGAGCACGGCAGCCACGAGGCCCGCGTCTTTGAGGCCCTGCGCAAGGCCATGGACGGCCTGTCTGTCCAAGAGCTCGAGGCCGCCATTGGCGACAAGAACGTCACTAAGCTGGGCCAGGGCAAGGCTTTCAGGGAAAAATGGATTGCAAAAAACAAAGACGGCAAGCTAGTTGCCACTGTAAGCCTATCGGTCATGGGGTTTTACGGCAACTGCATACTGACTGAATGACCCCCACCACAGGCCGACTCTATTCAAGACGTTACCCAGACACAACTCCAAAAGATTAAGGAGACCCGAACCGGCGATGCCAAGACCCTCACCGACCTCAAGAAGCGCAAGCTCATCAAGATGCAAAAAATCATCAGCTTCAAGGTCGAAAAGGGCGCCAATTTCGCTCTCGAGATCCAAAAGGAAGAGACGGACCTAACCTCGGACATGATCATCTCAGGCGCCTGGAAGACGGCCAACTTCAAGCCCTACAACTTCAAGGCCCTCGGCGCTGACCAAAATGCCGGCGCCTTGCACCCACTCAACAAGGTCCGCCAAGAATTCCGCCAAATCTTCTTCGAGATGGGCTTCGAGGAGATGCCCGCCAACAAGTTTGTCGAGACGGGTTTCTGGAACTTTGACGCTCTCTTTGTGCCCCAACAGCACCCAGCCCGCGACCTACAGGATACTTTTTACATCTCGGACCCCAAGGTTGCCGACAAGCCGCGGCCGCAGGAGGACGGTCAGGACACCGAGGCGTACTGGAACAATGTCAAGGAGGTGCACCAGGACGGCAAATATGGCTCCATCGGATACAGATACCCCTGGGCCGCCGACGAGTCGCTGCGCCTGGTCCTGCGCACCCACACGACGTCCATCTCGGCCGCGCTCCTCCACAAGCTCGCCTCGCAAAAGGGTCCCGACGGCCGTCCGCCGCCGGCGCGCTACTTTTCCATTGACCGCGTCTTCCGCAACGAGACGGTCGATGCCACCCATCTCGCCGAGTTCCACCAGGTCGAGGGCGTCATTGCCGACTACGGCTTGACCCTCGGCGGCCTGATGGAATTTATGGAAATCTTCTTTCGCAAGATGGGCATCACCGACCTCAAGTTCAAGCCCGCCTACAACCCCTACACCGAACCCAGCATGGAGATTTTTAGCTATCACAAGGGCCTTGGCAAGCTCGTCGAGATTGGCAACAGCGGCATGTTCCGCCCAGAGATGCTTGAGGCCATGGGTCTGCCCAAGGACATGCGCGTCTTTGGTTGGGGTTTGAGCCTGGAGCGTCCGACAATGATCAAGTACAAGATTTCCAACATTCGCGAGCTGCTTGGTCACAAGGTTGATCTCAATTTTATTGAGAGAAACCCTGCCGTCAGGTTAGACAAGGAGTAGGGGCGGAGGGAGATTGAAAAGAAAAGTAAACAAGGGAAATAATTGTATAAAGGATGATACAAAAGAAAATGCAACGAAAAAAGAGCACTTCACATAGCGACAGGGATCTTCGCGAGCCGGGAAGGATAGATATCATGAAAATTCATTTTGATCAAGCACTTTTCTCGTATTGATTCGTGTTTGTAAGTCAGCATATTGCACAATGGTAGGCATTGAGTTGACCTCAGTACATTTTCTATGAGAAACCCAAGATATTCCATAGCAGCCATAGCTTGTAAATGTGCCACTTGCCACTGATTCAAAGCACTTCTAGACTTTTTTGATATACCCCCAAGGATGAAGAGAAAATGAGAGATGAAAAGACGCCATCGCCAATATGATGTATATGATACCTCCCCAAAAGCCACATAACCAAACCCAAAGTGTCCAACGCCCATAAAACAAAAGTACAGACATCACGAGACCACATCTACACCTTGATCATGAAGATTTGCGCCAGCGCCTTGGCGTCCATGACCGCCTGCCTCTTCTGCGCAATATACCGCGACCGCACAAAGGTGCGGTGGCCCAGGGGTGTTGCCGTTCCCGAGGAGCCAGCAGTGACTGGCGTCGCAGAGGTGCTGGCGTCTATATCATCCTTATCGTCGTCGTCGTCGCTGCTGCTGCTGCTGCTGCTGCTGGGGGCGTCGGCGATAGCGGCGGCTGCCTTGGCGGCTTTGCGGCGCTTCTTTTCCTCCTTCTTCTCGCGCTTCTCCTTTTTCTTTTCCTTCTTTTCCTTCTTGGCCTTCTTTTTGGCCGCTTTCTCGTCGAGCTCGTTGTCGTTGGAGTCGTCGGATTCGAGTTTGGATTTGTTCACGTTTTTCGACTTTTTCGTCTCCTTATTCTCTTTCTTGCGTTTCTTCTTTTCCGCCGCATCATCCTTGTCTCCTTCATTGCGACGACGCTTCTTGTCCTTGTTCCTCGCTGCCTCGCTGTCGACCTCTTCTTCTTTTTCCTCATCTTCCTCTTCCACCTTGCGCTTCTTGCTCTTCTTTTCCTTTTTTACTTTTTGCCCCTCCGTCTTCTTCGTCTTCTCATCCTCGCCCGCCTCGCTCTCAGCGCTGCCGTCCTCCTGCAGCGTATCTCCCACCAGCAGTCCGCCGCGCACAAAGCGCATCGGCCCCCAGCGCATCTCGACGTAGCGGTGCGTCTTGACCGCTAGCCGCGCGTCCTGGTCCTCGCGCACCGCCGCCTCGGACTTGCCGTTGAGGCGGCTCAGCAGGTCCGAGAAGACGTCGAGACCCGTCACCTCATCCTCCCGCGCCTTGTTGAACCCCAGCCCCTTCATGTCGTCCTTGAGCACCACGCGAATGTAAGAGGCGCTTGCCGCCGAGTGCAGCTCCGCGTGCGGCGCGTCCTGCGCACCCAGGAACTGGCCCGGCTGCCAGCCCTGGGAGCGCAGAATTTTCTGGCCAAAGGTGGTGGTGTCGCGGGTCCATTTCGTATTGTTTGGATCGTTGGATATTTTCCGGCGACTGGTGAGAGAAGTCAGATTGAAAGGGCTTGTCAATACGGTTAGCAGCAATTACCTCTTATTATCCTGAAGCAGGCCCATCTTGGCAGAATATCTAGAGTCTCAACGTCCCGGCTCGGGTTGGTAGATGGTAATCGTTGTCTAAATTTCGCTGGTAGAAAAAAAAAGTTCTAGAGGCGTGGGGCTACAATGGTTGGCTGGCTGGCTTATCGGGCGCTGTGATTGGGTCGGGCTACAGCACTCCTGCTCTTGGCCTACAACTACAAGGAAAAACCACGGGGACCTAGACGGAAGAGGCGCAATGGCAGGGGGAGCAGATCAAATAGACAATGCATTAATTTTTTGATATGTAAGGCGCTAAATATTAACAATAAGAAAGTGTACATCAGGCCGAGCAGACAAGTAACCTTGTGCTGCATGTGATTGTTGCTCTGCAGAGCAATATACTCCAACGCCACGCTATAGTAAAGACGTAATGACTTGGAAAGTACCTGCCAGACAGTGTTCTGACAGGGACGTTTCGTAATATGGAAGCCGGAGGCTTCTTTTTGGGCCAGTATAAATGGCATGGTGGTTATAATATATTTGGGAATAAGCCTCAAGAGCACATACTCTTGGGCTCTCGGCCAGATCCTAGAAGTGGCGGTGTAATGAAGAGAGGGAGAATAAAACCAACTCCTTTGCTTTTTTTTTCCTTTCGCGAATTGCTTTTTTAAATTCTGTTCATGCCCAGAGGGTTCATGCTTCCATACTTGTCGGTCCGAGTCCCTGTTTCAAAGCCCAGCTGTGGAGATTGGGGAGATCGCGGGGATTGCGGGGACCGAGGCTGCGACGGAGGCGGCGGCGGCGGCGTCGGTGGCGGCGGCGAGTGAGGTCCACGCGGACTGGCAAACGTTTGCTGCACGTCCCAGGATCGCTGGATGGGCGAGCGCGGTGCCGAGAATGACCGCGCAGGGGCGTGGTATCGCGCGGCGGTTTGCTCATGGTAGGCGGCCGTCTTGCGGTCGGTGAGCGGGTAGTGCACTGCGGACGCGGGGGTTACCACGGCGCTGTTTTCGCGCGAGAGCATCTCATACGAACGTGAATCGGTTTTGGCGTCGAGCCTGGCATCGACGGACACGAATTCCTTCTTCTTGGCGTCGCCTCGGCCGAGGAGGGACTTGAAGAGGTCGACCCAGCCGACAAGCATGGAGCGCCGGCCGAGGAGAAACATGAGCCATATTCCATTTAGCTGCCATCATGTTAGTAAGAAATGGTGACAAGGCAGGGAAAAATGACAGTTTGGGTTATATGCTTACTCCGAGCAGCAGCAGTACCGCGGCGATGGTGGCTTGGCTAACAACAAACTTGCTGGCCTCTTTTAGACACTTGTTTTTGTCGCCGCTTGCAGCAATGAGGCAGACCACCCAGCTCTCTGCGATTTTGGGATCCTTGGTAACGGACTCGACAATGTTGTCCTGGAAGACAAAGATGACGGAAAAGAAGATGACGTCGGCGGCAATGATAAGGACAATGGCGATGCCGCGCCACTGCAAGGCAATAACGCGCTTGACGCGGCGGTAGGCCTGGCGCGGGGTCATGGTGCGGATGCTATTTGTGTAGGATGGCAGGCCAGAGCCCTCAGTCGAGGCGGAGCTGTCGGCCAGGGACGCCAGGTAGACCTTTACGCAGTAGCCAAAGGTAGCAAAGGTGGTGATGACGGTGATGCTGGCAAAGATGAGCAGCGGAACCCAGAGGTCGGCGAGGCTGTTGTCGTGGTTGATGTGGCAAATGGCGCCGAAGCGAAAGGAGACACCACTGAAGACGAGAGCGAGGACGATGCCGATGAGCGGGACGCCCCAGCCGGCGGCCTGGGCAAAGTACATGAAGGGGCGGCCGACGCTGACCTGCCAGCATATCTGCAGGTGCAGGGAGAGGGAGCGCAGAAATGCCCACATGACGCCGCTCCAGCCGCCGAGGATGAGAAGGCCACCCGAGGCGCCGCAGACGGAGCTGGTTTGCATGCCGTGCGGGGTGATTCGGTCGTAGCACTGGTCCGGGCGGGCGGCGAGCGGCACGACGAAGCCCATGTTCATGAGGAGGACGGCGCCGGTGAGGCAGATGCTGAGGTAGTGGCGGTGCGTTTTGTCGACGGGCAGCAGAGCCCACGAGAGGAGCAGGTAGAGGCAGCAGAGGGCGCTGACGGCGGCGGTCCAGTTGGCGACGGTACTGATGGTGCGGAAGCTATCGGGGTAGACCCATTCGGCGAGCGGGCAGGGCAGGCAGCAGGAGACGCCTTCGGCGACTTTCTGGCAGAGGCGGCCGTCGACGACTGGAAGCGTGTTAGCGGGGGTGTAGTCGAGGGCGACACCGAGTGGGAGTCGAGGGCGACGCCGAAAATGGTCTTACATCCTTTACTGTCGGGGTAGAGTCTGGCGTCGTAAAAGGGCGGAGGACAGACATTGGCCATGTTGACGGCCATGGTGACGGATGGCTTGGTTGGACGGGCGATTGTTGCGGGATAATAAACAGGAAGCGATGATGGTATTTCGATATTTTGGTTCGAATCCAATATGGGTTTACGTTTACATGGGTGCGCTGTTGCAAGTATATCGAGAATGGAGCATTGGCGGCCTGGTCAAGATGGCCTGGGTCGTATAAGACACTTCGCAGAGACAGACGTCAACGGTGCCAATTGATCAGTCTCTTTCAGAGATGTTAAAGGTCGTCGAGAAATTCGAAATTGAGAGCCAGAGTGCTAGAGTCAGAGTCAAAGGAGCTGTGCCATGTTGGATCTGTATAAGTGCTCGAATGTGGTGCAAGTTGAACAACCGATGCCAGCACAAGACTGAATGATGGAGATCAAACAGATGCGGCCGTCCGTCTACACTCGCAGCAGGCGGCTCAAAGCATAAAGAGACGCTTGAAAAGAGAGAGAGTGAGAGAGGAAGATGGCTTGAGGATAAGGTGGTGGATACATGCGGGGAGGAGAGACGACTTATACAAAGATGCGAGTGCGGCTGGGTTTGGGTTGTTGATGAGAGTGGAACAGCGTGCTGCGTACTCTTTTTTTTTTTTTTTTAAACATATAATATATAAATTTCTTGCACACCCGAGGAGAAAAAGGAAATGCGCCAAGTGGAAGGGGGGTGAGGGCATTGGCAGTCATGCAGGTCAAGACGACGACGTCTACAGGCTGCAGGACGAAGTGGGATTTCCTTGGGAGGCTTTGGACGGGAGCAGCCAAAGATGGATGGGGCTTGGCCAGGGGAAAGAGGCGTGCGCTAAAAGGACATCTGAGGACGCTAAAAGCTGGGCACCCCCCTCCCCCCCTGGCTAGCCCTTTTTCGGGGGGTCGGGGCAACGATTACAGGCGACCTTGCAGTGGGACAGCCCACCAACTCGTGTAGGTCAGCACGATGAAGAAGAAATATCGCAAAAATTGTCGAGATGCACAGCACCCTAAAAAAAAAAAAAAAAAAAAGGCTGTATCTGATGGGCAAGCAAGTCAATGGACCAAGAGTACAGGGATACGAGCTGCTGGCCCTTGCTCTCTTGCATAGCCCTTGGCTCTCATGCTGCTGCAGCCAGCTGGACTCGGCAGCACCAAATATATTAAAACACAGTCTTGAATAGGTACTGATTTAAAAAGAAGGAAAAGGGAACAAGGAGGAAGAAGACGAACATATCAATCAGACAAGCCCATGCCGTTATCCGCATTGGCTTGTCCAGTCACATTCTCACACCCGCCATTGGTACAAAAAAAAACAAATCGTACATAACCAACCTGCCAATCCCCTCGTGCCCCTGTAAAGGCTGGGATATCCGGCACGCGACAGAGGCTGAAAGACGCAACAGCCAAGCGAAGCGAGACAATAGGTGCATCTTACTGGCCTGCAGCCCTTGGCTCGCCACCGCCGCGGTTTATTGGCCCTACCCAATGTGCCAATGAATCAGCGTAAAAAGAGACATTTTTGTCATTTCTATCAGAGTCAGCGGGGCAGGCAGGCAGCACAATGATGGAAGCACTGGGGCTATACGATGCCAGCTGCAAACGCAATCGATCGCCCGTCGCCGTCGCCACCACTGTCTTCCTCTCTCTCTTTTTTCTTCTTTCTTTTTGTCCAGTCAAGTCAGAGGATCGGTGCCCTTTTTTTTTGTGCGCCGTCGCACAGAGACCTTGGCCCCCCCGGGTCGACACACAAGGGGGCAAAAGGCTCGTGGTGGCGGCGCCAGCTTTTTGCAACGGTGGGGAGGGGGGGGGACGACGTCGCCTCGTCTTGTTCGCTCGCTCTTCTTTTTCTTCGTCTGACTGGTACAAGAAACCGGTGGCGTCAATATTTTGAAGCCTGGAAGCCGTTTCTGGTGGGCTTTCTTGCGCTAGAAATAAAAGCTCAGAGGCTCCAACGCGTAGGGGGGGGGGG